ACAAAATCGATAAAATTGTGAATTGTTGCTATTTAAATCGGTCATGAATAAAATGTTTCAACACATACCTGCAAACGGGTGAAAAACGCAACACGACGGCGCACAATATAAACGCTGCATTGAGAACATCGAGAAACATCCAGCCACAAAGAATACAAACGCATGGATGCTGGCTGGCGGGCAGAATGGCGTTTTAAATAACTCGGGCGAAGAATGGCAACGCGCTGGATAATACCGCGTCGAGCGCGACGTTGCGCTATTGTTGCTCGGCGCGTTTTGCATTCGAAATGCACACGCAAACAAGCATTCACAGGCACATTCACGAAGCACGACGAGTTCCACTACGAGTTCGCATTCATGTTGTTCGGCTGGTTTATATTCAGCTTTCGGCTTTCACCGTACACACTGAAATTGTAGAATAATTTAAGCGACGCGGATATACCTGGACGTGCGCGTGATTTTTGCGTGTGGCTGCGGCATTGTGCTTTCGAGCTTTGATCCCAGGGATAGCTAGTGAAAGTACGTGACGTTATTACAATTAATTCCCATTGGAAATGGTGGCGAAGTTTTTTTTAAAGCAGAATAACAAACAAAAACATGTTTTTTTAATCATGTTATTTTAATATTGTGTAAATAAATAGAACAAAAATAGAAACATTGATATCGTATGTTTTGTTTGGTTGGTAGAGTAATACTGATCCTGATACCAAAATGGGATCCAGAATGGAATGAAATCGCACTGGATTTCATAACGTTATTGAATGCGAACACACCGGGTTTACTCTCACAAATTATATACCAAGAGGATATATTAGTATAAAGTAATAATTTACTTTAAAATATTTTATGTTAAAATTATTTATTAAATCTTAAATATTTTTATTTTTATTTATTCAATTTTTGAATTTCTAAAAATATTATACCCACACGGTATACTTTGAAATATGTGAAGCATTAAAGGATTTTTCGGATGTACTTTATTTTGAATTCGTGCGAGCGCTTGCGGTTCGTACATCGTTGGTTTTATATTTTTCGTTGGCATCCTCGAAAGTTTCATTTTCCGCGAGATATAAACCTAACCCACCTTCAGTGCACTTATGCGACCAATAGTGGCATCTGCCGCCCGTACAAGGTATAAATAAGCTCTAACCTACAAACTAACCTCACAAAACGAAGAAAAAAACTAGTAAATGAAAACGAACGGAATAGAAAACACAGAGAGAAAAAAACGATGATACTAAGTGCACTAAACGCACACATATGCCAGCATGAGTAAAATGTGTAAGAAAATATTATCAAGGAACGATAGAATGAGCCTTGACTTGCTTTCTCAAGATAGACCAAAGTACTTCCACCTCAATTTTTATTCCCGCCTAGAATCGATACATTGATCGGATGATACTCGCGGGCACTATAAAAATTAAAAATGAATCAGGTTTTTTTTCCGGATAGGTTTCCTTATTCTTTTACGGAATTGAAACAGAAACCGAAACAGTGGCAGCACACAAAAATTATGGAATGTGTTTAATGCGAGAGGAAAAAACGCGTTTTGCGGCGCGGTAGCGAGGTGGAATAATGTGGAAATGCGAAAACGTAGAAAACGTTTTTCCGTGCGGGCATCTCGCATGCAAAACACGAACGCGTGTGCTTTTAATTGCCTTAATTCGCTTTGTGTCGAGGCGAGGCCTTGGCCCTCGTCTATGCCCTTGCTCTTTCAGCAATGAGCTCGGTGGCTAAATCAAATCTTGAAAGGGTTAATATGGATGAAATTTATTTGTTTACAAATTTGATTTTTTTAATTTTTTTGTTCAAAAACGGAAAAAATGTATTTCACATTATAAAATGACAATTTATTAATTTGTTAATTGTATATTAAGTATCAAGTGGCTAAAAAAGTTTTTAGTCACGAGATTGATTAAGAAGAAGAAGAAGGGCGTAGCGAAAGTAGTTTAATCAAACGGGTGTTCAACCAAGTTTAGTCAAGAGATACATATGCCATTTTTTTACTTTCACTCTTGCACTCTTGCATCTTGTGCTCCGTGACTAAAGTACTTTATTCACGGTTTTAACGTTCCCTGTTTAAAAAACTTTATTTTGTGTCTTTAAACAGTAGAAAAACTGGCATTTTAAAGGTGGGAGTAAAAAAATGCATTTTACACAATAAAATTACAATTTACTAAAGATAAATTAAGTATGACATTCAAAGTAATCATAGTGTTTAATAAAAGTATGCAAATGACTTACAAAATGTCATAAACGATGTTTAAAGCGCCTCGCACAAAAGTTGTCCCTACAGGAATCTTTTGAATATTCATTATTTACCAGAAAGTTTCTTTGTATAAGACCAACAAAGTCCTTTTAATTTCCCGAACAAAAAAAACAAAATTTAAAAAATGTGTAATTCATACTTTTGAATAAAAATTTAATTCCTTTAAAATGCTTTAAGAATTCATCACTTTCCTTACTCTTAACACTTGGAAGATGTTAAGTTTTGCTTTGCGATGATTTCACTAGTGTGTAACGCTGAATAAACAAGACAACCACCGCACTCGAAACGTTTGCTGTTGGCGTCAGGGCGTTCATAAATTTTCAAGTCCTCCGTCTTGTCCTGACGCGTGTTTGCCGAACGCGACGAGCACTTTGTGCGCCGGAATTGAATTCGACTCGATGGATTCAATTCCACAACACACAATCCCCCGCACTCTCGACATTCACCATCAGCATACAAGAAACGCCTCCGACTCATCCTCGACTAAGCTTTTTCCATCTTCTTGAATCGTCCTGAATTATCAGCAATCAACTTGTACATTTTATCTCTTTTCAAAAATTTAAAATATTCAATCAAATAAACGACGCTAGTGAATTTTTATGTAAATCAACGAGGATTAAATAGTTGTGAATTTCCTAGTGGAAAGTGGGTCAAAGTTGTGATGAATTTAATAAATTTATGATCGTACAGTCTGTGTGCGAAAAGTCGGCGCGTGTGCAGTGCTCGACTCTTCACTGAAGTAAAGTGTAATTAAACGTGATTGACGTGAAGTTGCATTGTTTCGAGTGGCGGTAATAAAATGTCGGCTCAAGTTTAGTTAGTACTTAATCAAAATCGAAACGTACTCACATTACAATTACTATAAAATTATGGCAATAGTGAAGAATTTTTACGACGCGTACAAAAACTCAATAATTCAACATGAAGAAAAGAAAGCTTTTACGCGAGTTTATTTTTTATATTTTTTGCGTGTCGATGATAATCCTAAGAAGTTATTCTTTTCTTTTTGCTCCACTGCGTTCCAATTCTATATTTACTGAAAGATCGATACTTCAATATGCAATACAAAGATAACTTTCTATTCGAAAGTTTAAGTCACAAAGTTGGTTATGTATTACGTTTCATGTTTAAAGTTGCTTCTAACCTCAAAACAACTTTTTAAAATATAAAAACTCATATTTAACATTATTAGCCTTGTTGAAATAGTATATTCTGTAATAAGTGGCTAAATTATGCAATTAGAGACGAGATTAATTGAGAGCGAGCGTAACACGCGGTCAATCAATCGGGTGTTTAACAACGTTTAGTCACGAGGTGCTCCGATACGAGCAGCAGCAGCGCCATCTTTGACGTGTTTGACTAACGTCGCATGGTATTTCATACCGCTTTGTGCTGCTCCGTAGGCAAATGCGCTGGCGCTTGATCCATCCCGGGCATAATGCAAGTACATAATGAATATTATGTACGGCTTGACCGTCCATATATAAAGTACCACCATTTGTATCAAAAACCGGGTAAAAACTGGCGCTTTATAGGTGGAAGAACAAAAAATAAAAATAAACATATATTTAACATTTTCCCTCTTAAAAACGTTGTTTATAATCTTAAATGTTTGCTTGAAACATGCATTATATTGCATTTGAGTGAATGCTTCTAAATTCCACGCTGAAACGCTCGTGGCAGACGAAGTAGACGCAATAAATAAAATTTATGAGCATCGCACTGAAGATGCATTCCTGATTCAATGCACAGCACAGACTTAATATTCACTTCAATTTCGCCAACTCGGTATTCACAGTTCGCAGTTATTAGGTCTATGGAACAATTTAGCAAATTATATAATATTTGTGTCAAGATCATAACCTCACAAAGTTTGTGCGACTTGTATCAAATTTGCATGAATATTTCGGAATGCCCAGCAGAGTGGAAACTGTGACAGCATAGAGAGATGCATTATAAAGTTGGGTCATCTGCTCATGCTCACTCCAGGAGTTTAACTCCTGTGTGACGCCATTGGTAGACTAATGTAGAAATGTGATTTATGCGACACGTGGGAGTGCGTAATTAATTCGATTCGTGCAATTTCAACCATTTCAATCAATTTGTTCAGTTTTACAACACACAATTCTCTCTCTGCGGGTTATCCTACGCGTATTTTAACCTAACGTAGATAAATTCAATATTTATCTATATGATCTCTAAATATATTAACATTTCACACTTGACTGCTGCAGAACTATACAAATAGATTCAAAGTGTGTATCTTGCGCGATCATGTTTGTTCGCAATGCTGGCGTCTCCCACACTCGAAATAGAATTCAAGCCGATATCCATTTTTCGCGCGTTCAGCTCAATATTTGCATAACAAGATCAATTGGTTCAGGCGTTGCGTTGTGTGTTGCGTTCGTTTTTCATCCAGGCGCTCGCGTTTTGTTCGGTCCATTACGAAGGCGAGTGCGAAACACCGTGTGGAAAACTGCTGGGAATTGTAAAATTTAATGCGTTTCACCCTTACACGGTAGGCCTCCATCGTGTGTCTATATTAATACTGTGTGTATAGGACTGTACGAATATTTATTTTATATTTTTAAAGTTTTTTATTTAATTTTTATTTCACATTGTGTTTACCTATGTTCGGTACTTATACTGCAAGTCAAATTCACTGCGCTTGTATGTAATATTGATTTATATGCTTGTTTTGTCTAAACGTAACAATATTTCATTGTTCCAGGAACAACAATAAGGCAGGCGTCGAAGAGCTGGCGAGCTGAGCACAAAGCAGCAAGGACTCTCGGGATAATAATGGGCGCATTTCTTCTCTGTTGGCTGCCATTCTTCCTTTGGTAAATACTCGACTAATAAAAACAATGAAAAACACACTTAAACCGCACATCTAAAATTATCACAATTGTTTATTTTATTTTTTATTTTTTGTCTGCTTGTTTGTAATTTATTATCCTGCTTGTATTCATCATCCTACATATATCCTTCTTACAACCATCATTTGTTACATTGGTCATACTTGCGTGTGCCAAAAATATTCTTTTATTTGCGTCTGTTTATTTCTGTCGAAAAAAACGACGTAATCCTTTTTATGTTCTGCGTTCTTCTCCGATACCGAAATGATGCGGGTAACGAAATTTTTTGTGCTGGAAGCCAAACGTTCAAGGTTGAAAGATGTACTCGTATAGATAAATCGTGCATTTTCATGGTGAAATTGTTGGGATTTACGACGATTTTCAGCGTGAGCGCTGAGCACATGAGTTGTCTTAAGCCATTGTTTTCCAAACTGGGTGATATTTTTCCCACACGCTAGACCAACACTACACGAACCCTCCATTTAAGCCGGGGTGCTATCTATCTGGATTTTGTTTTTATACTGGATTACAACGTACGATTCACCACAGAGTGTGAAAAAACATTTTTCTGGTCAAAATAAATACTATTTTATTATTTATAAGTAAATAAGTAAGATGTGATAATTTTGTGATATTTTAATGTCGTTTGGATATTTTCGGCGTAGTTTAGTTTGGTTTTTAGTTTTCGTGGCCGGCCCCGACCCGCAATGGTGCGGAGGGCGCTCGTATATTTCAAGGTTTCTTGGACTGCAGCCAAATAATTCGGTCGATCCTTACATAACGCGTGGGTGTCGCTTTTACAGCCCCTCGGAGTTCTCTAAAGATAATCCATACGCTCCTGCAACCCTAAACCACCACACATTTTTACTCCGACGAAAATTGCGCCTGGTCCGAGCTGAAACTAAAATTTTAAATTACAAAAAACACTGCGAGAAAAAAAATCAATTATTTTTTACAAGTATTTCATTATGTTCTTTTCTCTTCAACATTTTCGAATTCAAAGCGTAAAATCTCAACGATGCACTTTAATTAAAATCGAATGCCATTTTCTTCCGCACGCAGCGCTGTAAGCGTTAATATAAAAAATGCAATCGGAAGTGGAGAGCGCTGTGCACACGAAGAACTTGTCGATAAATGAAAAAAACTAATGACTCCGGCCGGCGTTTACGATCCATTTGAGCTAACGTCTAACGTCAAGCGTCCCCGGGTTTAATTTAAGTGGAAAACAACAACTTAAATTAAAAATATTATTACGCCATTAATTTCGTTGAATTTATTTGTTTAAATAGCATCGCACGTATTCAATTATGCTGTTTGAATATTGTTCACGATTAATTAACGACTGTTTATAATCGGCCGAACGTAATTTATCTACGAATTGATGCACGACAAACGCGACAGCGCTAATTAATGTTTGAGGTAATTTAAAATCGCGTTACCGTTCGCGTTTAGCCGCCAGGTAAATTAATAGAATTAAAGTTAATTAATCGTTAAAAATAGATATACTACACTTGTTTTAGCTAATTGAATACTAATTATTCACACAAACTCATTCCATACATCATTTATTTCCATTCAAGTATCACGTTTAATTCGGTGGGTGATAATACCTTGAATGCATTACATTTTGGAGTAGATAATAGTTTTAAACCAAGTCAAACACTATGATTGAAAGTGTAGGAGGATAGCCGTAACGCAAGCCCAACTACTAACAATAATAATCCGTATAGAAATTATCTCCATGAATCGGAAATGATGCCAACCAGAAATAGCCACTTTGGAGAGCGTCCGCCCCCGTCAATCGCATTGATTTGATCGATTGGATACCGAGAAGGCAACACGCCATACATGAACATTGAATATGCTCTTAAAATTAGTTTCGTAGTTCCACAAACCTCAAACTTAATGTTTACGGTTAAAATTGAGCAAAACTTAGCGTCAAAGTTTATGTGTTTTAATTATAAAGTTTTTAATTATTGAATAGAGGTGAACATAACCTAAAAAATGTTGTTTTTTGTTTGAATTGTTTTTTTTTTAAGTTTTATTATTTGATTAGCTTTTGCCCGCGACTTCGTCCCGGTAGTGTTTAATAAAAATGTAATTCGTTTTACTAGACATAGTATGTGTCAATTCTCTCAATAAGATTCGCAATTTTATTTTAAACAAATTAATTATATAAAGAATTGCTAATAATGCACTTCAGCGCGCCATCTTGGATTCAACTATTTAACTATAACTATGATTGAATTTCAATGCCAACTTTTATCCTATAGAAAAGGGCTGTCTTTAGGGTTTTCCCAGCAATTATTCGAATTTTTCTCGCCGTAAAAACCATCCTTGGACTTTAACAAACATTTAAAAAAAAGAATTGGTCAAATTGGTCTAGGCGTTGTTGAGTTATGCGCTTTCCAACAGATTTTTATATTATAGATTTAACGCTTGTAAAATAACGTTAACCCGTGTAAAACACAATTGCAATTTTCGATACAAGAATATAAACGTAATTTATGGTTGAAGTTGTTATGAAAACTACTCTCGCACTTTGTAAACGTATATAATGTTAGGTTTCCTGTTCCTGTAAGACCAAATACTTCATCCTAAGAGCCTGCAGGATAAAACCTTTCGCGTGATACTCCACTTTTGCTTCTTGAGGTTACTGCGTTTACATGGCGCACAAACTTGTAGCACTAAAAACTTTAAGTTGCATATTATCATATTTCACGCGCTATTAAGACACCCGAAACAATTATTTACTAATTTTTAGCCTTGGGCCTTGACTTTCCATGCCCGCCCATGTCTCCAATATCACGGATCGATTTCCCCACTTGGCGCTACTTATTAAACTAATTACTAATTACGGCGTCGACTTAACTAGTTTTCAAGGGTCTTGAGTTTTCGCGTCTTGTGTGTCGGGCATGTCAAGGGGTGGACAGGTTTTTGCCCAGCGTGTGCTTCCAACTCGATTCATTTCGCCTGTAGACTTTAGATCGTAACTCGTATCCCTGAAGCCTCGTTGTGCGTTTCTTACAAATATTTTCCTCATCAAATTACGCGCACACACTTATCCTGATATAATCATGTAAGGTGAAAGTTATATGAACGGAAGAAGACTTATAATGCTATAAATTTTCCCGGACACTCGAATGAGATTAGACTTGATTACAAGTTATATAGTTTGGCGCGGATGGAAGTAATTTTGTTCAAGCGTAAACGTTTGACATTGACTCGCCTCGCCAAAAATAATTCTCTAGTTCTATTTTTGTAAAATCTTTGAAGTGAAGGTTTGAATCTCTTTTTGTGCCCGAGGCGCTTGCATCCCTTTGTGCAAAATTTAACTGTCTCCGGCAGGAAATGATTTTTCGATTGGTCAAGACGCAACTGACAAAAAACTTTTTAACCGAAAAGGATCAAAAATACGAATAAAAGGAACAAAGTATATTGCTGTGTATGTGTGTGTGTTACAATTGTGTAACCAATTCTTATTCTCATTGGTCCGCGAGTCACAAAAGACGAATTTCGGCCGAAGAAAGAAGAAAACTGCAAAAGCGCAGGATTCGAACTTTATTGTCATGGCAGTCCGTATAATGGCATAAAAACGAACAATAGCCACTGTGCTCAGACTTATCTATAGATAATTAATAAATGCTCTTTTAAACTTTTTAAATAAATTTTCTATTTTTTTCTATTTTAGGTACGTAATATCATCGCTCTGCGGCGAGGAAAAATGCCCGACGCCTGATGCCGTCGTTGGATTGTTGTTCTGGGTGGGCTACTTCAATTCGGCGCTGAACCCGCTCATCTACGCCTACTTCAATCGTGACTTCCGGGAGGCGTTCAAGGATACACTGCTCTGCGCCCTTCCGTGCTGTTTCGGCTGTTGGAAAAATCCGGCTAGGTTTCTCTAGCAACCGCTCGAGAAACCCATCTACGCTGATGCTGGTCTATAATTGTGTGTTGTATATCTAATAAACTTCGAAAAAACGCCGAATCATTCCACAGAACTCATTCTACGCGCATAAATAAAAAGTAATAATGTGAGCAAAGACGTAAATTAAAAGACATTTTGAAACAACATCTAGACTGATATAAATTTATATTAAATTGTTTGTAATAATTATATTGTATTTTAAGCAATATTCTGTTTGACTGTCATCAAAAATTACGTACATACAACGATTAATGCAATTTTAATCCGAATTGAATTTTTTATTCGATTATATACAAACGTTTAATTAAAAAATATTTCTCATTGTGAATTTTGGGCGTAGGCGTGTGTTTTTGTAGATTCTCTGTTTTTTCGGTGAATTTCATTAAATGTTCACGTTTACCGCTTTCGGTCGGCGCGCTGTTTGTTGACGCAAGCCGTGTAGTAAAATGCGAAATGCGAATTTACGAGAAGCAATAAAACAAAGACTTTCGTCGCGTTATATTCAGTAACAGCCGTGCGCAAACTTAAGACGAACTTAAATTTTTTGGACGAACATTGACACATATAGCGCTAAACTGGACAAAGAAATGACATCTACATAAACGACCTACATAAATAAATAAAATATATAAATGTAAAATATATACGAAAATATTTATAAACGTAAATATACATAAATAGCAAAAAAATGCATAAATATATTATACTTAAAGACATACTGAATAATATAAAAAGAGAGAAAGCTTTATGATTAAGCTCACTATATGTTTCTGTGATATTTGTATTTTTCTGATATTTTTTAGATTGCTTTTCCTTGTAAATAATTGCGATATAATTTCTAGCGCGCTAATGAAACTTAAATTATATCCTGTGTAATTTATGCAGTTGTTGTAGGCAACTCATATTACACGCTCTAATGGCCAGGAAGTTATATACAACGAAGAAAACCCACAGAATAGGAATAAGATCTCAAATGAATGACATTTGTATTATTGGTTGCCTATATTCAACTGTATGAATAACACACGATGTATAACTTAACAAATTGTCTCTAAATAAACATGATGTGAATAGAAAGTGTAAAATTAATAAAAGATTTACGTTAGAGTTAATTGTAGGCGTATTATACGGTTAGCTCGTTGTTTAGATGTCCATCATTGATACCCTAATCAATTAATTAACGCTAGCGTTAAAATAGAAACGCAAACTTTTGTATACTCGGTTAGTTATCGACAACAACAACATGAACAAACTTTGTGATTAACTGGTAATTGAATTAGCACACTTCAACACAACCAACTCAAAACAAAAAACTTTAAAATGCAAAACTGATGTACAAGTTGTTGAAATCGGGTTGAAAAAAATGTGTACGTATGCGAAAGTTTGACAGCGGTGAAACGAGCTTTGAAAGGATGTATATTTGTACAAAGGAAAAAGTATATTAAACGGTGAACAGATAAAACCTAACGCAAAATTAGTTATTTATAAGAAAGGCTGTATTTTTGGTACGTGAGGAACTATATCTTACAAAACGTAAACAAGTAAAGTAAAAAGTAAAAGATATTTACTTAAAAGAAAAATATTAATGTATAGAGTAAAGGGTGGTATTATTATTAGGTTATTAATTATTTACACAAAAGAAAATACGAAAAGTGCACAAACTGGAATGAAACGTTAGTAAAATGGTAAAAAATATATTTTTTCTACTTCCATCTATAAAGCGCCAGTTTTTTCATGGTTTTTAGACGCAAAACGTGGTACTTTATATACGAATGGCCAAGCCGTACATAATCTTCATTATGTACTTGTATTAAGCACGGGACGGAGCAAGCGCGTGCGCATTTGCCTACGGAGCAGAACAAGGCGGTATGCAATGCCATGCGACGTCAGTCAAACACTTCAAAGTAAGTAGGCGCTGCTGCTGTTCGTATCGGAGGGGCACGATATGAACCGAAGCGTCTCATGGGCCGACGCGTGGAACCGCAACGTGGAAATAGAGTGGAAGTAGAAAAAATAGCGTAAGCACCTCGTGGCTAAACGTTGTTAAACACTCGATTGATTGACGGCTCGCTACACACGCTCTCAATCAATCTCCTCTGTAATGCCCTCATTTAGCTACTTGTTACTTAATATACTATTTATACAATTGTTTTAATACCACCCTTATTTCTATGAAATAAAAAATTAAACTAAGTGCTAAATGTATTGTTTCTAATGTAAAAAGCACACAATTGTGATAATTTAAACAAATCTACTTGATTTACCTTTATCTATAACCTATACTTTACGAATTGTCTTCCTTTTATTCATTTATTTTTATATCTATAACTATAATGACATAAAACTTGCACAAAATGAATGTACATAAATAAATCTTTATATTTATTCGATAACTAAATATTTATTTACGAACTTGTTACGTGTTACATGTTGTATGTTTATTAGTTTCGCTATCTGTGATTATAAACGAGTATAATTTACACATTTATCACTGTTATCACTACCACGTAAGATGATATGTACTATAATAACGTTTATTATTTTGTAATCATGATGCATGCAGTTGATATCGACATTTATAAGACTTTTGAGTGTTATGTGTTAAAAGTAAACTTCTACCAGTAAATTGAAGTACATTTAAAAAGCAAGTTTAAACAAGATTACAATTAAATAACATGACAATCTTCTGTAGGGCCTATTTTGTATGACTTCACCCACACGCCCGCAAATATGAAATATGTAATGTTATAAGGGAAAAAATGTCAAAAGTGTCGAAAAATGTGTAAGAAATGTTTCATTTCACATGCAACACAGTAAATGAGAATGTACATCATAAATGTATCTAATTACTACACTACCAAATAAAATTATTGTTTGTTGAAGCTGAATATTATATTTTTATATTTTGGTAAAGTGATTTCCTGTAAAATTCAACAAAATAATAAAGTAGCACACTTTACACCATATTAAGAATTAGTAGCACCATCTATAGAAGAAAAACATAGGCATGTGAAAGTAGTGAAGAATCACGTATAATCTACGCAATATTTACAGAAACCTGTAAAATTACTTTTTCTTTCAGAATTATTTAGCAAAATCAATATAGATGGCTCTGAAATGTTTATTATGATTATTAAAAAGTTTTTACAAACCTAATCCCCACAATTTCTTAACCAGAATGAAGTAGACTACACAATGTTTCGATGGTAATCAACAAATTAGAAATTAGTCATTTATTGGCTTCGATTAGCAAGTGTCTGGCTTGAGCCTTCTGACATTACCGAGGTGTGTGAGCGCACGAAGATCAATCACGGTCGAATGTCGAAATTAATTATTCAATAAACACACCCTCTTCGAAGCGTTTGCGTCGCGATTAAATCGAAAACCTTCCTTTGCCCGAAGCGCTCACTTACAAAACCACAAACCTACACTACTCACCTACGCCAAATCAAAATATATACAGGGTATTGCAGAAATATCTCATAAACAAAAATAGAAGAAAAAGCATAACTTTTAGACGATTTCTGTGTCCTGTAGATTATACGGTTGGGTTTCGACTTTTGCGTGACCAACATTTCCAATTCGGCTTAGAGCGAAATCCTGTGGATCGAACATGAACATTAACGTGCCGTATAAATCCTTCGATGTGTCCGAATATAGTCCAAGGTTTGTACTTAACTACAACGTATTATTCTTTAAAAAACTCACTCACACAGGAAAAAACTTCAAAAAATCAAAACATATTTAATTCCAATTCGATATTTTTAGAGTTTTAAACAGTAGTATTAACTGTTTTTGTTTTGAAAGTTATTTAAAGTGTTGAAGTGATACTCAGCTTTTTGGCATCACATCGGCAATTATAAATCGCAATAGTTTATCGTTTTTTGTTGTTGCCGAGCAGACAACTGGCAGTACATATGCAATCGTGGCACTAATTTTATTGTGGTTTTATTTTTAACGCACAGAATCGTGAAAAACGTGCGCTGGGGCACAGGGGGCCGACCGCGACTGCAAACAATCAAATCGCATGCACTGCGCCAGTTTGTGTATGCGTTCACGCGACGAACCGGCGAATAAAACCGATGGTAATCATTGAGTAATAAAAATGCAATTCTACGGGGAGAAGGAGAGCAAAACCAACGGCGATTTCCTATTTCCAGACCACACGTGCGTTTAATTTTTATTATGTCTATAATGTATACGATTTAATTCACTTTATAACCATTTAGATATGATTTTTTTTATTAATTCGTAGAATTTCTCGTCAAATGCAGTTTGCGTGGATATCAATTATTCTAAAGACGATTGAGTGAGAGTTTTCTCGTTTTGTAGGCGCTGCACACGCCTTGCTTGATTATACCATCTGTCAATCGTGTACAATGCGCAAAGGGCGTGAAACGAAGTCTAAATAAAGCGAGCGACGGCGCGAAGACTAAAGACCGACTAAAGACCTTCCAACCCCCTTTGTTTCCACAAACACAAGTGAGCATTACTGAGAATTCCATCGGCAAGTGATGAGTTGAAAACGAAATGCCGAAATTCGAATGGCAAACAGCGCAAATTGTAAACGTTGCTTTCAGAGACGAAAAGAAACAAAGACGGCGATGAAAGCACAAATAAAATACAAAGAAACAAATATTATTTGTTAAATATTTTATTTTTGAAGAATTTTTAATTAATTTTAAATTAAAATTTTGATATTTTGTTTTTATTTTTTATATGAAATGTTAATAATTGATAAGGTGCGCGACGTGTGGTTGGATTCGCGACGCCCGCCACTGCGCCCTCTCGACGTGCGCCTCGTAAAAGCGCACCACCACGCCGAGGCGTCGCGACGCTTTTATCACGAGCTTTAGTACGTGTTCGCGCTCGCGTCCGGCCACTCACCAGCTCGTTGCGCGGTCCGAAAGCGCTTTCTACAATGCGCGCTTACAGAAAAAAACAAATCGTAGATATAGCCTAAAAGTTTAAACTTTACACCATGCATTCGGAATATGTAAAGCTTTTTGTGAAAAAATGTAAGTAAAAAACGCAAAATTTCACACATCAAACAAAAAGACTTTGCGAAAAGCTCTCAAAAGCTCAAAATTAACTTTATTTAATACGGTTGGTGTATTTTATGATGTACTAGTGGAAAATATGACCGAAACAAGACGAAACTAATACCGGATGAAAAGTTTTTGATAAATTACTCAGTCAATGTGGATTTTAAACTAACACGACGGAGATCCACCGAAATGAATGCAAAATGCAATGTGTCTAAGTTTATAATCTCTCGGCTACTTACACCGCCCGAGTGAAACGCACGAGTTTCGGAAACACGTTCGAAATCGTGCGGCTTTCGCGCTCGCGAGAGCTTTCGCAGCTTTTAACAAATGACGCGTCGGCGGGCGCAACCAGCGACGATTTATCGCTCGAAACTAATTTAATGTTTGAATATGCGTGCATATTTTCTTAATTAACTTCAAACAAACACATAAATTTAATTTGGACACAAAGCATAATATTACAATCTATACAGTCAAATTTTTCTAGTGTATCGATTAATAGAAAACATTAAAAGAGCATTAGCGCAACGTAAATGAAGTTATTTTTAGTTGCAGACGCTTTTGTAGTCGAAATATTCGCGTGGATAAAATTCAAACAAATAAAACACGAACAAATAATTTAATTTCGCTGCAAATTTGACGTGTATTTATTTTTATTTTTATATGTAGCAAAAGTTTTGAAGTTTGAAGCTCGAGAATTTAATTTAAAATAGTTAGAACGTCACGCATCACAAGTTAGGTTAGATAACCTCAAAGCAAAATGTAGAATTAGACCATTTGTCATGTTCCAAAGCAAAATAAATTACATCTGACTGTCAAGGTTTAGCCATCAGTCTGCATTTCCCGCCGCCCAAAAATAATATATTGCGTTGTCGCATTAACCAAACCGCATTAAGCTTTCATACATTTAAAAATTACGAGCAAATAAAATAAAACTCAAACGGAAATTTTCTCTTCCCCCGTGGACTGACTGAGAGGAAATCAAATACTCGAAAATTATCGCAGGTGTTTGTAAGCAAACAGAAATTTAATTGAATTTCCCCACAAATCAATAAAATAAAATTAATGTTTCAGGATAAATGATTGAATCATGATGCTTGAAGATAGTGAAACGTTTTATGCTGAAAAAATGTGATTAAATAAGTGAGGATAAAATAATGTGAAAAACAATGACACAAAGAACACCAGTGGACAACGCAAACGCGACGTCATACGAAGCCAACTCGACCTACATCAACGCCACCCTCTTCAACCATCCGACGGCGGCGAATATTTCCACATTGGAAATCTTCGACTATCGCCATCAATCATGGCCGCTCATCCTTCTTGTGGTGCTCAAGACAACCCTAATGGCGTTGATCATCATCGCCGCACTCTTCGGGAATCTCCTCGTGATTGTTTCAGTGATGCGACATCGCAAGCTGCGCATCATCACCAATTACTTTGTGGTCTCGCTGGCACTCGCCGATATGCTCGTTGCCATCTGGGCGATGTGTTTCAACTTCAGCGTGGAGATCACGGGCGGTCGATGGTTATTCGGGTACTTTATGTGTGACGTGTGGAATTCTTTAGACGTCTACTTCTCGACTGCATCAATTCTTCACTTGTGTTGTATATCAGTCGATAGATACTATGCAATTGTGCAGCCGTTAGACTACCCGTTGATCATGACCAATGCGAGGTTAGGTGTGATGTTGGCTGTGGTGTGGTGTTCGCCGGCGCTGGTGTCGTTTTTGCCTATATTCATGGAGTGGTATACAACCGCGGCGAACTTAGACTTTCGGAAACGTAATCCGCAGTTGTGCTCGTTCACCGTAAATAAACTATATTCGGTGATTTCGTCGAGTGTGAGTTTCTGGGTGCCCGGCATGGTGATGATTATCATGTACTATCGCATCTATATGGAAGCTGACCGACAGGAGCGGATGTTGTACAGGTAGAGTTGAAATATATTATTGTTTGTATTGTCCCAGTTCGTATCGATTATAAGTACAGCTAATATTGACTAAATGTTCTTCTTGAAACCTAATAATTAGGAACTGTGTTGTTCGTAGAGGAAAAAAACATATGGCACATGTAATTGTGGTTTTAACCTCAATTTATGGCTATTTATTTTACTCCGGAGACAATTCAGTTTAAACTGTACGGGGAATTTTCGTGGGTGTACTCTATACAAAACAATGTCATTAATTAATCTTTGTATGAGTGAGGGTGAACATGTAGAATACGAGTACAACTATTATTTCCTTGAGTAGCAGGTAATATCAAATGACATTAAATTTTCACGGCGCATCAGGAATATACATGTACAGGGTATTTTAAATCAAATAATTTATTGTTCAAATTAATAAAAAGGGAAAATTTTAGGTTTTTTAATTTAGAAATCTAAATTTGAATAAGAATTATTAAAAAATTGTAACTTTGCTATTCTGGCGATAGATGGCTCTATTGTCAATTTCCAGTGTAACTCTGCAACCCGTGAATCCCTACTATTAACCTCACAACGTTCAAATTAAATAAAAATATCAAAATATTTGTTTTTCCTTTCTATCTTCTTGATTTTATATTTAAAAACGAGATACCCTGTATATTCTGAATGCACAAGCAGCAAAAAAGTGAAAAACCTTGGAAAATTGCATGTAAAATTCATAGATTTACCTACATCGATTGTTTTTCTTCTTTTAAAAATATCACCTCACAAAAATACAAAAAAATCTATTCCTGCGCGTTTCACACGTTCGCACTATCAAAATGTAAATTTTAAACTTTAAAAATATTCTATAGTTAAACGTTCCTGAAAGCACCATTTCAGTTAAAGCTCTCGTGCGTGTGTGTCTGCTAAAATACAAATAGAGAAGAAAAAAGAGTAACGCCTTAAAAGCTTCGCGCATCCTGCCATCTTGCTTTCTTGCTGCGGCATCTTTCCGGCGGCGTTTTCGCACGTCCTGTTCCGGTTTGCTGTTTTCTACGCCCTCCTTAAACGTAACTTACTAAGTAATACACTCACTTGTACTCGCACTCGCAGTGCGGCGAAGAAATAAGTTTATAATTGAATTAGTCGCGGCGTTTTCGCCTTCACACATGTGCTCATTGTATTTGCGTTGTGGTTGTCAAAGCCTACGCTCTACCACAGCTTCGACAGACACTTTGTGAAAGTGCATTAGCAGGGAATATAACGCTTTCATCCATGCGCTGAGAACAAAGCCAAGGATGTAAGATTTTCTACCAGGACTAATTTTATTATGAAATTTCATACTGGAGTAATAAAGCTAAAAATTATCGATAATTTTTTGTTAGATTTTTGTCCGTTTGGCTAAACATGATTCAAAACAAACAAAAAACTCAATAAAAAGATCTTCTAATAGGTATATTATTACGAGTAAGTTGATTAAATCAAGAGGTTGCATTTTTTGGTCTTGTTTATTCGTTTTTGTTTCGTTTTTTGTTCATCGGTGGCTCATGTAATGAGGGCTTTTGTATTCTAGCAATTCTCGAATTGTCTATTTTCGTCGATGTGATTCGCTTTACGCAAACAGCAGCAACCGGCAAAAAGCGATTGAATCGGTCTAGACGAATCGTTTCAATAATAGATCTTTCGGAAGCCATAAGGCATTCAAGAATGACATCCCCATATTAAATATTAATATAATTTTTTAAATTTAAAATCGAGTTAAAATTAGATTTAACAGCGTTGAATGAATGTTATGTATATTAACTGTGTGTCATCGCTGCAATTTGCCAGGAAATTGCATGCAAATGTACATTGTTTGCGTCTATTATTATTCCCTCAGTACCCACAACAAGTGTGACGCAATCACACACAGTAAATATTCTATATTTATTGCAATAATAAAACGCAGATAAAAATTAAAATAAATTTAATTTTTTTTTCAAAGTTTGCATTTTGAAAGTGTAAAAATAAGCAAACAAAATACGCCAAGAAGAAAAACGGTTGTGTAAACAGAGCTTTTGCAAATCCGATTACAAATAGAAGAGGAAAGAACAACTCGAAACGGTCGAATCGACTTTCAGGATTTTGTTCGCCCAACTTTATCTGCGCGCAATCTAAGTTTTAAAACAAATGCGTCGAGAAGTTTCTACTATACAACCATCTTTATAAATCTTTATAAATCTTTATCCAACCACTTTAATCGCAAATCTGTGGAAACATTCCAAACACCTAGAGTGTAATTGAAATTTCAATTCAATTAAGTATTAAATCCAACAGAGCAAAAACAGAACAAAAAATAACACAATTTTGTTTTGTTTCAGCGATGAAATATAATTAACACAAGATTAATTGATGAAATTGTTGTTAATTAACGTGAATTTAACGTGATTTGACATAATCTGACGCGGTGCTCACTTAGCATCGTCTTTCGAATGACATGCAAGTTGATAAACACTTGAGACTTTATGAACATCCGTTGTTATGCCTGCCAAGAACCCGCCGCAGTCTCGCTTGGCCTCAAATGCGGTTACGTCGTTTGCCAATTAACGGTGAACTGCGCTTCCCGCCGCCCAAACAGTTTCAAGCATCCTGCTGTCCACTTCTACTCCTGTTCCTTTGCATGTATATATATAATATTGTACTCAAAGGTAACCAGGCAATATTATAGTAGTGTAGGTATATCAATATACACACGATATTAATGATTGAGCCTTCGTCCACAAACGGATGAAACATAACATAATTTCATTATAATCTAAATATAGACAACTAAATATACAAGAGTAAAAATATATTAAGCGAATTATATTAGATATGTATATTGGAATTGTTTGGATAGGTTGAAAAAAATATATTTTTGTCTTTTAATTTCTAATCTTGAACTTATACTTGAGCAATAATACGCTAGACGTGACGTCATTGTTGAGTTATATACTATATAATTGCCCGTGACTACAATTTCTCTTCCTTTCTGGTTAAGCCTGATAGAGGAAGTGACGTCAGTTTTATGTTTTATGCTTTGATTGGAATTTTGCACATCTTAGCGGATTTTTCTCCAAATTTTACTGTTAATCTTGTATTAAATAAATAAATAAACACATATTTTGTATTCCATTGTATAAATTTTATCTATAATATAAAAATGAATCGCAAAATCTGTTGGTAAGCGCATAACTCAACAACGCTGGAACCAATTTGGCCAATTCTTTTTTTAAAATGTTTGTTAAAGTCCAAAGATGGTTTTTACGATAAGAAAAATTTGAATAATTGCCGGGAAAACCCTAAACACAGCCCTTTTCTATAGGATAAAAGTTGGCATACAGATTCAATTATAGTTATAGTTAAATAGTTTAATCCGAGATGGCGCGCTGAAGTACATTATTAGCAATTCTTTATATAATTAACTTCTTTAAATAAAATTGCGAATCTTATTGATTGAATAGGCACATATTATGTCTAGCAGAAGAGAGTAAAAACTAATTACATTTTTATTAAACACTACTAGGACAAAGTCGCGGGCAAAAGCTAGTTAATTAAATAGATATTTTTGTAATTTTATATTTTTGTCATTAAAAACAAGCAATTAAACAGAAAATAATCTTACATTTTGTTTCATAAAATCTTTTTCCATTTTATTAATGCATCTTCTGGTTGATATAATTAATGTCATCGATTAAATCGTCTTTCATTGTTTCATTAAGCTTGCTTTTGTACAGGAGAGACGAGTCGACAAACAATGACCGATTAGTTTACACCCGAATGGCTTGCGGTGTTCATTATGCTGATGATTACTCTCATAATAAACAGAATATTAATGGATTTCAACCTTATACAACACAGTATTCGTAGAATATAATAAGAAATTTATATTAAAAATACAATACATAATTAAAATGAATTCTTTTATTTTATTTTTACAAATAATTCAAGAAAATAACTCATATTTTACCAGAAAACAAAAGTCTCTTATAATATATTAAACATAAAAGTTAATTAATTATCTGAATGTAAGTGATTTGTGCCTAATATGATAATATTGGTGATATCAGCCAGACCAAGGTACGCCGTTAGTTAAACTCGGTCAGTGGGTGTGCAGGGCAGGTATTTTCGTCTGCAAATCGATAGAATGCATTAATGCTAAATATTTTATTGCGGAATCGCCACCATTTGGCGTCCCGACTCTTCTCATTTAACTTCAAACTCTTCAAACAAAAACAAAAACAACTATTTACTACAACTATTTTATTTATTTCAAATGCAACTCCAACTGCATCTGTAATAGAAATAATTATATTTTAATTAATTTTATTTTTAAATTAAATTCATTATAATCTTAATTAAAACTTGTTTTTGTTAAATTTGAATTTATATTAAAGGGATTTGTGCGTGAGATCAGAAACTCTTAAAACTAATTTATTATTCGTGAGATTTTTGTCAATTTGAGCGTTTGTCTTGAGATCTCTATCAAAATCTCGCAAACTTTTCGGATTAAAATATTGAATTGAGTTTTTGGTCAATATGCGACAGCCTTGAACGTTTTACTTATCTATAATATAAAAATGAATCGTAAAATCTGTTTGTAAGCGCATAACTCAACAACGCATGGAACAATCTGGCCAATTATTTCTTTTTAAATGTTTGTTAAAGTCCAAGGATGATTTTTACGGCGAGAAAAATTTGAATAATTGCCGGGAAAACCTTAAGACAGCCTTTTTCTACAGGAAAAAAGTTGGCATTGAGATTCAATTATAGTTATAGTTAAATAGTTTAATCCGAGATGGCGCGCTGAAGTACATTATTAGCAATTCTTTATATAATTAATTTCTTTAAATAAAATTGCGAATCTTATTGATTGAATAGGCACATATTATGTCTACCAGAACAGAGTAAAAACGAATTACATTTTTATTAAACACTACCAGGACAAAGTCGCGGGCAAAAGCTAGTTAATTAAATAGATATATTTGTAATTTTCAATTTTTGTCATTAAAAACAAGCAATTAAACAGAAAATAATCTTACATTTTATTTCATAAAATCTTTTTCCATTTTATTATTGCATCTTCTGGTTGATATAATTAATGTCATCGATTAAATCGATTAAAATTAAAATATATATTATTAATTTGTATAAAATAAAATTGCGAATCTTATCGATAAAATTGACGAGACGAAGTCGTGAGCAAACGCTGATTTCTGATAAATTTAATAAAATGTAATAAATCATAATCGATGTTGACGCAAGCTTTCCAAATGAATCATACTCATAAATCACACATAATAATTAAATATTAATCAATGCGTATATTTAAAACGTTTTTAATTAAAAAATATGCATGTTTTCTATCAATTGGTGGTTTCCACCCTTCAAGTTAAGGGTGCCGCACCCTATTTTTGAATAATTCATGAGATGCATGTAATCCTTGCCGTACTTAGTGGAATCACGTTCGGGAGTAACGCAATGCTTGATTACACAAAACGTAACCTAAAAATGTTCGAAACTTTCAAAATGGAACGAAAACAAAACGGAATTATTTCGTATTGAAATTCATTCCAACCGCGACCAAACTCGATAAAACCTATGTGTGAATAAATGAAGAATGCAATGAAACGAATCAGTTACAAACAATCCACATTGATAAATATTATTGAAACATACGAAAAACAACTTGTTTTATCAATTCGAAAGGATTGACGATCAATGTAGGGAATATTATCATGAAAAAATCCTTTATTACACTTTCTAGCTGCGTGTTTTTATTTTATTTTTGTTTCGGATAGTGATAGTAGCTTTTTACGTTTCTATTTCTACGCTTGCGGTTGTTTTATCGACGCAGCGATGTATGTAGGACGAAAATAACATAAATTATCATTGTCCATCGTCTATCTTTCCGACTTCGACTTCGACCGACGCGCTAGTATCATTAACCGAGCATATTTGGATTAAATACCAGCGAAATCGACTTTTGGCATACCAACTGTTCCAAAATAACAAATTCCCCAAATTTGGGTAACTGAATAGTTTGCTTTGTTTCATGCTTCACCGATAAACCACCCCTTTCGTGAATAATTTACAAAGCAATAAAATTTGAAAGCATTACCTCTGTGTGAAAGTTGGATTGTGATGTGTTGTGACATTGATATAATTTGGGAAAAGCGTGTCTACGTCGACAAAATTCGATTTCGAGGGTGTATCGCGAGGGCGCGACGCAATAATGCAAAGCAACTCATTAATAACTCGATAACGAGGCTGAACACCCAACGATAATAAAGATAACAACTGTGTGACAATAATTGTTGTCAAGATTCATTAAAAATTTCGACTTGATATTCAATATATATTTTTGTGTATCTACCTATAGTGTGGAGGCGCCGGGCATAATCATATTAGTAACTACTAGAACGTAAAAAATTGTTATGCTTATTTATGTCGATAGGCCAAACTCTAATTTTGTACAAAAACCTTTCCGTTGCAGGCGGAAAAAATATTCTACACAATAACGGCCGAAAAATACAATGGCGAACGGAACACCATGGGAAAAACACTTTTCAGTGTTTTTTAGCAATTACCTGCGCACAACACACAACACACAAAAAAAAAACACACAACAACCGGAAAACACCGAACTGCGCTGTACTTTAGCGAACGCGAATCGAAAATTTGTTAGCGTGACTACCTGCGTTTATGTTTAACTGTGTGCGGGGGCGTAAACAGCGATTTTCTTGGAAATGGGTGATATCGACATGCGGCAATCATATGTACATATTTCAAGTGGCAACAAACACAAGAAATCAAAATTTTTAACAAAAACAAAAAAAATTTTTTGCAAAAAATGTATAAAAATGTCCCAGTAGTGTTAAATAAAAAGGTAATTCCTTTTTACTCTCTTGTTCAAGACATAGAATGTGTCAATTCTATCAATTAGATTTGCAATTTTATTTTAAACAAATTAATTATATAAAGAATTGCTAATAATGCACTTCAGCGCGCCATCTCGGATTCAACTATTTAACTATAACTATGATTGAATCTCAATGCCAATTTTTATCCTATAGAAAATGACTGTCTTTAGGGTTTTCCCAGCAATTATTCAAATTTTTCTCGCCATATAAACCATCCTTGAACTTTAATGAACATTTAAAAAAAAGAATTGGCCAAATTCGTCAAGGCGTTGTTGAGTTATGCGCTTACCAACAAATTTTACGATTCATTTTGATATTATAGCTTTTAATTCAAAATCAACTTAACTAAAAATTAAATAAAAATAGCTAAGCATTATTTTTATCAAGATTTAAGAGATTAAAATTTTATTTCATTTTTTTATAGTTTTTCAAAGTAAAATATAATAAATAAGTAGTTATAATAAACGTCATAACCTCAAAATACCTGGATCCGTGAATTACGGTTGAATTTATGAGCAAAACGCTAAATTAATTAGTGTTCTAGATGAGAAGCAGGCTGGCAAGCCACAAGATACGCCACGTTGCACCTTCTCACCCCGACTACGCTTGCCGCCCCATGCTTCCGGCGCACTTTGCAGCCCACCATCGCTGAACTGCATTACACTGCACTGGAAAGTGAACGCGCAGCGAGAAAATACTAAATATATTAAATCTACAATTGCGCCGTCGAGCGAATCAGAACGTAATTAATTCCTGCAAAAACCTCGCCGGATATTACTTATTCTGTTTATTTTATATATGGTTTTAACACTTAATTTAACGACTGAAAAAAGTTGCGCACGAAAAATATGATATTTACTTGTTTTATGTTTTCACTCGCGAAAAAAATGCAAAAATTATGCGGCTTGAGTGCTCTCGGGTTACCGCTCGGGACTCTCATGTTACGCACTTGAAACAAAAAGAAAACCGAAAAATTTGCGTGACGCAAATATTTACGCAAAGAAAAACACGTCGATATTAATATTTTAAAGACGCAACGTTTTATTTTCGTGCAGATTTTGTGTGTTTATATATTTGGGTCGAGTTGGTTTGTTGGTAATAAATTCGCTTCAACAAGTTGGCTCGCTTCGCATCCAACAAATCGCTCACTGGAACCGCCCGCATTCGCTTCGCCGTTGTGCTGCGCGCCTAGCTAATAAAATACGAATCTGCTCTTTACTTCTTTGATGTGCCTCGTTTCTCTTTCTCTGGTGGTGCTAGTGGTGCTACTGGTGGTGGTGGCAGCGGTGTTTTCCCAGAAGAACACCAAGCTGGGTGGAGTATTAGACGGATAGTGTTTTCCTATGTTCGTACTCCATTCGATCACTGAATAGCCACCCCCAAACTCGTTGGTTCTCTATTCTGCTCTATTTATTACGCGGCTTAGCAAACCGGCGGCTTCAAATTCAGTCTTTCATTTATTTTGCTATTAGACTTGTGAAAGAGTTGTGTTTATGTTTTGCATTCAATTTTTGAATATAGGAGAAAATGTAAAGAATACTAGTAATTTTAAAAACATGTTTTTGTCTTTCATTTCCAAAATATTATAAAATTTTAATTTTTTTTTATTGCATTATGTTTTTTTTATATTTAGAAACATAAATTAAAATTCAACATCTTTCTTCTTCCACCTTTAAAACACCAGTTTTTTTTAAAGTTTTGAGACATAAAAGTTAAACTTTAAACACGGACGACCAAAACCGTAACTAAAGTACTTTAGTCACGGGTTTTAGTCATGGGTGGAGCTTGTGCTTACGCATTTGCCTAAGACATTTATAACCTTACATTTCCCAGTAGTGTGCAAGCGAATTTCGGTGATTTGAAATAAAGTGGAAATAGAAAAAATAGTGTAAGCATCACGTGACTAAACGTTGTTAAACACTCGATTGATTAAGCAGTCGCTACGCTCGCTATTAATCAATCTCGTGACTAAAACTTTCAATAATTTTTAGTGTCACTAGTGCAGTTTTGCAGTTTCGAGTGTCACTAGTGTAAATCGTGTAAAAATAAAAATATTTGTTATATTTGGAACGAAACGTTGCAATTTTTGGCATTTCTGCTCAAAAATACGTAATTTTTGCATAACAACAGTACACATTTCTATATTTTATGATGAATTTGCTAAAATTAGGCAGCAAATTGAATTAAAATTCACATTTTCCTCATTTTTGTTATATTTACGCTTGAAATTCATATTTTTTTCCCTCAGATTCATTCCGATTTTTAATTTTCAACATAAACCGCTTTTTTCAACTTTGCGTGCATAGAAATATTATTTTTCATATTAAGTACACAATTTATATTATCTTATTTGCAATAAGAATTTCTTTAATTAAAATGCTGCTTGTTTAATTAATGCAGAAATTTGTCGCGCGCTATTGGAACAATTAAGACGGAAGAAAAGCGATCGGATCACCATGATGGTGATCACCGGCTGTCGATGGAAGAGACGTACGGATCAAAGCTATCCGAGGGTAAATTACACGCCGCCGTAATTTGCATTCGTCTGTTTCGAAGAAATTAAACACGAACGAACGATATTGCAATGGAAATTACTTTTTCGTCGAACTTAAATTATTCGATTTCAATCGAGTGCAAAAATGCACACAAAAAACGCAAATGTCTCTCTAGAAAATATTGAAAAGTTTTTCTGCAAACGAATGCAATATTTTGCTTCGCAGAAGTTTATATCCCAAGCGAAATAATAAAGTTCAGAGTGGAATTCCACGTTTTTGCCTATATTTAACGATACGAATAAAAAGTCGCCATGAATCTAAATAGAAAAATTGTTTTAATGTGACTCAACTGCGTTGTATTCAACTGCTTTAAAAACTGGAAATATACAAGAGTGGGTGTGAAGTGTGTTGATTCTGTTAATGCACCCGAGTAATTTGCATTTGTTTGTTTCAGGAGTAAAGTGGCGGCGGCGTTGCTCAACAAACACCTGCAGATCAACGGCATCTCGGCGGGGCTGACGTCGCTGCGGCAATCCGTGGACGCGGATTACACCGAGGTGAAGACGGATCCGGGCACGAGCAAGATGAAACGCGAACGCAAAGCCGCCCGCACACTCGGCATCATTGTTTCGGCATTTCTTGCGTGCTGGCTGCCATTTTTTCTTTGGTGAGTGTCAATTTACCTCAACATATATAATAACCCAACGTATGCTACCCAAATTACACAAATACATAGCCTATATTTTGTTTTCTTAAATCTAGTAGTGTTTCTTTTCGAGAATGTTCACAGCAATAAGTAAAATTTACGATTATTGCCACTTAGGAGTGTGCTACATACAGCTTACAACTTGCAAGCTACAACTAACCGCGATGGTGGTAAGTTGTAAGTGCAAAGCTTAAAGCTCAAAGCTCGTAAGAAACGAGCCATGAAGTGCTCGGATTTTCAGATATATCTTTGGCTTTCATGCTACGCTCAATAAAACAAAAAACAGAAAACAAAAGAATGAATAAAAGCGGTTTACCTTTCGTTAAAAACAAAAACACAAAAATATAAAGACTACTTTTAATACTTTAAGTGATGAAACTATATGCAACCCACATTACACCATAAATAAATATCCTTAACGCGTAAATCAATAGAAATTTATGGAGATATGTCACGTAATCTTCAATCTGTAACCAAAACCATTTTCCGTTGAAACTTGCGACGGTGCGTTTCTTAATCGGCACGCTTCATCATGCCGTTTCGTCCTTTCACCACGAAAATCACGCGACGAAGAAGGAAGTGAAAGCAGACTATCAGTCATTAAACCGTCGCAAGTGGGTGTTATCTGGCGTCAAGCCAGCGCCACACTTGAATGCATACGGATTTCATAATTTATAGATAATAATATTAATAATCTACATTATCTTAAGATTGTTTTTGTTTGCAGGTATGTGATATCTACGCTAACAGATTCGAAAACACCGGCGTCGATTGTCACGCTGGTGTTTTGGGTAGGCTACTTTAATTCAGCGCTGAATCCACTCATCTACGCCTACTTCAACCGAGAATTCCGCGCTGCTTTCAAGAAGACGCTGCAGTCGTGCTGTGAAGCCGCCTCCAACGCGATGCTTTGTTGCTGGCTGTGCCGTTCGCGCCGTGACCAAGTCAACTACAGTAATGCATCGAGTGACATCCACATGAACAATCACGGCCTGCGTTCGGCCGACCATCATCATCACTTTCAACAACATAGAAGTACTGGAGGCGGTGGCGGTGTTGGAGGCGGCAGTGGTGGGTGTCATTATGTAGCCGCAGCTAGCGCGAATGTCTCCGAAGGTGAAATCATCAATCTGCAGACTCAGTGCGAGGCAGTGATTTAATTTAATTTTTATTTTTTTACATCAAGAAAAGGTAAATGAATGAATTATTTATTGAGTTTATAAATAAACGAATTTACATATCAGATTACGTTGTGAGATTGGAATTAAACGGCAGCATGTGCCAAATAAATTATACTTGGTTGTGAATGAACTAAAATCGCAACAAAAAGGTCGTTAAAAATTCATCAAGAAAACTTTGCGATTGTAGGCAACCCAAACTACACTAGAACTTATATATTATTGCTTGCATCAAGTTATAACACTAGATGTGCTGGTAAATATTGGGACCATGAAAAAATTAAAAAGCGTAAAGATTTAGCAAAGAAAACCCCGTGTAGGTGATGCCTAAATATTTATTTTCGCTGATTAAAAGCGCGATTCAATCAAATCAGTTTTTAAGTTTAGAGTTTTTCCTTGCTTGCCGGTAATAATCAATGCGCGCGCGTGCAAAGAAATCGTTTCCGAGATTAGCACTCGCATCACGCTTTGTATCATCCCTTTGGGCGAATTAATTTCATCCCTCTCGTCTTGCATCCGCACATCTAGGTGCTTACGCATTCGAGCGATACTCACAACGCCCGTGTGCGCGCGTGTTTTGCTTTTTTTTTATTTTCTTTCGCTGCGCCTCGTTTCGCCTTTCATTTATTTTTTCAGCGTTTTTACACTTTTTCGCTTCCACGGCTGCTTTTATATCGCAATGGCAGCCAAAGACGCGCCGCGGGGCATGAATAAGTATAAGGACACACGGCGCTCGCCGAAAAAGATTTCCTTTATGGCAGCGCCGGACTACGCGCCTTCGGCGGATCGGAATATAAATCAATGCCAGGGTTGAGTTTAAAATCGCCCACACGTACCAAAAAAACACTTTCAGGTTAACGCAAACTATGTTTGAAGCATTCGGGGTTTAGGGTAGGCAACCCAAAATACACTCAAAAAGTGCAAGAGCTAATGAAGCGAAAACACTTGTGGATTTAGGCCTGGACCTAAACCTAACCTTAAAATATGTGTATCATTCGAGAATCAATATCAATATAATAATGTTTAGACTAAATAATTCATCGTTCACCGCTGAAGTTGGTAAATGTAATATTAGTTGCATAATCAATATTTTCCTGCGTCTCTCAGATTGACTTCGTATAATGTAAGTACACTCACCTACTTATTGAAGCAGTGAAACCTCCGTGATTGATATTGGGTACAATATTCAATATTTGTTTTCGAAGCGTACTTACAACAGTGAATACTATATTCCGTCAAGTTGTTATACAAAAGTAATTAACATTTGCAACATTCGCATTCGTATTTGCGTGGAAGATAAAAATCAAACTCACGTTGAGGTGTATTGTTGGTTGCCTACATTACTCCTAATGACATACTCGCAATCTTGCATCGTATTTTAAAACAGACTCCCTTTTATATATCTACATATTCGTGCGTCGTGAGATAAACTTTGATAACTCACTTTAAACGCCTTTCCGCCCGTTTTGATGCGTACGTATATAGATATACACTTGGAACACGATTTTCAGAACGTGAAACGTCGCTTCATGGTTATTCATAAACACTTTCAATCGCAAATAATGCGAACGCGCGAGCGCTCGCTTTTAAACAATTCAGAACGTCGCGACGCCAGCGTCGAATTTCCACCGGTGGATGTCGACCCACATTCTTTCGCACCGTCGAATTGCGACATGCATTTTTTATGCTCACACACATCGCCGAACAATAGCATACAATACCTTCAATTCTTAGATGATATACAGGGCGATGCCAAAAACACACACGCATAAAAAATACGGTGGGATATAAAAAATTGAATAATTCGCATATCAAAAACAAGCGTTGCGGATATGGATATGTGAATATGTCACTGGAGGGAAATCTATCGGGTCGTATTGCGTCGTAAAAGAAATTTTATTCCTACTCTCACGTGCGTCCTCAAGAAAAACACGTTTTTTTTATTTTATTTTTTATTCGGTTTGAAATGAAGCAATTTTTTAGATATAAAGTGATTTATTTATTTTATGGAAATAAAAAAATGTCATCCGCTGGCTTTAGTTTTTATCTCTAGATGATTTTTTTATTATTTTATTTTTAATTTATGAGCGTAAATCGCGTAAATAAGCAAATAATAAATCACGCTTACTTCCGCCCGACGCAGGTAGAAGTAATCATTCGTTATCGTGCGCACAAGCAACACTTCTCTCCTCCTTCTTCAGCCGGAATTCTGCAGGCGCGTAAATATGCAAATCCGACACGAGATGCACCTAAATTTCAGCCGGCGACAGCTATTGTTCGCACTAAATCATCATCAACCTCCTGGCGCGCGCGCTGAAAAAATAAATACACTAAGTTTTAGTTAGTCTAAGTTATTATAGATGTCACTAGTGTATTCAATCATGTGAATCCCCCGCTTGGCGCGCAACTCGATGAACCCAACTAGGCCGCGTAATTGCGCGCGCGAACGTCGCAACTTCCCGGAAATGCCGGCTACGTCCAAATTTGCATACGACACGCTCAGGTACGCGAAGGTGACTTGCAATTACGCGCCTCGAGTCAAAACCCTCTCTTCGCGTTGAATATTAATGCCGCACATTCAAAAACTACTAGAATCGAATCAAAAAAACTTTTCAAATTCCTGCTAAAATGTCGGATTTTCTTTGAAATTTTAATCGATATCAATCACTTATGTATGACTTGCTCTAGTTTTCAACTTGTTAACAAGTTAACAACTCAACTATGAACACGGTTACAATCTGAACAGAGCTGCTATTATAGGTTATGTCATATGACACTATATATGCTACCTTTTGTACACCTACGTAATAATTTAAGTTTGTGGTTTGCGCGTGGAAGTGAAACGCAATATTTATAATGCATGACCCTTTAATATCCCTTCAATTAACCGTTGAGGACCCTTCTAATAACGCCGCGCATAGATAGTCATTAATATTAAATCGTAACCTAACATAACCTAGAAATAGAGATGCGTTTATTTCCGCCATTATATTCGATATCATTTGATGTCGATGAATATACGCGCGTTCGGCTTCCTTCTTCGATGCGATTTCGCATTGTACGCCATTATTCACTATTATTCGCTATTATCATTCAGCGCTGGTCGGCTTTGTGACGCGTTTCGCTTTTGTACAAAACACATTCATATTACATGAGGCATTAAATTAGCGATATTATAAGGTTAAACGATAGAATTGCTGGGTTTTTATAACCTATTTGACAATAGATGGCGCCACCTAAATGTTTTCTTGATGTGGATTTTTAATGATTTTTTTTTATTCTACGACCAAAATCAATACGATGCAATTTCTGTAATGCGACAATGAATTGTTTTCTAGGGCGTTTTTAGACGTATTCAGTGCAATCAATGTTTGATAAAATTCTGTACATATTTCGATAGTGACATACAACACTATACATACCTATTGCTATGAGACGTTTTCGATGTTTATAAATTAATATCAGTGTATAATATTCTATTGTGGATAGAGATCAAGTATGCAAGTAATAAAATTGATAAAAATGGCATATGAGATATGCAACACTGTTTGCAATGTGTTTAATGTATGCAACCAATATTACACTGCAAACAGTGTTGTTTATCGTTCAATTAATTGAAACACTATTGTTTTGCTAATTAAAATGTGCCAATATTAACTAAACGAATAAACAAAAGTCGTTGACTTTAATTAAATAATGAAAGACATGCACATTAATTAATAAAATTGAACAAAACAGGGTGAAACATGTTCATGCAATCAAAATATAATGTTTAGACATTGCTTTTATTATCGAATTATTTTTTTTTGTTTCTAACAAGAATTACGAGCGTGTAATTTACGCTTGTAATATGCATTCAACGGCAATCAATAAAGTAGTGGTGACTAATAAACTATCTCATTAAATAATGAGGATAAAAATAAGCTCGTTTTTGTTTATTTGTCAAAATGTCAAAGGTAAACACGACGATCGCGTTATGCATAATATGTTCGTCCTTGCGCTGGATTAGGCAACTCTCAACTTTGTTGTCAACAAATAACTTTGACTCGGTCCTAAAACCGATGATGATAATACAAATAACTAGTTACAACTTGTAGTAGCTTAATGTGCACGGCCCGTAACATCTTGTGAAGTGCTTCAAGGCTAATATAGGCAACCCAAAACACGTTACACATAACCACACAGAGATAAAACGCAAAAAAAAAAAAAACACGGCAAAAATTGCTCATCAATCATATCAAAATACATTTTTTCGCCGTGAAACATTACCCACACACACGAGTAATTAATTTTTCACAGCACAAAAAGCGAGTAAAATTTAATGAATGAGCAAAAAAAGTTAATGAATGCCTAACAAAACAAAAAATCGCACGTAAAAAGAAATTACAGCGAATTAAAATATACGCATGAATACGTAAAAAGAAACAAGAGCTTATTTTTATCACTTTATCACATTGTAAAATGAAAGAATGATAAAAAAAAGAACGTAGCTGTCAGGAAACAATTGCACACAATTGTAGAAACAAATTTATTAATTAAGCACCAGCATATACCTACATTTCACTCACTTTAGTTAAAGGACAAAAGTTATATTTTTAGATAATATCAGAATTATAAAAGTGTATATTTAATGAAAAATGGCTGTTTAGTGTGTAATATCTAGTATTAGAGTGTTACATAACGATTCCTAGTCACAATTTACATTTAACTGAATGTATACATTATATAATCACTAAAAAAGCTCGAATTAAATCGGACAATATAATAATATAGAGTATTTAAGTGTGTAATATGTAATAAAGTACAGATTATTATTTTTTTAATCGTTTTGTTACTATTCTTGTACGAAACATATTATATATGTTTGATTATATCACCATTCAAACGTTTAAGTTGTTAAGCATTCTGATAATGAGCACGATCTAAGGGTACATAATATTTTAAGCAAAAGTAAATAAATCTAAATGTATAGAAAGTTCCACGACAAAACAAACAATCATTAACTGCATATTAAAGCGAATGTGTCTACACTACGATATGATGAAAATATATAAATATATAAAACGAGAGAAATAGATCTATGAAGATATATTATGTATAATAAACGTTTATAAAAATCACATGTTTGTATTGCGTTTTTATTTTTATTTTAATGTATGCAACCAACATTACAGCATTTGTTTGCTGAAGGTATATGGCGTATATAGGTTAGGTGAGTACCGACAATGCAGTCGTGATAAATCGCAAGAGTGGGTTAAGTTAAGACATGGAGAAAGAGAGTGACATCGAGTAGTGGGTATTAGCATTGTGTCTGAAAGTGTGCTAAGGGTGCTCGACTAGCGTCTCACACAACCTGCGCCGCCGACATCTCCATCAGACACGCCACGGGAGAGCAAAAAGCTGAATCAAAAGCAAACACCGCAAGCGCTACGAGCAAAAAATCTTCACGGGTCCAGGCTAGTCCTGCTGGAAATTATTCCGAAATATTCCAGAGGTAAAAAAACAATAGCTTAAATAGTGAATTTACGCACAACAAAACACAGCGTAGGTAAGTGTTTGGTTTACATATTTTATATGTGTATATTTGGTTGCCAAGCATAAATTTCTAACCTTTTGACCTCTGAAAAATATGATTTTGTTGTTTTTCACGTAGTGAAATGAAACTATATCAGTTTTGTGCGCATTTCTACTTTATACAATTGCATTGAATTCGATTCTATCCACTTGCGCGTTGTTTGTATTCCGTTTGTATTCGGTCATCGCATCAAACAAAAGCGCTTGTGCTTGGCTAGTAGGTATTCACTCCATCAAGCGCGCATCAATTGAATTGCCATCGCGCCATCGAATGCGGCATTAGTGCGATCCGGTCGAGAGATAAGACGCGGCGAGGACTTATATCGGAATTTAATATCGCGAAATCCGGCTCGGACGCGCGCGCAATCGATAAAGCCGAAACCGCCGAAGGAAAATACACGAAAGTCGAACGTGCGCCACGTGCGAACGGTGCGAAGCGAAATAAACAGGGCTATCCACACGACTTTAGGACTACATTTTCGACAGACGGCTTTGAATTCAACAGATGTAAGAGATTCACGCACGTACCAATCATTTATTATATTCTATTAGGTTTTAATCGGATAATAATATCCTTTGGGATGTGATGCGCATGCGTAGAAGGCTAAAACTTTTAATTATTGTTTTTTTAGCTGTGTATGCCATACTCTCGGTCCAATCAGCATCGAATTATGAAACACGAAATGCTTTTGATCTCTGGTAGGCGGCGTGCATTAAATTCGCATCGGTTTGCCCTCGAACCCGAAACTTTCGCATCAGTATAATGGAGGTCCGAGTCGACGGGGCACTTCATTCGTGCAAAATGGTCCGCACCATAAGTCATTAATTACAAAGTGGACGCAAGAGGTAATTTTGACGTGATAACCGCCGACACGATTCATCCAAACGAAACGAACGTGCTCGCCATTGCCAAACATTACAATTCCCAAAACAAAACGCAAAAACAGTTTCGCACTAGGCAACCAAACATACATCATCCCTCTATACCTATATATCTATTATTATATATTGATCTATTACTTATATTAAATATTAATCAATCATCGTCTGACGTTGTATCATACGAGTTTATTGGTAATATGACGCTGATCACAATTGACGTCATGTCTTCCTACACGCGGTGACGTCATATACGTAATGTTAAATGAGTAAATACTTGTAGTTGAAACGCGAAGGTGTAATTACGTGGCTGCCAACCTCGAATTGTTGTGATTAATAAATGCGGCGTGCGTGTAGCCACGCGATTAAATATTTATCTTGAAATTAGACGATAATAAATTAATTTTTTGTTAAGCTGATATGCAACCAAACGTACCGAAGCGTTCAGTTTATTTGTTGAGTGTGAAAGTGATTGCCTAACTAAATTAGAACATTTTTTTCGTGTTTGTAAAGGAATTAGGATCATACGTTTGAATAAATATTTACAAAAAATTAATTCATGAATGAATTTTATACACAGAGTGATTTTGCAAAATAATTAAAAACAAACACCGGAGATTTACATTTTAAAACGGCGCTATGAATAAATATAAATATTTTATTAAAGTTAAATGAAATTAAAGTTTTATAAAAATTTATAAATTAATAAAATATGTGGGATTTTATTGGTTTTGAGTGGGTTTATCGGTATAAATGGTTTATTTTTATTGATTTTACATTCTAGTTTGGAAAAAATAGATTGTGGGATTTGGATAGGTATAACTTTGGCAATCTTTGATTTTCCGAAAACACTCAAAACACTCCGAGCGTCTTGAAAGTGCTGAAAGTCTCTGAACGTTCCCGGTACGTTCGCCGAAGTGGTTCCCTTTCGACAATTTAAACGGATTGCCAGACACGCGAGAACGACCGCATTGCGTTTTCGTTTCCCTCAAAGTCTATTTCACGAAAAACACCTCGCAACTAAACCAGCAAAACACAAAACTACAGCTGCACCAAAGCAACGAAATAAATTACAAAAGTCCGAATGATGAAAATAATAAAAATCAAATTCGATTACGTCGATACTTTTCGTCCGCGTCCTTCGGTACGAAAATCATTTATTTTTTAAGCGCAAAGTTTCCTAGATGTGTTTGTTGCATTCGGAATAAAATACAAGTAGATAGTTGGGCATGACCTGATTTAGTGGCATGTTTCAATTGCACCTTCGAATATTTGCGCTGCGCATCACGCATTGATGCAGTTTGAACTTTTCCAAATCAATTTTCGTGGAAATTAGAATTGTTGGAAAGGAAAAATTAATGTAATAAAAATACAGGGTGTTTATATATTTTTGTCTTTAATAAAACAAAACAAAATTAATATTTTTTGTTTTTGTTTTGTGTTTCTTTATAAAAATGGCAACATATGTTTCATTTTGTTTTGGTCAGCAAAGAAATCTACATCCACACCTGCTACTGGTATATTTTTACATGTTTCTCATGTTTTAATAAACAAAAAAAAACATATACTGTTTGATACTTTGCTGTTTAAAGTTTAATAAATTTGAGTACATCGTGATTCATATAATTAATAAAAAGTTATTTAATTACCACGTAAAAATACCGCGCGGAAAAAACATATTAACGTGATAAAACTAAACTTTATAAACTTTAATGAACTCTCATTTACCACCTTTATCCCTAGGAGGTTTACACGGTTTTACACTTTTACTATGCGCTTTACAACCACTACTACACTGTTTATTTTTATTACTTTTTCTTTACTTGCTGCGGTTTCTGAGGTTGAAACCTTAAAAAAATGAATAAAAATCGAATTTTAATCTCGTGGGAAAAATAACAATGAAAGAACAATGAAAAAGTGTTCGTAAATGTTATTAAGACGTTTTTTATGTTTGTTTAATTTTTCGACTGTTTTGCTTTATCTGCGATCTTGTTTCCATCTTTAACTTTTCGCGCCGCGTCTTGTTAATTAACGCGCTGTTGCAATACACACTTTCCGGCATCTTGGGCGGCAGTGGCGGCGGAGGCGATTGCGTTCGTTTGAAATAATTAACTTTCCTCCACGCCTTCGCCATCTTCCAACACTTCCCAACATTCCAAGCGTTTCCATAATTTTAATAACAACTATTCGAGTGGAAAGCATTTAGCTTCAAAATATTTCCCCGCAATATTCCCACTCAAACATTTCATGAATATAAATAATAAATAAAGTGTATAGTAAATATACCAAGTGTTTCAAAAACATGTTCAAGTGATTTAAATATTTATAAACACTTTTTCTATTTAATAATATTTGAAAAATCACAAAATCATCCGGTATGTAATCCCACGCTCGTCCTGTTGTCGTGAATGAATACCACAGCGCTTTCCATGCGTGAAACACACTCGAAATTTAATAATCGCGATATATTCGCGAATAAAATATTCGCCGACGCAAACATACGGGTATGAGTGACGTTAATTTGCGCCGCGCACAAAACTCACGTGTATGATGCTATCGCCTCCCGAGGGTGCGTTGGGAACTTTTCGGCATTTCGGGCATTTTACAGCTTTACGCATCAGATTCACAGGATGTTCACTTTTGCGCGCAGAGATAACAACTTGACGCAAAAATATTTAAAGCATTAAAAGATTACAGTATTTCTGCAATATCTTATTTAAAAATTACAAAACATGAAATTCAACTTTATAATATCACAAATCCATAAAATATTAAAGAAAGTTAGTTCCAGGAAGTATAACTCCAGAACAACTGCACAGATTTTGATAATCAATGATTTCTTGCATTTGTATCCTTCTCCAATAGCAGAATAAGTAGGTACTAAAATATTGGAAATTGTGAATTAAAAGGTATTAAATCAATAATATAAAAATGAATCGCAAAATCTGTTGGTAAGCGTATAACTCAACAACGCCTAGACCAATTTGGCCTATTCTTTTTTTAAAATGTTTGTTAAAGTCCAAGGATGGTTCTTACGGCGAGAAAAATTCAAATAATTGCTGGGAAAACCCTAAAGACAGCCCATTTCTATTGGATAAAAGTTGCCATTGAGATTCAATCATAGTTATAGTTAAATAGTTGAATCCGAGATGGCGCGCTGAAGTTCATTATTAGCAATTCTTTATATAATTAATTTCTTTAAAATAAAATTGCAAATCTTATTGATATAATTGACACATACTATGTCTAGAACAAGAGAATAAAAACTAATTATATTTTTATTAAACACCACCGGGACGAAGTCACGGGCAAAAGATAGTAAGAGATAAAACTTTTTATAAAGATTCAATGTTAGTTATGTTAATTAATTAAATCATAGATGGCGATAATGAACATTATTATCGTTTCTTATTTCCTTAAAATAAAATTGCGAATCTTATTGATGGAATCGATACATACTAAGTCCAAGAAATAAAAAAGTAAAAATTATTTTCATTTTTATTAAACATTACAAGGACAAAATTGCGGACAAAAGTTAGTTATTAATAATTTAATTGATTTAATATTGTAATCACAGTTAAATTATAATTATACAACAGTTTGCTGTTGCTGCAGTCTTTGACATGCCAGAGAGTAGAGCGCAGCATTCGCAACCATCGGATGATATTACGGCTAGCCAGTCGACGATGTTTAATATTTAATTAGTCCGAACGATGTCGCCATTCGCACGCCACCCCCGTAACACTATCACCAGCCGCCACTGCGCTTCAATTCGATCTTGTTCCTTCCGGCGGGCTGATATAATTGATACTAACGCTGTGTTAATATAGTGTTGGTCTAGCGCTGACCAGTGTCCCAGATGTGTTTGGTTAGGACTGGATATGAGTGCTTAATAATGATAATATGACAAAGGCGTGAATAAATTGATATTGAGTGGAAATTACTTGGCAAACTTAGTTTTATGGCGGGAAGTAATGTTCATCTTTGCAATTTGAGAGTTTTTTTTGCTTCATTTTAGTCATAATTCATCATTTAAATTGATTATTTTAAGGATAAATTATATAGAAGTGTAGTGTATGCAACTTATATAACATTTGTACATACGCTATCTAGCAGTAGTCACTGAAAGTTAAAAACCAAAGCAGAAATGCAATAATTTCGATAAAAATCATTTCTGTGTAGAATTATGATGCAGTTTTCAAATTTTATTCTTTTTTGTTTAATTTTAGTCATATTTTATTAATTTAACCAGTTATTTTAAGGTTAAACTATATATCAGTGTAATGTATGCAACTTATGTTACATACACACGTACGCCACCTATCGATAGCCACTTGAAGTTAAAAATCAAAGCAGTAATACGATAATCATGAAAAAAAAAATCATATCTGTATAGAATAATGACGCTGTTTTCAATTTTTTTCTTTAATTTTAGTCATAATTTATAGATTTAAGAAGTTACTTTAAAGATAAACTCTATGTCAGTGTAATGTATGCAATTTAAGTTACATTTACACTTACGCCACCTATTAACTGTCACGTGAAGTTAAAAAACTTCAATAGTAGTGCGATAGTTAGGTATAATTCATTTTTTCATAGATTATTAATGCAGTATCCAATTTTTCCCCTTTTTTACTTCATTAATCTTAATAATTAATTAAAAATTCCAATGAAAATCCCTAGTGTGCAATCCTTCCTTGCTACGTTTCATTTAACATTATGTTCCATAATCCATGAAATTTGTAACAATCATGTAACGATCATTACACTCTCATTACACCCTCCGGACTGGTCTACAACAAGACGATTGTTCAAGCGATTCATTTCACGCTCGTTTGTCCCCTAGATTTTTCACGCGCTTTAAAACCCAATCCAATCGGCGCGCATTTTCGTTTATTTTTATTTTCATTTCATTACATTCCACACTCTAAAACTCAAACGTAAGAGAACAAACAGCACACAGCTTGATTGGTTAAGTTTTACAGCTGTAATGATCGACATTCCTCCACGGAGAATTTTCTCCACGGAAAAAAGAGGTAAGAAAATAATGACCAAACGATCACGCGAAGCAATGAAGAGCAAATAACGTATAAAACGGATATTATAAGAAAAATTGTAATCCGCCATCGACGGCGAAGGTGAAATTCTTATGCGCCGAATGCGAAATAATAAATGTGTAACCGAGTGGCAAAGGAATTCATTCGCAAAAGTATTAGTCGTGTTTGCCGTGTTCCCGGCGTTCGTTTCGTTCATTTTCAACTCCCCCGGGTCCAATTCCGCTAATACCTCGCTCAGAGGTAGGGAATCAACCGAGGCGAGAGAGACACACGTTTCGGACACACTGTATGGGGAAATTGTTGGCACGTGAAACTGAACGTTCGGCGTGTTCGAGTTTAACTTTGTTTAACTTAACTTAATCAATGATACTCGTACTTTCTTCGAGACCATTACCGAAATGTTGAGAAACGTCGAGACGCTGAGAAGTTTCTGATCAACGCGATCGCTCAAGGCCACGGAAGTGACCGTAGAGAGAAAAAAAAAACCAAAAAAAATTCACACAAAATAATGATTTATATTATACAAATAAAAAATCTAATAACCTAACATTTCAACGTGTATTTGAGGTTATGATGTTTTTTGTTTGTATATATTTCATTTTCCCTCCCCCGTGCCCCAAGTAATAACAATAATTTAATAACCTCCCTCTTTGCAATCCGGCGATCTTATTTTTCATCGCAGGGGTTCCGTAGATGTGCAGATAACCATCTTACGAAGGGGACAGAACCCAAACACACAAAAAAACCTCATAGTCTTCTGCGTCCTGTGGCATGATAGCATTATAGCATTATAACAATCCACTTGATTCCTTGATTCCCCGCAAGCTCCTTTGTTTGTGTTGCGGGGTGCAGTATGAGTAGAATGTCGATGCGCTGATCACATTACTATCGACATCGGCCCGAAGATGACTGCGTGGACTTCATGTCACTGCTCGGGGAAGAATAAGTTGATTTCCAATTATTGATTGCTACAGCAATTTTCATGACTTGCCCAGGATGAAAGTAATAGAATCTTTTTGATACCCACGCAAAAACAAACGTTTTGCAAGTTTTTTTCTAAGTAAAAATGATAGGTAATTTGATATGAAAGTCTAATGAGATACAGAAATATAATCGTGCTAGCGTTGCAATTTTTCTGCCGAGGAAATATAATAAAAAAAGCAAATTTTAAGAATGTTGCCTTGCAATATGTCCAGGCCCGCAATTATAATAATTGAATTAACCAGTATGCATGCGCCTATCATTTCTCATCTTGTGTTTCTTCTCGTTTGCCGCCCCCTGCAGGCTGAGCGTGACCGGATCCTGGTCGGGCTTCCAGAACACGAGTTTCGTAATTAGACTAATTTAATTTTCTTCGTGATGCACGTTCGTGGAGCTAAACTTGGAAATTTTTAGAAAAATGTGGAAAAAATTACCGTTGCAACAAATTAATATCACATATAAAGCTTTTCTATACACTAAAAAATCATAATTTTAAAAATACAACATTTGAATACTGAAAATTAATATAAAACAATTTTGAGGTTAATTTAATTCAGCTAAAAGTTGCGCAATACAAAACCACTAAAAAATATATAAAACGTGGTTTAATATTGATCCAGAATGCGTGTAAAAATTTAAATTAATATAAAATATTTTTGAGGTTAGTATAATTCAACTAGAAATGTTATGCAACTCAAAAAACACTAATAATTTACATACAAATAGATATAAAACGTGATTTGATCGTTCGATATTGAGAATATGTGAAAGAATTTAAATCAATATAAAATAATTTTGAAGTTAGGTTAATTCAGCTAAAAATGTTATGCATTCCAAAAAGCACTTCTAAAAAAGATATAAAAATATACATAAAACTTGGTTTAATATTGATTCAGAAGTCGTGAAAGAATTTTGATTAAAATAAAATAATTTTGAGGTTACTTTAATTCAGCTAGAAATATTATGCAGCCCAAAAGCACTTCTAAAAAAGATATAAAAATATATATAAAACTTGGTTTAATATTGATCCGGTGAATTCGTGAAAGAAAAATTTAACAATTTACGCAGTTACTTAGGAGCGCGCACCTCAGGGACGAAATGAAAATATTTCAAAATGATTAAAAGTCCAAGCGGGGATATAAAAACCACATGATGCATACGCGCGCCGGATATGAACGCGGTTACCGGCGACAGGAATGTATGTTTCACAATGCGTTACAGCGTATTACGGCGTATTACAACGTATTAGAACGTATTACAGCATCGCCTCGGACACATGCTCATCGCAACGTTTTCATCCGTATTTCGGGACGTTTTGTTAAGCCGCTTCTTTTTTCATAATCCGCGCACCTTCGGGCACATACTTTGTTTTCATATCTAACCGTACACCACACACATTCATTTCAGCAACAGAATTTGTCAAATAATATACTTTACATAAAGAAATATAGAAATAATATGTATAAAAGCGTAGAAAATACAAAACTACAACACGAAAATAAGAAATAAATCACACACAAATAAAGTCCGCTAATCAGCGGCAATAAAAATGAAGGAGAAAAAAATCCGGTCGTAAAAACACGTTTAATTACCACCATTTGTAACATAACCGCACATAATCACACCTTTTATGAGTCAAATGGCTTTAGTGGTTATAGTTTTAGCTAGCAGTGATTTAAGGTTATGTTTGACTTTTCTAACCTACTATAATCAGTGTGTCTACAACTCTCAGCAAAAGAAAAAAAGATAAAAGTACAAAACGATAAAATACTGCAATAAATTCCAGCGTATAACATAATGAGCAAAAGTCGAAACTAAATTAAGAGCAGCACACCGGCTGCAAGGTAAACAATTCGTTAGCATGTAAAAAATGGCAACAGTCAGCGGCAAACTTTTCCGAACTTTCAACGCGCTCCAGTCGAAAATAAAAAGAGTGTTTCAACGCGGGCGGAAAACCAAAACGGTTAACTTTCACATTCAAACTTAACCAACTTAAACACCTATTAATCCTTCGTCCCACTTCGCCCTTTCACAACTTCAGGTAAAATGGATGAAATGTAACCGAAAAGACTTTGCGAAGCGAGAGAGACTTTGTGGGCTAATGACACAATCATTGCACGTTTCTACACGCCGCCATTAAAAGGCCAAGCGGCGGCCATTTTACGTGCGTGTTTTTAATTAGATTTTTATAACTAAAAAGAATTTAAAAGCAGTTTAAGCATGGATTATTTTTTACAGTTTATGGTTATGAATCAAAAACTACACATACTTAAATTGCTAGCATTTCGATGTTTTTTTGTTTTTATTTGCCATTAATACGTGTTACTGATGCTCTAACTTCTAATATAATGGATGTATACGTTAACAATGTCCTTACATAGATATATGTAGCAAATAAAGCCATCGCTAGGTCTGGTGCATAGTTTCACAAATTTTCAGTTCGGTTTAAAACGCTCTACAAATGTTACGCTATTCATCACACTCATACTTCAGTCCTATATGCGTCCTCTATATATAAATGTATACGTCAAAACCAAACCAAACTGTTCACATTGAAAAATATGCAAAATTTGTACAATACGTCGGACTAATTACTTTGAACTGCAACCAATCTATGCTCATTCGTATTTTTAGTTTAATAGTTAACTAGATACACATTATAAGTTAATTAATTGACTTTGAAATGCTACTGTATGAATCTGTAATGTCTTTTCAAGTTAAGTTGAACGCATTGCATGCTAACAATAGCTATTTTTATAAAAAGCGTAACATAACCTAAACTTCTAACTGTTCAACAGGGCAAGATGGTGTACACATTTACAGAATAATGTATATAATTGCAATATTGGTGCATCAAATTCCATTGTATCATTCGCTACAAGCTTGCGTAAATATTTCCAAGCTTATTTTAAGTTGTTCATGCTGAAATATCTCATCAAAACCGAAAAATTGTAAGTTTTTAGTAAGTTGTTTGTATAATCTCAGATTCAGACTTGAAGGATGGAAATTGGCCCAACTATCCAGCAATTATTCTTTAGAAACACAAGTTATTATCATTATAGTCATCATTTGGAATGTTTAAATTAAATCACATGACTTACACCAAATAGATTTTATAAATTAGAGTAAAATCGATAAAACATTATTTCTCTTTCTTTAAACATAAATAACTTTGGAATATTGCGCATTGTATCACCTAATCACCCGAATTCAATAATACTGCAGCTTAAAGCTTCCTCTACTTGCTTTTTACTTACACGTCGCACTCAAACAGGGACTTAAAACACATAAGAATCTAAAAGCTTTATAGTGCAATCAGCTTTGTCTTGCTGTTCCTCCACTTCTCCTGCAATTTACGGTGTTCTTCATACTCGCGCTCGCTGATATGCCTCACAACTCCGGTGTTCATTTTTCTCGGATCCAAATTCGCGCCGAAACTCTGCACTCCTTTCGCGATTTTACTCAATGGTGAAATAACCAGGCCTTTCGTAGCCGAAGCAACCGGACTTGTTAAGTTCACCAATTTATTCTTCAGCGCTGACTCACTCTGACTCTGCGAAATATTCACATCGGAATGAAACACTTCGATTGTTTCCTTCACGGGTATATCGTGGCGGACTTCGCCGCTTGAGTGACTGTGCTTTTTATCCAATTTCAGTGTATTGGGTGGTTGTGCACGCATCACATCCGACGCTTCAAAACTACTCGAATTGATTTGGATCTCGGGGTTTTGAAGCGAGACGTTCTGAACGATACTGGTGATTTGTTCGTTGCACAAATGTGATAAGTTAACGGGACTCACCAGATTGTTTTTACATTCGAGTATATCTTCCGGTGGCGAGTCCTCTGGTTTAGCACCCATTACAATCCCAACGCTGGGTAGGAACGAGTCTGGTTTGTTGTCTTCCAGCGCTTCGATGGCTTGATCAATCACAAATTGTTTATCCGAGGCGGCCGAGTCAAATTGTAGTAAAGGTGAACCATCGATTGCATTCGGTTGGAAAATAGATGTTTCGTATTCTTCTTCAGAGTCGCTGGAGCTTTCGTTCTTCTTACCGATGGTGAACTTCGGCGGTTTCTTGGGTTTCAGACTGGATCCGAGACGATTCAACTTGGAAAACTGCTGCGACATATTGGACAAAGCCTTAGAACCTTTGAACATAAATATTTGAGGTTAAGATTTTAGGTTATAACCCAAAATGGATTCTTATAACATACCTGCGTTTTTTAAGGCTAATAATTGACTTTCGGACACGTTGCGGGTGAGATGTGGTAATCCCACGACGTCCAAATAAATATTACTTCCGGTTAATCCTTCAGCGACAACTTTCGACTTTTTTCTGTCCAATTTACGGCCTTGCATGAACGGTACAGAGCGTAGATTATTTATTTCCATCGCAACAATGAAACTCTCACAAATAGACTTCAAAGACTCAATTTCTTCCTCGTGGTTTTTAATAACCACCGCCATATTGTTGAAGAATCGCAGATTCGTCGAACGCAACATGTGGTAATACCCGTCAACTCCATCAACTTTATAATTAATACGTATGCAGTAGAAACTCTTGTTTGTCTTAAACAAACCGGAACTTGCTTCTGGTACGCCACTTTCAAACATAACAACATCCTCCAACATAACGCGCTGATACTTGGTGACTTTATCCACTTGATCATCATAATCGGCCACATAATACGAATCTTTGGTAAGAATCAAAATGGCGTCCATTTCCGTTTCATTCGGATCACCCATGAAAGGATCCGCGTTTATCAATCCCCAGGAACCCACAACCAATTCAGGATTATTAATCAACATCTTCTTTGAATCCTCAATGACAAGTTTCACATGTTCAGCTGTAGCTAGACTATCCTCTTCGAAGTTTGTGCGACTGTCAAACATATCCTCACCGACGTAGTTACCTAACATCAGATCGATGGTGCCTTGGCGCGTGGCGTCTTTAAAGCGACTTAAGTAATATCTAAAAAGATTGATCAGACACATTAAACTCTAAATACATAAATTTATTAAATAAAATACTGAAGATGGATGGTGAATGAGGATGATTTTAGGATCATGTAAAAAATCGATAAATCTGAACGCATCGCGCGGGTAGTGCATGTTTTCGTTTAAAGCGAGCGCCATTAAAGCCCTTGACTGACCTATACATGTAAAACAGCGCGTTCGCGAGTTCGAATTCTTGCGCTAGGTTACTGTGTGTGCTAATAGCGGGCGGAGGCGGCAGCACCACCAATTCACTGGCGATGTTACCGAATGTGTTCAGGTGCGCCCACACATCCTGCAAGTCGCCCACCGTCACCGGAATACCGTGCATTAAGTCTAGACAACATTGGACCAAATTATCCGAAAAGTGATTTCGATAATATCTGCGGAAGATAGAAATAATCAGGAAATAAGGATATTTTTGGTAAATTAGGAGTTCCTTTAGGATTATTAATTACCTGTTTGCCGAATTCATGCCATCCTTCATAATGCCAGTGAATTTTCTTTCGCCTGTTCTTGTATAATCACCCTGTACAATAAAAAATAAAATTATAGGTTAAATTGAGTGTAAGATAATTTAGAGGTTAGGTTATGACATACTTTAAGTGCGTTTGTGCCTGCATACTGCCGACTGATAGTATCTCCATTATTAGCCCAGAGTAATTGAAACTTGCTCTTAATCGAATCGGGAATCACTCCCTCCGGAGAAATTAGCCCAAGTTTACAGAATTGTATCTCCATGACGGCTTTCGCCATCGCCGTTTGTACAACATTAGTACGATCGAGACAATCAATACAATTCACGCGAAACACTCCGCTCTGGGAGCATATGTGTCCTTGTCGATCACGCCAGCAATAATTCATATCTTTGATAATATCAGCAATGCTATTAATAAGAATCGACACATTCTCAAAGTGCATGCCGCGGCAATATTCGTGAAAATCAAATGTAACGTAGGTGACAAACGGACTGTTGAATTCGAAGATGTGGTGCGAGTACGCATCCCAGATTACTTTTTCCTTGCCGGATTGATCAACCAGATTCACGACGCAAACAGGACCGTAGCGGGCGATTTCTTTTTTGAAATGGCACTCGAAGGCGTCCTTTGTTTCCACTTCGCCTTTGTCAATACGCGGTGGCGGGCGATATTTATAACCAGGTTGGGACCAGTATACTGGTACAGAACCACGCACTTGTACGAATGAGACTTCATGGTGCTGATAAGCGATTAATTGTTCGGTTTCGACGTAATTTGCGCACTCTCCTTGTTCATCTACTCCTCTTCTTTTGTATCTACAAAAAACAACCACAAAATTAGTTGAAAAAAGGGTAAAGATTGCAAAATTTTAAATTTTTGCACCTTGTCCCGGCTCTAAAGCGACTTCTTCTTGAAACAATCGAAATCTTAAAGATTTCAATCTTCGGACTAGTTTTCACACCTTTAATATCCTGATCCAACTCAACTTTGCACTCTTCTATTTGAATATATCCCTGAATAATTGGCATAATCCATGGATCCACCAAAGGACTCTAAAATAATTAATTTAATTACTTAATTCAGTATAAATTTTAATATTTTGTACCTCAGTGTCAATTAATTGCTTCAACATATGTTTATTCCAAAAAAATCGATCGTCAATCGTCTTCCACAGCGGCATCCCTTCAAATTCTTTACTCTTTTCATTATTGCATAGCCTCTGCAATGAGCTGGTAACATCGCACGTATGTGAGAAATAAAACGAATTCGTGTCATTGAAGATCTTCAAGAACTCCTCCAATATCTGCCTCTCAAACTTCTCCTTTTCTTTGGCATCGCGTTTCAAAGGAGAACCTACAGCCATCGCCGCCGCCTGCTGCGTAGTGCTTTTAATAACATTCCCAGCGCTTTTCAACGTTCCTAATGTTTTTGTAAACGCAACGTTCTTCTGCAGATCAATGAATGGATTCGACGTGTTCTTTTTCGGCGCGGATTTCACCCGATGCTTGTGACATTCATGCAGATTTAACTCGGTATTTTCAGGCCCAAGATGTAGAAACGCGATTGATTTAATTTTGTACACTTCATGATTACTGTGGATTTTCCCCACAGTAGTAAATTCTCTGATGATGAGTAATCTGGGGTCAAACACTGATGGGTGGTCTACTTTTCCAATCAGGCCATAGCAAATACCCAAACAGGTTGGGTCTTCAGCATCAGCTAAATCCCAGCCTGGAATTATTTATTATTTAGATTAATTTAAGATATTTCTTTGTTGTTTTACCTGTTTTTGGTATGAATGCACCAGTTTGCCTGTCCCACCAGAGTGAGTGCTCATCTTTGACGAATATATAGAAGTCATCGGTACGAAATAGTTCCATCATATTCAATATTCGACGGAGATCGAAACAACAAAGAGAAAACGTTAGAATTTCATTGCGAGTTTTATTTATTTCACTTTTGTTCTTGCACTTTTGTTCACTTCAGTTCTGTTTGGTGTTGTGCTGTCAACTGTCAAGTAAACGCCTGTTTTCTAACCTCTCTAACTTTCTAGAAACATCAGTCTTTTATCTTTGGTATAATTAAGAGTCAAGTTCAAAGTACCAGGAAAGTTCAATTTTTTGCCGCTGCACATATTTTACCAGTGGCAGTAAACGAAACTGAGAATTCTTAAACTATAAATCATCCTATCCCACCCTCGTAGTTTAAAAAGTAAATCGATGGGTACGAGCATGCGCAATACGATAAAACACAAATTATGTTTTTAATTATAACATTATATTGGATTAATGAGGGTATTTATAATGAAATATTCAATGATGTCTTCTCTCCTTTCTCGGCTTGTATTTCTCCCAGTAGCGATGATTGATTTTTGTGAAATCATCACTAGAATGCGCCAAATCCTTCAAATATTTTGACAGGCGGAGTAATTCTTTATCCGTATCACGATTAAAATGCGCTTGTTTAAACGGTCTGATTTTCAAACCGTTTTTGGGATTCATGATGAAATTTCGGCGAATATCATCAAACATAATTGTGTTTTTTGATGAGTATTGCTCATATTTTCCCCAAATCACACCCAATGGCTTCACCTATAATAAAAATTATACATTAAAACATAATTCTTATAAACAGCTTCATATCCCACCTCAACAATACCATATTTTGGCGTGTGCACAGTAATCATAGCTAAAATGTCCAAATAAAACATAATCTTATAGTTTGGATTGACTGTCACTCCCAATAATTTCATTTTTTCTTCTATCCACTTCATACTTGTAGCAGACCAAATTACAATATCATAGTCTTCATAAGCTGAGGTAAGAAATTCATGCAAAAACGGACGCATTAATTCAGCACCCTGCTCTGCAGATGATCTATGATCAAATAAAGTATAATCAATATCAAGCACTAACAACTTTTTCCCTCTCTGGGTTCATTGAGCATGTTAATCTTGTATTCTTTGATTCTCTTCTGTACTTTTGACAGATACACCTCTTGATTCTCAATTGCAACCTCTTCATCTTCAATGTCCAAGTCATTCACAACTGCAGGTAGATCTTTTGGAGCTTGAGCAACTTCAGCAATATCTTCTTCAAGTGATCCCATCATCATCAGCTTGAAACCTTGTTTCAGTTTGAGCAGACATAGTTTACTATCTTCATCTGGACTCTTTCCTATTGAGAAATTATTCAGACCGTTAAACAGCACTTTGAATATATTAATGTTTGTTTACCTTTCAGTTTCAGGTTAAGTAGTTTTTGGCGATCTGGACGGACTCCGGTTTCTTTGTGGATCAACGTTTTGAGGTCAGCGACGGTATCGTTTTCAGACAGGGCGACTTCGTACTCTTTGCCACTCCACTTGACGAGAATTTTTAATTCGTCTGTCTCCATCATTTCGTATAAACGCTCGAAAGTTGGAGCAAATTTTATGAGTTGACAGAAGTTGACAGAAGTCAAGTGAATGACGCGGTTCTTACATGTTTAAATAACGACATCCAGAATGGATAACGAAAGTGAACAAAATGAGTATTCAGACTACAGTGAAGATGAAGACTTGGGGTTGCTGAAGAAGGCACTTTACGTTGAGCTGCCAGAGAATTTCGATCCGAATAAAATTCCATCAAATGGTATATTTTAGTTTATAACCTCACTAAACAAGTAATGGAATGGATTTGAATGAATTTGATTTTATTTCAAGTTAAATTTGTTAATATTTAATGTATATGTTGTTTTAGGTGAAGAATATCTACAGAAAGTTATGTATGAGGCGAGAAATTGTCCTGCATTGAAAGTCGCACCAGTTGATTCTATTAAAATCAAACCACCAACAAAAGTTCAAATGGTGAGTACAGATTTATAAATATCTCAAAAATAGATTGCAATATAACTGTAATAACTATAGAACAACATTCTCAATTATATTTACCTTATAATTTTCAGAAATTATCTAAAATTTTAAATATTTCAAGACATAAAACTTAATTTTTTTCACTTTCCTATTTCCAGATAGAAAATTGCATGAAAGCACCTCCATCAATGCTCCCATCAATGTCGTGGCAACTGGAAACCATTAAAGATTTTACCAAATTTCGCAAATTTATGTCTAAAGAACTAGAAAATTACCCCAACTCAAAGAAAAAAGACAATCTTGCTGAATGTTTAACCGGACTTCCAAAATTAGCTACAGTTGCTGCCTTGACTCAAGAGGATAAGATAAAAGTATTAGAAACGATCTTATCACAACTGAATAATATTAAGAAAGGAAAACCTATGGCTACAGTGGAAGGAGTATGGATCTACAGTATACTTGCTACTCTTGAAATACCATTGTGCCCAGATACTTGTCATATATTGAGGGAAGTGGCTAGAAAGTGTTCACAAATTCGATCGAGTTTGGAAAAATCAGCTGTGGAGAAAGATTATGTGACGCTGAATCTTATAATTTGTTTGATTGCCAGGTTTTATAGACAATTGGATCTTGCTGATGAGTAGAGAAAATTAGATTTATGAATACAGGTTTTTATACATTTTTCAACATGTCATGATTTTTAATTATTTTCGTGTTGATTCTTTATATACCGCAGTTCAGGCGCAAGCTTATGTTCCTCTCTTCTCTGTTTTCGAGCTTATGGGTTAATCAAGTGTGGGTAGACATATTTGACGGATGTGTTCACTCGCCATTACAACTGCTACTCTTTAAACGTTTCTTTATGAAAAAAACTATCATTTTTAGTAATAATGTAGGTATTTTTTTATAAATCTAGGAAATGTAGCAGTCCAAGATTGATTAAAGTTATACAAGAATATGAAATTTATCCGGGTAGCTAGTTTCAAATAAGTAAGCAGTTATTTGTTTCATATTTTGCCACTAGATGGCGCAGCATGTACAAAATCAAGACAAAAATCGTGTGTTTTGCGTACAGGACTGGACGCACCTATTTTCTTAAATATTGCATCGCTGGTGGGAATACCGAAGTGCATTTCGTAAGGAACAACCGCGCGGGAATTGGAATGAGTTGAGCGGGTTGAGCGCACCGACCCGATATCGACTTTTCGTGCGGCGCCAAGTGCGAAACCGTGCGACCGTCCGGCCACACACGACTTACAAACTCGTGGCGTGCCTCTCGTGCCTCCACTCGCATTACACACGTTATCCGCTTTTGAACTTCTCTCCACACACTCCTACACTCAGCGTGCTGCACATGCTGCTCGCACGCATCGCGCACAGTGACCGAACGACCGCCGAACGCGATGGTCTAAATTTTTCACTCGACAACAACTATCAAGCCTAATTATATTAAAAACAACATTTAAAAATTTAAAATTTTAAAATTATTATTCAAATACATATTAAGCATAAAGATATATGAGTATTTTCATTTGTCATTCAAGTGTTATCGTTGTGTTAGGAGCGGTGAACTCACGGTGAGTTGGTGAGTTTGGTGCCTGTGCCCATCTGGCCCCAGATGGGCAGTTGAAGCTCACAGTGCACATGTGTGTGGATTCGTTTCATGCGCCGTGTGTTATGTGAGACTGCGGCGCGTCGTGTCGTCGTTTTGTCTCGCGAAGCGCAAGTGTCAGTCTTGTCTGCGACTTTCAACAGACGCATCGCGAGTTCAAACAGTTAAAACACGAAAGGGCGGTGTGTGCTGCGTGTGCCGAGACCTGTTGATCATCACAAGACGGCCATATAAACCAGCACGAACCAGATATTACTCTTAAACATAAAAATTTAATTGGAAAACATTTAAAAACGCATTAATTGTGACCGGTGGTAATATTTATTCGTGTATCTACCTGAGGGTTATATTTATTTGAGGTGAGAATGCAAATTACCGTTATTTTTATTTTTTTCAACTTTTCAAAATGGCGCAGCAATACATTTTGTTTCATTTGAAAACAGAACATGTTTTCCTGTATATTTTACATCTTGTGCTCGCAAATGACAATTGTTTGCTCAAAAAACAATCGCCTCGCGAAAACTGTTATCTCACGCACGTGTGGGCAGAAGAATATGCTCGCTGTCTCTGGCTGAAAACGCAAAATTGGCTCACGGTCAATTCTTGCTCAAACCACGTGAGTTTTTTTACTTCTCTCAAAATTTCAACTCTTTACATCACGCAATATCCGAAAAAAAACTACGCGAACAAAACATGTTTATTTTGTCTATAATTAATTGGATTTCGCGTGTGACAGGTAAAGAGATTATGATTTGTGCTGATACGTCAGTATCATGATTGAAGTCTGCACGTGCACGATATTAAACGCTCAGGCGCTAAGTTTTGTTATTGGATTTATGCGTCCGACGCGGAATCATTAGAAAATTGCACACACGTTTTGCGACGCGGCGACGCATCATGGCGGTGGCTTGCTGCGGAAATTATGTCAAGGTTGGTTTAGCGACGTCGGCGTCGAGACGCCTTGCCTGAAACAACACCGACGGCCACATGAGGTATATCGATATCCTCCGGGTGTTAATTTACTCTGGAATTACGTCGCTTTCATTTTATTTAACCTCAAATTTCATCTAAAGTTGATTATAATCAACGGCTTCATCATGAACACAAATTTTCGAAAAATTTTGTTAATAATTTAGTAAAAAATAGCAAAAATACAAAATTTATTTCAGCAATCATCATTAAATCAACATTTATCATATCTACGTCTAGATATCCAGACTCCAGACATTTTTTACATGTTTTGCTTTTATATTGTTTATGATAGTTATTATTTCGGGACTTTTGATGTTCCGAAATGTTTGCTATTATTACTGCACGGAATTCGAAGAAATAAAATGTTTTAAGTCATTTTATCGATCAATTTGATCTAAACACGACTGAAACTCATCAATTCGCATGGTTTTGGCTCCGAATGCTGCGTTTAGAATTGTTGCACGCATGTCAAAACAAAACACCGCTATAAATACGCGCCGAATATTTTTAATGACCCACCGGCTGTCGGGAAACGGCTAAACTTCCTTTATTTTCCCATTTTGATTTATTCCATCGTTGCGTCATAGTGTTTTTTAGAACTTTATTTACTTAATTGAAGTTTTCCAATCAGTTTTCTGATTGACGTTGTCATAGAAACGGCAAACAAAGGAAAAATTTGCTTTTGTTGGTTGAATTTCACTTTACCACATTTTTTATTTGTTTGTACAAATAAATCAACGAACTTTTAATTACTATGTTTTGGCTTCTAATTAATTTACACAAATTATACGCAAATTAAAAGTGTTGCAATTGTACACATATTGCGATAATTTTTTTGCTTAATTTTTGCTTGCTTCACTCTGTTGTTGTTTGTTTAACATTTACTTATCTTTATGCCTAGAATTACCTACGTATTACACTATTAGGTTATTATTAAAATTAAAACCCCGTAGGAATGCAAATAAATGCAAAAACTCGTAAGGAAATCGACATCGGTAAAAATATTTTGTATTTTACTGCCTAGGCAGTACACTACTGTGCTACTGGCACTATTACTCACATATTAGTGAGTATATCATCTGTTTGCAGATATAATAATAGAATTAAACATCAACAACATCTGGTTTGTTTACGTTTAATAAGCAATTATCATAAAAGTGTTAATTTGCCAGTTTCAAGACGTGTTGCATAAAAATCCAGTAATTTTTTACGTAAACAGATGGCGTTGTGTGGCCACGACACTGTTTCCAGTAAATATAGGTTATGTTGTATATGTCAGTGTTTATTTTTAGTAAAAATAAACATTGACGACATAAAAAGTTACTACTTCTACTAGAAAACCAAAAATCGTTAAATTGAATTCAAAAACTTAAACTGTTAACCCAGTCATGAAGTCCTTGTGCAACAACGCATTGTTTTATTGCTTTTAGCTATTTATTGTCATTCCAAACGCATAGTTTGCTGACATTATCTGGACAAGTACGTACAATTTGCAACGAATTTCATGTTCGTGTCCTGGTGCGCCGATGTCGTCCATCAAACTTTTGCAATTAGTGCGCATAATCATCATGGCAAGTGTAGTACACCTACATGATGTTTGCATTTCGAGTGTTTGTAGTTTGGCGCATTTGTAACGCTTGTCATTGGTAAATTAGTAAATTTATGGTTACACGTGTAGAAAAATTGGCCATGCATGGTAAATTAGGTATTACACAGTTACATCAACTGATTTAATTTAATTAGCATAATATTTGTTTGTGTTACATAATTAGGAGCAGATTTGTGTATTTTTTTGGTTAATTTCGTGTGTTTTGGTATTTTTGGTTGCATAAGCTATGAAATGACATTATTATGACATTATCTATAATTTAAAATATAAATTAATACTGATTTTTAAATTTTTTATTGCGTTTTATCATAAACTAACTTTTGCCCGCAACTTCGTCCCGGTAGTGTTTAATAAAAATGTAATTCGCTTTTACCCTCTTGTTCTAGACATAGTATGTGTCAATTCTATCAATAAAATTCGCAATTTTATTTTAAAGAAATTAATTATATAAAGAATTGCTAATAATGCACATCAGCGCGCCATCTCGGATTCAACTATTTAACTATAACCATGATTGAATCTTAATGCCAACTTATATCCTATAGAAAAGGGCTGTCTTTAGGGTTTTCCCGGCAATTATTCGATTTTTTTTCACCGTGAAAACCATCTTTGGACTTTAACGAACATTTAAAAAAAAGAATTGGCCAAATTTGTCCAGACGTTGTTGAGTTATGCGGTTACCAACATATTTTGCGATTCATTTTTATATTATCGAAGATATTTTTTTTATTTTAATTAGTTTTGGGGTTATGTACACATGAATCTGTCAATTTTTGTCATATGTAATGAATATTTCCATAGTAATAATCAACTATTGCATAAATTTTACCCGCCATATTGCATTACAACAAAATAAAACATAAATCAATATTGATATCACTTATCATAGACACAGTATTGCTTGCATATTAATAACATATCAAAAATAATCGATAAAGGTGAAAATGATGAAAACCGTAGACATTAATTAATTAATTAATCAAGTTGAGGTGACGCCGTCGTAAATCTGTGTGCGAACGACCTAAACTTGTAATTTGTTGTTAGCCGGCACGGTGAAGGTGTTAGTGCCGCGACAAACTCAGCTCTCTTACTCAAAGCGACATTTAATTTCGTAAAGCGCCGCAGGGTTGGCAGGATGATGATGAAACTTCATTTTATCCTCTGTGCTTTGCGCACACACCCCTTCGCCGCGATTTCATTTGCATATTGCATATCAGCATCAAACTGTCACATCAAACCGTGCATCACCACTTCGTCACTCTATCATGCGATCATTTTTGCAAAACCGGAAAACCGGACGTCAAAAGCCATACATGTCGATATATAATTATAAAATATAAAATAATATATAAAATATAAAATTTAATTAAAAATTCAAACCGGAAGTGAATACATCTGGTCAACCGGAAATTAAAGTGTAGTTTTAAAAATATTCAAAGAATATCGAATTATAAGCTACCGGAAAATAAAAGTAGCAACACGTACGTGGGTGATGTTATTATTCCGTTAATAACGTTACGAAATCCAACATTTCCGTTTCCGCTTAGCGCTCGCGTCTTCCAGCTAACCTCTGCACTTATCTAATAAACCTATTGTTTCTATTAATACCACGCAACACACAAAATAGACAATACAAGACGAACAATTCAAACAATAAAAACAATTTCACTCTAAATGCACAGATTAACTCCGTACAAAAACCGAAAGTGATAAGGGAGCCACGCCCACGATAATAATACGCATGCGCAAGTGTAATCCAGGCCCGGACCAACCGAAATTTATTCAAATTCTGTTACATATTTAAACACAATATGAATCACATTTAGCGAAATATTATATTCTAATAATTTTCAATGAATTGTCATCCGAAACATCAACGTAGACCCATACATTAACATACTCCTCATCGTCGTGTACGCCAGATATAAACAATTCTGCCTCCGCATTACCTCATTAATACATTGACTCTCATAAATCTTATTCACCTTACAAAACGTCGTCATTGTCATGGTGTTTTCCTCGGAAGTCAATTCAATCGTGCTGTTATAGACAACGTCTTCATTGGTTGTAAACAACCATAAAAGTATATAAGCGAATTGTGGATTATCACTCTGTGATCCAGTCGTCATCAACCAGAACGTATCAACTTCATTTTTCTCATCAAAAATATTCATAGAGTTATGAGATGTTAACTCATCGTCACTTCTAACACGTCTGGGATCATCCGGGTTGGGAAACATGCTGATTATACCCAAACAAATGCTTTTTCCGTGTTGTAAAACAGCTGGATCGAAAGGTATACACAGTTCGTTGCCTCTGATCATGTTATATTTCTTGAAATTAAAGTGTTCGTACTTGTAATGCGCTTTGAAGGAGGAAATCGCTACGATTTTGTTGCACATATCATGCGGACATCTCAGTGGTTTGCGACTCTGCAGAGCTTCAAACGACTTATCTGCGTCGGTTAGTTTTCTATTGTGATACATAGCCTTGTGCGGAAATGATAAGCTTGCCAATTTACTAGTGAGACCTTCAGTCGCTGATAGCTGCTTCAAATAGTTTAGTTTTTCCTTGGTGCAGTTCTGAAAGAGTTCTTTGATTTGATGTGTTGGCAGCTGGAAGAGTTGCTCGATTGTGACCATTGCGGTCGTTGGAACTAAAGTGAGACTTGGTTGGTCTGGTTTCAGTACGTAGCGGCACGGGCGACCTATGCCCGGTTTGATTTTGAGTTTTCTGAGGAAATCGTCGGAGACATCTTGGCGTGTGAAGTGTTCAGAGCCGCATTCACGGCAGACAGGAATTGCTGCTTTACGGAAAAATGTTAATTTAATGTTAGGTATTTTTGGAATTTATTATTTTGTTTGTTACCTTCTTGTGAGATAAGTTGTTGGAAGCAAGAGTAGCATAGAGCGTGTCCGTAGTTGCACCTGTAGATAGGGGACGCTTCCGGTGTTCGTTTGCACATTGTACAGTTCATCAGCGTGAGCCAATGCTCGGCCGGGCTAACCGACGCTGATATCTTCATTTTTTTTTTGGTCTTTAATTATCGTTTCATTGCGATTACACTAGAAATTTTGACGATGTGCTATGGTTCTGGTGGACTTTTGTTGGAATGTATGATTTGACATGTTTTATTTCGAATTTGACATTGTCACAGCTTGCTATGGAATAAACATTTATCAATTACGTAATTTTAGTTATTATTTAGTTGAAATTATAGATATTATCTTCTATAATATAAAAATAAATCGCAAAATTTGTTTGTAAGCGCATAACTCAACAACGCCTAGACCAATTTGGCCTATTCCTATTTTAAAATGTTTGTTAAAGTCCAAGGATGGTTTTAACGACGAGAACATTTTGAATAATTGCTGGGAAAAGCCTAAAAAAAGTCTTTTTCTATAGGATAAAAGTTGGCATTGAGATTCAATCATAGTTATAGTTAAATAGTTGAATCCGAGATGGCGCGTTGAAGTGCATTATTAGCAATTCTTTATATAATTAATTTCTTTAAAATAAAATTACGAATCTTATTGATAGAATTGACACATACAATGTCTAGAACAATAGAGTAAAAACAAATTACATTTTTATTAAACACTACCGGGACGAAGTCGCGGGCAAAAGCTAGTTTACTATAATGTTTAATACATATATTATTCACAGTCGTGATTAATAAAATTTCAACGCATTTTTTTGCCGTTAGAGAGCAAATTTATGAGTTGGCAACTTTTCCGACGCTTTCTTCGCATTTCGTCCTGCGAGTGAAAGTCCTTCGAACTTTGCTCGTGCAATTCGCTAGTCTGCGAGCTGAATATTGATGCGCATCGATTAGACCCGGCGACCAGTCTTGAATTGCAAATTGTCGATGAAACAATTACCGAAAAATAGAATATGTTACAAAAAGAACAAAATTTTCACTAATTTAAAGGATTAAAACAGTTTAACCTATGATTAATGATAAGATTGCCACCCTAAATAAATGACCTTTGAATGACCTTTAAATCTTAGTCACAAATTTCAACCTCCTGAAGACATTTAATTTTTTTTCTTGGATTTTATAACCTCAATTACAAGTTGAAAATATTTTGTGCAGTCGCATTCTTGCCAATTAAATCCGGCGGAATATTTTTAGCCATAATCTTTAAATGAACAATAATTCAAGGATCAATAAGCCGATGTTGTTGATGAGAAGTGATGCGTGTGCACACTCGATTTATTATTTGCTTGGATGTCGAAATGCGGCGTGATTTACTCCAAGCGGATGTTGTTTGCTGCGCCAACATGGCGGCATCTTGCCAACGAGAACGAGTGCAACTTTTCGAACTGTCGTAACAAATTTTGCAACCGCACGACTCTTAATTGATTATGCACTTTTAGCAGACAAAAATACATTTTGTGTTGAATATAAAAATAGTTAGCGATATACCCACGTAATTATTGTTGACTTGTTGTGTGTTTCATTTGTTTTGCATTTGTTTGATTGACAGAAAGGCGTAGAATAGCGGGCAGCAAAATCCGGAGCGGCGGCGTCATCGGCCTATGGGCCTCCCCGGTGATCGGCAGAAAGGCTGGGGCGGGGGCGGCGCGCACGGGGCCCCCGACCATGCGCCACACCAGCTTCAGCAAGCTCGGAGGGCTTATAAACAACGCCGTCGGCGGAAACAAACGCTCGCAAGCAGGTAAGCTAAGCACATTATCATCCTTAAGCTCATAAGCTTAAAATTATCTTTTGTTTATGCGTATTTGTGTAAATTTACTTTAAAATAATTCTAAATACGATCCTGTCCATACCTCGGCATGTGGCGCCGCCAAAGCCAGTCTGTATAACTATTATTCGCTCGTAGCGATGATACCCGATCGCCGCGTTCGGCGGTTGCAGTGACGTCAGGCGACCACTTTATGCCAAACGGTCCGCGTGAGACCGCCATTGTTGTAGATTCGCAGCGGATTTTCAAACGAAAAAGCGGCCCGCCCGCCGCCACTCGCACAAAACTCGAGCGATCGCCGGCCGCCGCTGCCGAACTCGTGCGATCCGGTGTCGCCGCTCGCGTCCGTGCGCACAGCCCGCCAGAGTGCCATCATGGCCGGTAAGTGGTCATCCATGACCCCGATGCTGTGATATGTGACTAGTTTCGTGCGCCAACTGTTTGTCCGCATTATACTATGGAAGGTAAACGTGATTCTTTCGCATTCTCTAAGTACGCACGCACGCAGACTGTTTTCGGCGACGGCATGCGTTTAATTCATTCCGTGGAAAACACTTTACTGCCCTAGCCCAACAAGAGCGCCTTCGGCGTGACCGGATTGTTTGCGGTTCGCGTTTGTTTTTTTGTATCTAAGAAACAAACGCGAAACGCGTCATAACCCTTTGTGCACTCAACAAACAAGATACCTATCACTGTATATTTGATCTTTAACAATTGCTTGCAATAACATTTTGTTACTATAGCAATAGCATTAACCAAAAATAACCTAAGTAAAATGGCTTCTAATTTGTGCTCCACTTCAATTGTTGTCGGCTATTCCAAACCCATTAAAATCCCACTCAGCAAACTCATTGACTCAAGCTCACCTTGCCTCCACAGTATTTTCACACTATCAATGCATAAATTGCAAGTGTTAATTAATTTATTGATGTTGCAGGCAATGGAGATATTCAATGGTGCTTTTCCCAGGTGAAAGGAACGCTGGATGATGATGTTACCGAAGCGGACATCATTTCTTGCGTCGAGTTCAACCACGATGGCGAGCTGCTCGCAACCGGCGACAAAGGTGGCCGTGTTGTGATTTTCCAGCGCGATCCCAGCTCCAAAGCGGCGCTGCCGCGACGCGGCGAGTACAATGTTTACTCGACGTTCCAATCACACGAGCCTGAGTTCGACTACCTCAAGAGCCTCGAGATCGAGGAGAAGATCAACAAGATCCGCTGGCTGAAGCGCAAAAACCCGGCGCACTTCCTGCTCTCCACCAACGACAAAACTATCAAATTGTGGAAGGTCTCCGAGCGCGATAAGAAGGTCGAAGGGTACAATACACGCTCCGAGAATGGAGGCCGTGTGGACCCGTCGAGCGTACATTCATTACGCGTTCCGGTGATCAAACCAATGGAACTGATGGTGGAAGCGTCGCCGCGGCGGATATTCGCCAATGCGCACACTTACCACATCAATTCGATATCGGTTAACTCCGACCAAGAGACGTACCTCTCCGCGGATGATCTGCGAATTAATCTGTGGAATCTGGAGATTACAGATCAGAGCTTCAACATTGTCGATATTAAACCGACGAACATGGAGGAGCTGACCGAGGTCATTACCGCCGCAGAGTTTCATCCAGTCGAGTGTAATCTGTTCGTTTATAGTAGCAGTAAGGGCACAATTCGTCTCTGCGATATGCGCGCGTCAGCGCTGTGCGATCGTCACGCGAAATTATTCGAAGAACCCGAAGATCCAACCAATCGTAGCTTTTTCTCCGAGATCATCTCGAGTATATCCGATGTGAAGCTGTCGAATTCGGGCAGGTATATGATTTCCCGTGATTACATGTCTGTCAAAGTGTGGGATCTGCACATGGAGACGAAGCCGATTGAGACTTACCTGGTGCACGAGTACTTGCGGTCGAAACTGTGCTCGTTGTACGAGAACGATTGCATCTTCGACAAGTTCGAGTGCTGCTGGAACGGCAACGATACTGCGATCATGACCGGCTCCTACAACAACTTCTTCCGCATGTTCGACCGCGCGACGAAGCGCGAGATCACGCTGGAGGCGTCGCGCGAAATCGCCAAGCCGAAGACGATACTCAAGCCGCGCAAGGTGTGCGGCAGCGGCAAGAGGAAAAAGGACGAGATCAGCGTCGACAGCCTCGACTTCAATAAGAAGATCCTGCACACCGCCTGGCACCCGACTGAGAACATCATCGCCGTTGCGGCGACGAACAATCTTTTCCTCTTCCAGGACAAGTTCTAGCACGGATTGCTCATCACTGGCTGAGGAGAGATTCACAAACAGAAACAATAACTAAAGTGATGGTTGGATTTTGCGCGCGCGTGTTAAGATTACCACCTAATTATCAATTTATTAATCAAGACCATCGTATAACAAACCCCTCTCGATAGGTACACATTAATTAATTAAATTATACACTTAAGTAATTTGGAGACACCATCTTAAATTTTCTTTCTGCTGTTATTTATTATGTTCAGCTTTGAATCCAAAGTTAATGTGTGTAAGCAACGTCTTCCGAATGTCAAAATGAAAGCATTAACTTTGGCCTCTCAACGCAACTGATTGCAACTCATCATCAAAACATTGACACAGGAATTGCAGACGATGAATGTGTGTTACTAGTACATATTGTTATTTTTTATATAATCAAAATGAAGACAAGCTACGAAACGGCGGCGGCGAGTAGTATTCATGCATCATGAACGTGTACAAATTGTAAATACGAATTAATAGTAAATTTTCTACACTTTTCGTTTGTTAACTAGATAGGAGAGGCGGCTTGAGATGTTATTTTAAAACTGATCACGATTTGAATGTCTTGATTCGCGTAAATAATTAAGTCTGTATGTACTAAGATGAGCCTAATAATTCCGAATCACACACACTCACTCACACGCATTACTGTAATAACATTTATATGAATATTCGATTTAATGATACGAAGAGATTTCGACATGAACGCGACAGCCTTTCAAGTGCCATGTAAACGACTTGTGAAAATGAAACCTAAACTAAGCGAAGATATGATGAGAACATGAACATTTAAATTACGTAGCGTTGTGGCGCGAAATTTTGATTAAGTGCGGTACGCAGTAAGTTTAATAATTCGTTTATGGTAGCTACCAATTGCTAAGTTACTAATTATTGATTAATTTTTTTAGTTTGTATGTCTATCGAGTGCGTAAAATTGCGGCCGAGGCAGGGGGGATTACCAGGTGAACGTTACTTATTGCCGAGTTTTGCGTTGTTTTTCGAACTGGACACCAAATAAAACATTTCTGTTGGCGGTGTGCGATGATATTGAACATAACTTGTGAATAATGTACTTTTAAGATGGATGAGTGAGAGGAGGGAATCATGCAAAAGTGTGAAAACGTTGTTCATACATTCCTCGCGCTAAATGGTTTGCTACGAAACAAAATCTTGATAAATATGCAGCGTTCGTTTATTTACTCTCTTTCCCAAATCCTAACTTTTCAGAAGTTTTAGGGAAAACCTAATTTGCAAATCATCAATGGTTAAAAGCAAGTAAAAATATCAAAAATCAGACCACGAAACGTTTGTATTTTGTTTTAAAAATTGTAATTGTCAATTTGGGATATTTTAGGTTATTTTAAATTTATTTTGAGGTTAGTTTTTCATATTCTTTTGCGAGATACATATGCATAAACAGCATTTATTTATAAAATGTTTAATTTTAGTTTTTATTGTTTCTATTTTTGTAATTTTATGAATTAATTTATATTGCGACTATAAAATATTTACACTGCAGAACATAAATATCCCCATTCAGCAGTGGATAGTTGTTTTGTTAGGTTGGCATTACTTTTTTCTTTTCTAACTATAAACAAGTATCGTTTTACTATGTTATTAGTTGTTACCAGTATAGTTTTATAAACAATTTGAAGACTCCACACAATTTCCAGCTATTCTCAGTAAGTTTTTACTACTTAATTAAACAATCCATACAATTATCATCATCAATTAACAATTTTTGAATCCGTGCGCATACTTTCTGCTCATTTCGTATTTTCGACGCATGAAAGTGACAAACCCACTGGCGGCACTGTATTGCGTCGACTGCGACTATCGCAATCGCGTTTCCTCGAACAAGTAATGTAGTAAAGTAAGTTAAATATAGACTAATCCAAAGACCAGAACGACTGAAAAAAATTCCCTCACATAATAATAAACTTAACCAAGATGACAAGCGCAAAACTAGTAAACCTTGGTGGATTATTACGGCTAACCACCACCGCGCCCCTTTGCAACACCAGCAAAGTTCTAAACAACTCGGTGCGATTCAAAACGTACAAAAAGAGATCTGGGGCGATCCTCCCTGAGCCCCCACGAACCCCATTTGGTATCGTGGGCGTAATCTGCACTGTTGTACCAGGCATACTTATTGGTGCCACTATTAGTAAGTACATGGCTTCATTCCTTGAAGAGAATGATCTATTTGTGCCATCAGATGATGACGATGATGATGACTAAGCCCTACTGAAGATGAGTAAAGAAGTAATTCATAAATTTTAAAACTCTGCTAGGCTGTTGTTATTCAATTAAATTACAACTTGAACAAATGTTTCTGTATAAGACAAAAGAGACAGACAAGGTATTTATTGTATTGTTAAATCTAAAGATGTGTCATTACCTGTTACAACTTCTTCCCTTTCAACTATTGTAAGAAATAAACAAGTTCTAGTCACACTGGTTTTCTAGATATTTATTTATATTTTCTAAAAAACAAAATGAACTAACAGATTTTCCATTTGGTATTCAAAGAAGAAAAAACAAATGCAATTGGTAATGTGCCATTTTCACTTTGTTCAGTTTAGTTATTTTTTACACAAACACAGTACCAAATTGAGTTAATGCAATGGACTGACTATTAAACTTGTCAATTACTCCCAATTCAACAAGTTCACAATTTAACATTCAATGTAATTGATGTTGGCTGGTTTACCGCGGCATTGGTGGCATCAATGAGCCGCCACCCCCAGCCATGGCAGTATTAGGACCTAAAAGTAACTGTTTCTGTTGATTGCGTTGCATCTCATCAAGCTGTGCGCGCTCCACTTCGAAAATAACAGGTGCAAACAAGATAATTGATGTGCTGAACACAATCCACATCGCGTTCCGCGAAAAGTTGTAGAAGTTCTTAATGCCGGATGTGGTGTTGGTTACCACCGTGGTGGTTGCATTGCGTACGCTTTCGGGGAACATTTCGGCGAGGCCCCATAATCGCTCCGTCACTGATTCGTCGGGCTATATAAAATACAAGTAAGTGAGGTTAGACTAAAATGTGCTTTGTGAAATTTCAACTCTTTATACGTATCTAGAGTTTGAATTAGATGTTATTTATTACCTCGTTATCTAAGTCAGTGTCGAGTTCGGATCGCTTTTCCGGTGTGGTGTCTTTCGCACTTGTTTCTTGGCTCTCCATCCCGCTGTCGAAGTCTTCACCTGGTGCCATAAGAAAATGTGTCGATTAGTTGAATATAAGGTAAATTCAGTTACGTCGTGGGCGCGGGTGATGTTAATTCAGGGCACGTTGCATGTGGGTGATATATTCACGCGATGCCCTTTTGGTCGCTTTGGTCGCTTTTGCCGATACGGAAAATTCGATAAATGTCAACAAGAAGCAGGCAGACGAGTTGAGCGCATGCGCACACTAAAACGCCGGGCACGAAGAAAGCACCGTTTGCTAGCAAATATATTTACCGTTTTTATGATTTTATACGTTTTCAAAGTAATATTTGTGTTTAAAATCTTATTTAGGTGATATCACATTATGACAATTTGTAATTTTACCTTTGTTTATATTTGTGGTGATAGATTAGTTTTTGAAGTACGCGATAACATCCATAGGGGGCGCTAGGTGAAACAAAAGAGAATAAAATCGGGATGTTGTTTTGTTTTCGACCAACTTTATTTACTACTACATACATTTTACACATATATACGGTGGCAGTCTTCTAAATGTACAAAATTATTCTTTCCACTTCAAATATCGCGGAAAGGTGAAAGAAAGAGAAGAAAGCACTTAATTATAGAAAATACAATGTAATATACAAAAATTTGCTTTTATAAATAAGTAAACACATAAATGTATCTTATTAGATAAGTGCACTCAAGAGTTAAGTGTCAAAACACTTTTGAGAACTCTTCTATTTGTCAGTAAAGTACTCTCTTATAGGCATCAAGTACGATTAAGCATAGACACCTCTTCTGTATTGATTCTTAAGCGAATTTATCAAACAGAACGCGCCAAAAATACCAAGCAATTCCCAAACGCCCGTGGCGAAAAGGACATAACCGATTGCTCGCAGGATATAGAGCATCATGCTTGTACCGCGTTTTGCGCATCCGTCAGTTGAAAGAGTATTACTCGTACGCGTGCAGACTTTTTTGGTAGATTCTTCAGGGATCTGGCAACAACTCAGAGGGATGTTGTTGAGCCAATCTTCTGGGCCATTTACACCACAACAGGTCAACTGTAAAAAAATGAATTCAATTAGTTTTGGTTTTAATTCAATTTTGATTTAATAAGTATTTTACTTACCAATTGTTGTAAGTTGTCCATTTCTTCGCGGGCGTTGGTAGTCGCGTTGTAGTTATCGAACATTTCTTGAACATTCTCTTTGACCTCCTTCTGTACGGACTTAACGTCTTTGAGGGCGATGAAATCATAAGTGCCGATGCAGATTTGTATAATCAAGAGGAGTATCAACAGCACAGCGTACTGAAAACCACATAGATTATTCTCTGTTATTAATAAAGTTGACGTAAGATTTGTTATGAATATGAAATGTCTACGTGACATCAGTATCAGTCACATGCTGTACACACATGACGTGTTACTTTCGTTTTCGTATTGCATTTGTTTACCAATTGGACAAAAACATGTCCATGTTGGTTATCAACATGAAAAGGTTATCAGCTTGGGATTTGATGCATGTAATAAAATTTGTTTTTGGTAGTTTACCGTTTTAAGCATGCAACTGTTGCCACGAATGGCGCCCACACAGCCGAAAAATGAGATGATAAACACGACTGCACCAACTGCTATCAGGTACATTGGGGCTCCTTCATCCACTCCTAGGCTGTACATGTTGAAGTGAAAGTAGACGCCGATTACTAATAGCGCTACTCCTATCAACTGCAAACAGAAAATAATCATAAATTAACACATAAAGTAAATTTTAGTTGAATAACAAACACATTAATACATTTCTTATTCTTTAAATTAATATTCGAATTGCATTGCATTGTATTTCGGTTCCGTGTATTCTTATACAATAATTTCTACATCTCTCCACTAAATTAAAATTAATTACGCGATCGATTCAAGTTATAATCACTGTATTATGATGGTAGCTACTTGTTGCCGTGTTATTACCACCATGATTCATTCATTCACTAATTGAAAAATAACAATATGTTATGATTTATTGGTTGATGGGCACAATGGAGACAGTTTAAGTCTTTAAAAAGTTATAATTATATTTTTTTACATTTTAAACATTCCTCATAAAGGCGAGGAAAGTTTATTCATGTGTTTAACTGTAACTGTTATTCATTTTTTAATTAATTTTTCTACTGGTTGATATAATATTGCATATTGTTTCATAATTTTAAACTAGTACTACCTATACAACATGCAAGTGATAGTTGTGTTGTGTGGTGACTTAACACTCTATTTTTATAACATTAAAAGTTTTTGGTATAGAAAAATCGTAAACACCGTGTGAAAAACTCTTTTCAGCAATTTGTTAACTTGTTTATCGGAATGTTCGTTCGCATGTTGGCAATACTTTCAACAACAAGCCGACACTACGATAGTAATTCCCCGGTGAAAAACTAAAATGCATTAAAATATCATGTATATACAGTTTGTATTTAAATTCAGTTGGAGCTGAAGCTATCCGTTGTTTATAGCGTCCCTGGCGCATTGCAATAATTAAACTATTTAACCTTCGCCTGATGCACATACGCTATTTTTGCGCGGTTTTGTGCAATGTGTTAGAAATAACGTGGCGTGACACACTCCTCTGGCGTTTGTTGTGCACTGTTGACATGCAGTTAATAAGGTAATATCATGTTCTGCTGGGAATATTACTCGACTGTCATTAATGCATCAGTATATCAATTTAATGTCAGCTTTTAAGGTCGCACTTATGGCAATTATGTGGTTAAATACGATTTAAGTTGTTGCGAATTGTTATGTTCGAAAATAATTTCGTTTTTTTTTTTCTTCGGCGAAATAATTAACCATCCATCTAATTATTAGTTCAACGAACTACCAGCGTGAATTTAAGTAAAGTGAAGGTTTGAGTTGAATTTGTGGCTCTGCAGGCATGCAAACAAACTGGTTCCACCTGGTTGGGCGAACCCGACGCACTCCTGTTACGTATAATTATCAACATCGGCTAAATATATTAATGTACAGGTAAATTTGCAAACGAAAGAGAAACGCGGGCAACCGACTGAGACCGATTCGCAATATAACCAATGAAAGACGCTTTTGAACCCCGATAGTTTTGATAATTGTATGTTTGCTACGCAAAGTGAAGGCAAACATTGAAAACAGGCGAGCAGATGCTTTATTGGTTCGATTGATACTTATATGCGTGTACTGTAATTGTAATTAAAAGCACTGTCTCGAGTCGGTACGGTACATATATGGACTTCTTCGCCAATTACGTACATGCCGCAGACCTCTAACGGTTTCCGATCGAATGCAACGTGTGGCGTTTCAAAGTTGCATTTGTTCTACGGGCGGAAGTTAAAACGCGCCAAGTGCTAATTTATGTGTTGGAAATGTTTGAAAAACAAACATACGTAAATCATGTTCTAAAAGGCGTAGAAAATTTGGAAATTTTACAACTGCTACAGCAGTAAAACATTGTTTTTCGGTTTTGACCGGTCAAAGTGTACCACCTTACAAGTTATTTCTTTAAAATGTAGAAATCAAAGGAAAAACTCCGCGATTAAGTTATGTTTAAGTTGTAATTGACTTGTAGTTCTAATCGATTTTGGTTGTTATTGTTTTGTATTAAGTTGTGCATTGTGTGGAACTAATCACTTTTTGTAAGTGAGAGTTTGCACATGACATAATTAGGTAAGTACTATTTCCGAACACATCCTGCCACTATTCACAACGCGTGAAAATCGTTAAAACAGTTCTCAAAAGCGACATGTGAAACAGCCGCGTAATTTTAGAACTATGTCAGGAGTCACCGTGTTGGAGATTTGCATTTGAAAATTTAAATCATCTGAATTCGATTGAAGATAATTTCGTAATGACTAAATAGATATGTTGCAAAGTGACGTGGGTGCTGGTTTACAGTTTGTATAAAATAATCGCGGTTGGATTTTGCGTATTTATAAATTTGTCTTGACTTTGGTTGGAAATTTGTGACGCCGGTGCGTAATATGCTTACGCATTTCCACAGTAAAATTCGTTCAGAATGAAAGCGTTTTACAACTTTGATGTGAATTACATTTGAGTGATTTTGTTTTATTCTCTGCGAAGGCGAGTTGCTTTTTGTCATGGTTTATTAACACGTCCAACATTGTTGCGTTACTGGATGAGCCGACATTTTCCAAAATTGTCTTAAAAACCGAACCAGATGACCTCGACTCTTGTCTCTTACATCATCACGCCAGCCGGCGACGATGGCGCCCGACCGCGTTCACATCACATCATCGTTTTTATTATATTCATATGTGCGTACTTACAATGATACAATTATGTTTCATTGTTCGTAACCAACTTTAATGTCGCAACATTTTTGAAAATATTTTGACCTCTGCGGCGCATATTTTTTCTAGAAACAACCTTTGAATCTCCTTTGCATCGTTTGCAATGTATGGATTTATTAAATATTTGCGCTGTTGCGTTTTATTGGCGTTGGCAGGGTGCCAAAAAGATGTTGTTTTTTTATTTAAAAAATACGATCGGATTGGTAACGTGGGCTCTCCTCTTTGAATCGCACTGCTGTTTATTTGCGCATTTTTCGGGCGCTTCAGAACGCAGATAAATACTCGCGTTTACGATCCCAAAATCGGATGTCCAATGTCGATATCGGACGGAATTAAACGAAATTGAATCCAAAACAAATAATTCAAATCGCTTTCACGCGCTGAAAAAATACTCCTTCGCAATCATAATTTTCAAATTTAATCGGGAAAATATTGCTTTTTCTTTGATCTCAGAATATCCACACTTGTGCACATAAAAATTTATTGATTTTTATACTTGGTGTATGATTTAGGACTGCTTTGTTCTACTTTAATGTTGATTGCAGTGGGACACAATGTCTAGTCTGATAACTTATTGTCTCTTGTCTTGAATGCGCTTTGTAACAATTCCGATTTTAGATTCTGTACTCACCGAAAATACCAGGTTAAATATAAACACCAAATACTTGACGATCTCGATGGCGCAACCCATTTTGATTGGTTTACACTGGCACAGACAACAATAAAACTGAATATATTTTATAAATAAATTTATGAGAAAATACGCTTTTAAAAACGAAAGTCAGTTTAAGACGCACTTTGTTGATTATATATGTAATAATTAGCACTTTAAATTTAACACATATAAAATTATTTAATTTTATGATATTTCGATTTGAAGCGCTCTTTGTTGCGCGAAATTTCAGTGTTGTTTTTGTGTTATAGGAACCTGGGATCGCACTCTGCCCGTCCACGACGAATCGTGCCCGCACGGTAAGTGAATGAGCGCGAGTGGCGCTGGTCGAGTCGAACGCATGAGCTGAGCTCGCTTAGCGTGCAGCTTGCTACTTGCTGATTAATGCTGCTGCGCACAGGCGTGCTCGTGAACTCGGGCGAACTTCAAAGCATTCGAACCGTTCGAATGGTTCAAACGTCACCGCGGAGTCGCACAACGCTCGGTGGATGTGCGTTTCTGTTTTGTCCCGACTCGGCTGAGCAAATTTGCTTTTCCCTGTACCTCTGAGGCGCAAAACACCGTAACATACATCTCACAGTAGTAGGAGTGCTAAGTAACCGCGCAACTACACAGTAAGTATATTACGGCTTTGTTCACTCAGGCCAAACGCAGTCACACAACGCCGAATATGTTTACGACGCGAATATTTATGATCAGTGATGAATAAATAATTGTCTTTGTTCAGTTAAGTTTAGACAGACATTTTCATCGAACGTATAAATAGTATAACAAAAATTTACATAAAGTGATGTTTGGGAATGATTGAGTGTTTACACTGTATCAAAATTGTACTCGTATGTCTGCTGCGTTTGATATGAACCGGATTTAACTTAACATTTGACATGGTGCATCAGTCGCATCAATATTCCATTGATGACTTTCAACTTTCGGTTTAAATCATGCGATACATTTTTGATTTAATTGGCTTGGTTTTTTTTTCATCTGTAAAATAACAGCTACATGACGCACGAAAACAAGTAGGTTTTGAGTGATGTTTTGGCACTAATGTTGTGCGAATATAGTTTCGTCGAGTGAGGTATGAAAAACAATAAAAATTGCGACGCAGATTGCCAAAACTTATATTTATTATGTGCAACAATCAGATAATACGTGATCTAATAATGTACTAACGCGTATATAATGCGTATATAATTTGCTATATATGTAATTCTAATTGGGATATTATTAAGTTATTGCCATGCTCCAATATGAATGGGATGTGCAATCCAAGGACCTCCCTGTTGCGGGTAATGGCTAGCTGAGGCGGCAACAGCGGCCGATGCAGCAGATAAGGTCGTGTCCTTTGCGGCGGATGCATGTTTATAAACAGTAGCTTCAGATCGTTGAAGAGCTGCCAATTTGGCAGCGGTGTTTTCTATTCAGGAAATTATAATTTTAATATTGACTTAACAAAGTGTTGATTATGATAGGTCAGTGGTTATTCGAACCTGATTTTTGTATTTCATGCGCAGCGGCATTGGCACTTCGGTGAATGATCTGCGCGGCGTGTGCTTCCTTGGAGGCTGCGATGCGTTGGTGCTCAGCGACTTCGGCTTTAGCTTGAGCTAAACGTTGCTGAGCTAAGACCACTGAGGTGGCGGCGGCGTTTGCTTCTTGGCGTTGCACAGAAGCAGCAGCTTCGGCTTTCTGGGCTGTGATGGCGGCTTGAGCTTCTTTTTGGCTTGCCAGGCGTTGTTGATTCAGAACGGCTTCTTTCGCGAATTGCACGCGTTGTTGGGCTTGTAAGACCTGGCTGGTTGCTTCCTTTGCGGCAGAGATTGCGGAAGCTATTTCAGCGGGAGACACTGGTGGATAGGAGTTGACTTTGTGGATCTAGTTTTATAAAGAGAAATTATTTGGTAATTTATTACGGGTTTAGGTTAAATTTTAACTTACGACGATAGGTTTTGCCAAAATGATAGGTCCTTGAGCGAAACTATTGGATCCTTGGCCAAATCCCTGATCAAAAGCTGATCCCAAGTCATTGCCACCAAAGCCATGGTTGTTTCCGAAACCACCGCCATAGTTCCCGCCGAAACTGTTTCCAAAATTGCCGAAATTACCATCCAGGAGTCCACGTTTACTGGGGACACCTCCATTGACACCCAAGGCCACCAACACTAAACAAATCTATAAAAATAATTAGTATTAGTGCAATTTAAGATAAACTAATTTAAGTAATTAAGTAAACTTACTAGTTTAAGGGCAATCATATTACTTAGTAGATGCTTCAACTTGTCAACAAGACAAAACAATGAATAATCCCAAGAATCCGATGCTGCTTTTATAGGTGAACAAAATTGATCCAAATCTACATCTTGCAAAGTGGGATCTCTTTAAAATTATTATCATTAAGTTAATTCAACTTCACCTAATCAAGAGAATGTGTCAGAATATGGCTGCTGCATATAACAATTATATGCCCAACTTGGTCTTCATTGTCTTCAGGTTTAACAAACTATGTTATTATATTAACAGTTGACATAATTACTTCCAGGTTTGGTAGGATAATTCACAACTCAAAAAAGTAGATTCCGAGATAAGTCACGACTGATATTTAATTAATGCATTATAATTTATTATTATTAATATTTCGTACTCTGAAATCCTGAAATGAGGAAGTGCTCAATTATATTATTTAATTTTCACCCAATAAAAATTTAAGACATCTTAAAGAAAGTGCAAGTACGAGTAAAAGTACTACATTATTTCTGTCGGGATTTAATTTCACGCTTGATCGCCACATTCATATACCACAGATTATGAAATACTCTGAAAAATAATATAATAAGATCTAAAGCAAAATACATTTATTTTGAAACAACATAAAACATAATAAAACAATTAAATTAATTTAAAGAAAATATTAATATTGTTTATATCTTCTTCATTATAAACCACTTTTCCCTGTACATGTGTTTGGTTGTGGTTGGAGCATGTTTTGATGGTCTGCCTTCTGCATCTCCATGTCTATAATGTTGTTTATATCTTTTCTGGTGATCTCTGTGTTTGATTTCCGGTCTTGATGTAGTAAATGTGTATCTTTCATAATCAAACTTCTTATCATTTGTTGGTTTATATGCGTATTTATTTTGTGGACGTTTTTCATACTTAGCGAACTTAGTATAGTTTTTGGGTACTTTTTTATTGTATTTATTGTAGTTTAAACGAGATGAATCTTCGTTGGAGTCTTCTTCTTCGTCTTCTTCGACATTTTCATGTGTTCTATATCCTCCACGATGGTCATCTTCTTCTTCTTCGTCATCTTCGCTTTCTTTGTGTTTTTGTTGATTATTGGGTTTTGTTTGTGGCGAGTGGAAATGGAAAGAGTAGTTGGTATATTTTGGACGATCTTCCTTTTCTTCATCGTCTTCTTCCTCGTCTCGGTATCGTTCAACTTCTTCCGAATCTTCATCATCTTCGTTTTCTTCGTTAAGTTCACCTTTCTCTTCGGAATCATCAGAATCTACGTTTTCTTCTTCGATATCCTCTGATTCTTTTTCGTCCTCATTTTCCGCTGCATTGGATGATGAAGATTCAGCTGGTGGTTGTGGTTTGGTGTTGATGTACTGAACTTGTGCTGGTGGTGCTGGGTTCCTAATTGGCAGGAATTGCCCTTGAGAGTGTGGATATATTTGTTGTGACGGATAGAATTTTTGTGGTTGTTGTTGATAATGCAAAGGTTTCTGTAAAGGGTGTTGTAAAGGCCCAGGGGGTTGCTGTAGTGGTTGAACATGCACATGAGGGGATTTTCCGTTTAAATAAAGTAATTTTCCAACAAATGGAGGACTTTGACTGGAGATACTAGATATATAAGGCGTATGATGAATGACAGTACTATGCTGAACTGGAGTGATAATTGTTTCCGATGGAGATTGATAAATTTTATGTGATGGTTGCGAATTGAATCGATATGAGCCATAAGAATGTGGTGGTGATACATATTGAGAATATGGTGTATCCTGACTTGGAGATGAAAGCTGTTGATACTGTAAAATTTAATTCAACATAATTATTCTTAAGATAATATATTTTGCAAACCTGTGATAATCCAGGTGAAAATTGTGAAGGTTTTATTCTTTCGGAGCTAGGAGTGTAAGTTGGATTGTAGAACTGGGTAGCAGCTGGGACATTATCACCATATCCGTAAATATTCTCGACGTATCCATGTAAATTTAGACTTTGTGCGTCAATTCTTATTATTGCCAACAATATAACACAACATACCTGAAATTAAAAAAGTAGTTAATACATTTCACATATTTCTCACAAATGTTTTAATAAGAAGTACATTTATTTGCATTTTTAAATATTTCACTGGTTCTCGACACAAAATTGAAATCCAACTGACACTAAAATAATTTGTTTCCAGTATTTATAGACAAATATGCAATGCAAGAGCGCAACAATCGCATTAGTTTTGATGTCGAAGATATAATACAAAGCTTGGTCGATGAATGATGTTTACTCAATCGAAAAGTCACACATTCTTGCGGTTTGAAAATAAAAGCGCGTCGAATAGCGATTTAGCGAATTATTTTGCAAAATTACTTTCGACATGCATAATTGGAAAAGAATAAGGACTATCTCTACCACGGCAATCACTAAGAGTCAATACTAGCACCGGAAAATTCGTGTTTAATGTGAATGTTGTACGACATTTTTTAGAGGCGTGCCTGCATTAAAGTTAAACTTGAAGTCATCAATCAAGTGCAAGGTGTTTGTAGTGACTATTTTTCTTATAACGTAAAAGTTTTAACTTGAAATCTAAAATGAAAGACTCAAAATGATATTGTGGAAATTGTTCAGAATTTTTGTTATACAATTGGTTAAAGAAAGTGAATTGGATTAGTAAAAATTGAACAAAGGAAATAATTTTAGTATTGCAGATCTGTTTTTGTGGTTTTGTTAAATTACATTGTGGTTGATTAAATGTTTGATTACGTAAGGAAAGCATAAATGCAGCTCGCCACATACAAATGTGTACTAACAATCAAAAATTTACATTGTGCTGGGAAACTTATTACTAAAATATGCAACTTTCTTGTTTTTATATTACAATCTTTTTATTGCCATTTGCTCGGAAATTTTCAGACAATAACTGATTATCAAGCATTATTTACTGGAACTAAATATATATACATTTCTGAAAATTTCCTACGGATATTAAATAACCAAATGATATGATGATGCTTTGGGTCATTGCAGAACAAAATTATGTTCTAAGAATTTAACTATGTATCTTTTATACTGTGCACTTATTCGTGTTTGTAAACAATCATGTTATAATTCGACTGATCACCGAGAGAGGCCGCCGGGGGTGTCATTCGGATTTTAATCAGTCGAGCGAGATTGTTGTTGTCGGCCTGCACGCGTCTCTTTCGTTGCTTTGTCGTTTTGTCGTTTTCGTTGTTTTGATTCGATAAATCGTGTTATATTCAATCGGTCATCGACAACGTTTCCGTTGAACGGGCGTGCGTGAAATTATCCTAACATTTTGCTCTTCTGAAATTTTTATAAAAAAATGTTTTAGTGCCTTTAAATTTAGGTGGGATATACTATATAACAATCGCCGTTGGATACTAACTCCTAATTTTTATTACAAGGTAGGTACAATTTTAAATAAAATTACTTTCTGAGAAAGCAACATTTTTTTATTGAGCGAATTTAGGTAATGAACAAAGAGGTTGCTAATATTATTCTTCTCCTGAAATTTTTTCACTCCTTTAATTACTAAGTTCACGCGTCAGAATTAGTTCATTGTTTACAATTTGTCTAAATGCAAACCGACTAGGTATATTGTATTTTGCTCTCGGCGTATTCTCCGCTTGACATTCTCGCTGCAATTGCTGCGTGCGATTCAACCGGTTTGTTGTTATCTCTTATCGTCGGTAGATCCGCGCACATTTACCGCGACTCGCCTTGTTTCTCGGCGTTTGACCATGAATTAATACCGCTTGACATCGTGAAAAATATTGTTTTATCATATTTAGAAAGCGCGTTTATTATGAATGCATAATAATGCATACAGTTTTATAAAATTAATTCCAAAATTAAATTTAATTATCTTTATCTTATTTGTAATAATTTTTCTAATGTTGCAATTTTTTTTGTGTAGTCTATTTCAAGATCTGGATGACGCTGGGATGCACGTTTTAACTAAAACTATAGCTGCATGAATTTCTTACTTTAACGCAGAACGTACTGATGCAAACTAACAAGTCACACCTCATTTTCCTGCAAAGTTTAATTTAATCAAACAAATTCACCAATTGTTTAGCATTCCGGAAGTTTGGATATTCCTTCAATTCACATTTTCGCTACAAATGCGCCCGACTGCAGTTTGCAGTATTTGTTTTCCCGTGCTCCCGCGTAACTCACGACAGCAAATTAAATTCAATTGATTGTGTTTTAATAGGTTTACGGGACATGCTGTAGTCGCATGCACTTTGGTTCTCGATGTCAACGACACATTCGAAATTTTCTGAAACAACCATCATTCTGTCAATCATCAGTAATAATAAGTATTATTCTGAAATTTCAGTGTTTGCCGTCAAGTTCTTAGTAATTTTTTTCTTTTGAATTACTTTGTATAATAATTTCCTTTGAGATTCAGAGAAAATTGCGCAAAGTCATAGTTTTTAGGAGTTTTCTTTACCACGTGTAGTTAATATTACCTATATTTTAGAATATAGTTTGAGTAACGCGATGTGTATTAGCTTTCTAAAACATCTTCTTTCTTGAATTTTGAAATTTCTTAAACGTAGTTATTTTCTTTCTGTAAAGCGTCACCTGAAAAACGGATAATATTTGTATGTTGTTTTAACGTGACACACGAAAGAGGTTTGAAACCAAAAATTTACAATCTATTCAATTTCTTCACTTTATTGCTTAAAACATTAAATTTTGAAATTTAAATTAAACATATTTTTATGTAAGTTGCAGTTTCGATTTTGGCCGAAACTGAGGCCAGGGCCGAAATTTCGGTTTCGGCTGAAAAGCCTGTTTCCGTCGGACTCTACTTATAATGTTTGTTGGGATTGCAGTTCGGTGTATTACGATTCATTTCGGCATCTTCATTTATGGATAACACGTGTTTACTGGTTAATTTACAATTAATTACAACGCTGTGGACTTTTGAAAACGTTAACAGACATGAATGTGTATTTGGGCGTGAATTTCCACTAGACGCATACATGAGTATTAAGTTGTTGGCGTAGATTGGAAACGACTCCACTCGTCTAGTAAGTATTTTAAAAGACTTTCTTAGAGTTTCTCCATGCCATAATAGAGCTAGAGAGTTCCTCTGTCTTCCTGCCCTTCCGAAGGTGCCTTAAAATGCCCTTCAAAAATCAGCATTTTTTGGAAATTTTGAAACGTTGAGGTGGAAAACACCCTGTATCTCCAAAATTAATTGACTTTCTTGGAGTTTCTCCTCGCCGCAATAAAGTCAGGGAGTTTGTCTACACGATGCATACCTTTTCAACCTCCCAGCTCTTTTGGAAGTGCTCTAAAATGCCCTTCAAAAATTAGCAATTAAAAAAATTGAAAACATAGTGTGGAAAACACCCTGTATCTCGTAAATAAATTGACAATCTTCTAGTTTCTCCACGCCAGAAGAGAGTCAAGGTATTTGACTGCACGATGCATACACTTTATACCCTCCAGCCCTTTCGAAAATGCCCTAAAATGCTCTTCAAAAATTAGCAATTTTAGGAAAATTCGAAAACATGGTGTGGAAAACACACTGTATCTAGTGAACTAATTAATTTTCTTGAAGTTTCTTAACGTCATGTTAAAGTTCGAGAGACCCTCTACTCTATGCTTACATTTTTAACCCTTTAAACACTTTGGCAGTGTCTTAAAATCCCATTCGAATATCGCTAATTTTGTCCAATAAATTTCATTTTTTGGTCGAAGAACAGGGTAGAACTTTTTTACTTAAAATTTTTCGGTCCAATTTTTTTGTAAAAAATGTTTTGGTCGAATTTTTTTGCAAACTTTTTTTCGGTCGAATTTTTTTGTAAACTTTTTTTCGGTCGAATTTTTTTGTAAACTTGTTTTCGGTCGAATTTTTTTGTAAACTTTTTTTTGGTAGAATTTTTTTGCAAACTTTTTTTCGGTCGCATTTGTTTGTAAGCTGTTTTTCAGTCGAATTTTTTTGTAAACTTTTGTTCGGTCGTATTTTTTGTTAACATTTTTTTGGTCGAATTTTTTTGTAAACTTTTTTCGGTCGAATTTTTTTTGTAAACTTTTGTTCGGTCGAATTATTTTGTTAACATTTTTTTTGGTCGAATTTTTTGTAAACTTTTTCGATCGAATTTTTATGTAAAATTTTTTTGTCCAATTTTTTTGTAAACAATTTTTCGTTCGAATTTTTTTGTCAAAATGTTTTGGGTCGAACTTTTTTACTTAAAATTTTTTCGGCCAAAGAACAGTGTCAAACTATTTTGTTAAAATGTTTTTCGGTCGAAGAACAGGGTCGAATTTTTTGGCGATTATGTCAAGAACAAAAAGGTGTACGAAAAACGAATGCATTTTTCTCTAAAATTGTAAATACGGTTAATGTTAGTTACTAAAATAAACGATGTAGAATTAAATTATCAATCAGAATCCGATTACGAATTTAATAAAAATTAATAATTCCATGCCTCGTCCATGCATTTCCATGTACAAATACAATTCTTCTCATGTTCTGCACTACCACACTGAAAGTATCAGTGTTTACAAACAAACAAGTTTCTTTATCTCCTGCAGTTTTGGGCGATCGCCACGCGGTTGCCGTGCGTATCAGGTTAGTCTAATTTTTGTCGTCAGGTGATCTGTACGCACATTTTCTTTACAATATTTTGAGTTCCCTAATTTTTGTCGCGTTATTACGTACTGTTTCTAAATGCTATTTCGATTGTGCGTTTGTTAAGCGTGGATTGTTCATACGTAGAGGTTTTTAGTATCATACGCGTATTTCATATTTATTTACTTAACTTGTTTTTACTTCAACCGCGTGGTCTTTAACCACACCAATAATTTTTGTCTCTGTTTCAAAACCTACCGTTGATTTGCATCACGTAATCGGTACATTGTTTCGTTTTCGTTTAATGTGCAAATTAAAAAGATTAAGATAGTCGCGTGCCGTCGACAGCGCTCTTGATTCTCTGGTGGCTTTCCGGGCTGGGCCTAAAATAAAATTCTGCCCCGTGCTTTATTTTTGTAATATCCAACCCATCAATTTTCCTTCATATATAAAGAAAATACATTTTTGAATTGTTCTATTTTTAGGTTTTCTTACTTTTTACTTTTCTTTGATTTCCGGTCTAAACACTTTGATTTTTTTAAATTCTTTAATTTTTCTTTGTGTATCACTCAGTAGATATATTTTCCTTATCATTTAATAGACCATATTTATTAGTGTCGTTTTACTTTTAAAACTTAGAATTTTCTTTTTATATCACCCTGTATACTAATTTCCCGTGATGAATTTGCGAAAAGGGAAAAGATATATGGCATCCCACTTAAACTTAAAATATTGTCGTTTTTTCTTTACCTCGCCCTGTATATTAATTTCCTTTGATTTTACTTTGACTGTGGTTTTAGATATATATTTCCCTACTTTTGCATTGTCTCTTTAAATGTTATTATATTGTTTTTGGAACACCCTGTGTAATAGTGTTCCTTATGTGGCCCGAAAATGATGCAAAATTTGTTAGTATTGTATTAGAGCAAGAGCCCGACATTCGTCATTTTACGAAAGATGAAATTTTGCCTATGTGTGTCTCCAATACAGGTAAGCACGATCCCCAATTATGAAACCTGGATCGTGGTTCCTTTGGCAGTTAACAGCCAACAAAGATGTACAAATGATGATCTCAAATTCGTTATTTTAGCAAACTCCATTTTTACATATTTTGTTCGTATCATTATTACAACATGCGCTGCTCATTGCCAGACATCTGGTATGGTTCCAACCTTAGCCAGACACCCCTAAACTATAATATTTTTAATTTTTTCACTTTCGTTATATTAGGAAAGCTGAATTTGATACACATTATGCCGAAACGTTTACATAAACAGATACTCATTCTTCATTTTATTTGTGTACATGTTAATTATTATAATAGGAAAATTGAGCTGGGAAAAACCTATTTGGATACAGTTGGGATTTGATTTTACCATGGGTTTAGGAAGATAGGTAGATGTTCATACGGTAACTTGTACTTGCCAGGAGATCTTTGCCTCGTGATATTTTTAACTAGTGGGTTCACGTGATTTGTCGTTCGGTGATAGAATTTATTGTTGTTTTCGTCAAGATAGTCTAAAAGAGGCAATATGTTACATTGCCGCTGAATTGTCGTAAACATTTGTTCTCGAATTGTTGTAGCTTTTTACGGTATGTTTTGGCGATGGGCACATGGGCACATACATGCTGGGGCTGCGTACTCTAGAAGTGGCTCGTAGTCTAGTGTAGTTTTGTAAAGTAACAGTTTGTTTTTTACAGTAAGTACGCTGTTTCTATGCATTAAAGAGTACAATTGCATTAGGGCCGCATTTGCTTTTATGATGGTGTTTTCCACATGTTTTCTGAAAGTAAGCTTTTTACGTCCGCTTTTTCTGGAATTTGCTGAGAGTTTAACACACTCTCGGTGTTATTAGTGCATTGTAATTTTCGTCTTCTCGTCGCTGTTAGTAGTTCTGATTTATTAGGGTTTACTTTTATTTTCCACTGTTTATAAAATTTCTCAACTGCCAACAAGTGGTTCTGTAGCTTTTTACGACCAATATTTTCATGGTCTGAGCTGCTATATAAAATGGCATCATCTGCAAATAGCGCAAGTTTCGTATTGTTTGTTTTTGGTAAGTCGTTGATAAATAAACTAAACAGCCATTGGTCCTAGTACAGATCCTTGTGGAACGCCTGCATTGATGGATTTGGCTTCTGATTTTTCATTTGATATTAGATGAATTAAATTGCTCGAGAGATTAATTTGGATCAGTTTGTAAATTAGTCCGGTAATCCACACGGTGTCAAACGCTTTTTCAATGTCTAATAGGGCCATGTGTACGATTTCATTTTTGTTCCAGGCTTTTTTGACATCTGTTACTTCTGCCAATTTCGGAAGGTTTTTGAGTACTATGTTTTGTATACCGTCAGGCCCTGGTGCCTTTGTGGCAGGTAATGTTTTTATAATGCGCTTTATGTCTGCTGGTTTGACGAAATATTTGCCGCGATTTGTATGTGTCTTCGTAGCAATAAATTTATCAACTTCTTGAGCTATTTCAATTTGTTTGTTGGTCATTCGATCGTCAATGGTACAGATCGATGCGAATTTGTCGGCAAGTACAGTTGCTGCGTTGTCAATAGCTTTAAACGCGAATCCGTCATTTGCAAAGCCGGAATAAGCAGGTAAGAGAATTGATAACCGGCCCGCAGTTGGACGGGCATTCTTCTATCTGCGCACGACAAAAAGGCTATTACAAATATATTGCAATTTATAAATTTATCAGTTTACAAACAACATTATTTGAAAGAAAGAATTTTAATTAACGTACTATGGAAAAATACCACATATGTGGGTTCCGCTTGTATTAAACACAAATGTTGTTTTATTTTCTTTTTCAAATGTTGTATATAACAATGGTATACAATTTGAATTCTTATGAAAGAATGGTTGTTCTACGACATCGAGTTCGCACGCTGCACACCTAAAACCACCGAAAATTAAAGCGCAAAAATAGAATTTTTGTTATTTTTCGTTTTGTTATACTTAAAAGTTATGCATAAAAGTGACGTGCCCACCGCAATTCTGTGCACCAAAAACTAAACCAAAATTAAGCATGATTTTAAACCAAATCGATGGCAGCGCCATCTGACCGTTGTGGCGTAACAAAACATAATAGATAGCCGCTAGTATCGCCCTCTAGTTTTAGAACGACAAACTAGAAATAAATTACCAAGAAATCTGCAACGCGTCTGCTAATATTTGAAACAACTAATTTAATTCAAAGTAAAGTTAAGTAAACACTTACTGCACGCTATACCCTCACAATATCGCTGTAAAAACGATATATTACTAAACCATTGCGTACAGTAAGTGTTTACTTAACTTTACTTAGCTTTTTATACTCACCCTCTCGTACTACCACCATTGTATTTTAATTTAATTTTCATTGTGAATGAATTTCATTTCACTTTTCATTGTATGAACCATGTAAATTATTTATGTAAATGACAAACAATTTCAATACTTACAATCTGATAGCAGAATCAATGTCCTAACACAATTTGTTCGCCTGCTAGACACCTAAAACAAACAAAAATTAGCACGTCGAAGCACAAAAATGACATTTTCACAGGTTTGCCGTGTGCTAATCACACAAATTATTTATGAAAATGATAAACAAATTCAATACTTACAATCTGATGATAGAATCATTGTCCTACGACAATTTGTTCGTCTGCTAGACACCTAAAACAAACAAAAATTAGCAGGTCGAAGCACAAAAATGACATTTTCGCAGGTTTTCCGTGTGCTAATCACACAAATTATTAATGAAAATGATAAACAATTTCATTACTTACAGTCTGATTGAATAATCGTTGTCCTACGACAATTTGTTCGCCTGCTAGACACCTAAAACAACCAAAAATTAGCATATCGAAGCACAAAAATGACATTTGCAGGTTTTCCGTGAGCTATTCGCACAAATTATTTATGAAAATGATAAACAAATTCAATACTTACAATCTGATGAATGAATCGTTGCCCTAGGACAAATAGTTCGCTTGCTAGACACCTAAAACAAACAAAAATTAGCAGGTCGAAGCACAAAAATGACATTTTCGCAGGTTTTCCGTGTGCTAATCACACAAATTATTAATGAAAATGATAAACAAATTCATTACTTACAATCTGATGAATGAATGAATCGTTGTCCTACGACAATTTGTTCGCCTGTTAGACACCTAAAACAACCAAAAATTAGCGTATCAAGGCACAAAAATAACATTTTTGCAAGTTTTCCGTGTGCTATTCGCACTAATTTTTTTATGAAAATAATAAACAAATTCAATACTTACAATCTGATGAAAGAATCGTTGTCCTAGGACAATTTGTTCGCCTGCTATACACCTAAAACAAACAAAAATTAGCATATCGAAGCACAAAAATGGCATTTTTTGCGGGTTTTCCGTGTGTTATTCGCACAAATTATTTATCAAAATGATAAACAAATTCAGTACTTATAATCTGATGAAGGAATCGTTGTCCTAGGACAATTTATTCGCCTGCTAGACACCTAAAACAACCACAAAAATTATCTCTTAGCAGGTTTCCCGTGTGCTTATCACACAAATTATAATTGTAAATAATATGTAAATTCAATACTTACAATCTGATAAAAGAATCGTTGTCCTAGGATATTTCGTTCGCCCGTTAGACACCTAAAACTACCATAAATCAGTACATCGAAGCACAAAAATTATCTTTTGTAGGACTACATTCGAATGCGTTGCAATTGGAATTGCGTTCCTTGAGACGCCTTCGAGAGCGTTAACAGTCATAAATAGTAATTCTACTTAGATAACATAAAGGACTCAAAAAGAAAGAAAATGTGAAAGATTTATACCAAAAAAATCTCAACAATTTCATCCTTCAAGTAAAAAAATGTACCACCAAATTTTCGAATTTACCCATGTTGCAGACCCAACTTCACCAACAAACTAATACAACCGCAAGGAGACTTTAATTTGACATTTCTAGAAATGCCCCCTTCTCGAGTTAAAGCTAGACAACTACCAAATACTAGAGACCGACCGAAATTTCGGTTTCAGTTTCGGGCAAAAACTGGCCGAAACTTTTGGCCCCACCGAAACTCAGTGTTTAAGAATTTTATTATAGTTTAATTTTGAAGTGACACACGAAAAAGGTTTGAGGGAATCCCCAATCAAACATATGTTCTAAAAATTGCCAAAATCAAAAATTTGCTATCTATCTTCAATTAGTTCACTTTACTGCTTAATACTGTCGTATACAATTTTATTGCACCATAGAAACTGAAATTAAATATGTTTATGTAAGTTACAGTTTCGGTTTCGGTTTCAGCTGAGAAACCAGTTTCGGTCGGACTCTAAAAATAATATAAGCTTAACGCACAAAAAATATAACGCAAAATATATCATCCCCTTTTCCCTGTGTTAATCACTAAAGTTAAGGAAACTGCTGAAAATATTCAATACTTACAATTCGGTGAAAACAAGACTGTCCTGTGAGGTCTAATTTACTTGTTAGAGTCCTAAAACAAACAAAAATCAATGTTTCGAAACGCAAAAATACAATTTTCCTGAGTCTTCCAAGTATTAATAGCAAAAGTTAATATGGCAAAAGATAAAGAATTTCAATACTTACATATTGGTAAAAGCACGACTGCCTGTGAAGTCGAATTCGCTTGCTATGAGCCTAAAACAAACAAAAATCAAAACTTCAAAACATAAATATACCACTTTCCAGTTTGTGGACCAGTCAGAAAACATTTTAGTACATGCAACAGATATCTAATAATAATAATAGCTGGGGTCGACGTGACAATGTTTTTTTATAGACAAACAAGATCTGGTTTTATTCTATTTACCAAATCACTCATATCACATTTTTTTATTTTTTTTTTTATTCAATAAATAAGAACAAGCGCAAGTGCGATCAAGAGAACAATTAATATTTTCGTATCAAGGATGATCCACGAAATATTTTATAATATAATATTAAAATACAATGGTAGTACTGTACGCTATACCCTTACAATATCGTAATATAATGTAATATAATACAAAACGTATTCAATCTCTATTTTCCCTTAAAACGTACCATAAGTTCCAAGCCTAATACTATAGTCCTTTTCAAGTACGGTGAGACCACATATTCAACCGCATATTCTTGCACACGCACACATAGCGGCATGTATTTCCACAGTTCTCGGAGCCTTCCCTAGTTGGGGCATTGCATCGCGCTTGGTCAGCCGGTGGTCATTCGACCCAGTCCAGTCCAACTTGTCTCGCCCTCTCGTTTCGGTATGCGCCAGACGCGCACAAGTTCAGGTCTGGTGAGCGAGAAAAGGCAAAACGAATGTGTACGAACGGCAAACAGTCAGTCGACGGTCTGACTGGCGGCATTGGCATACCGCGGCGGACTTGCTGCACGCTTTTCAACACCCGGTAAGCAGAACAGCGAGGAGGTGCGAGCTAAACAGCTAGCGAACGCCAACGAAAAATAAACAAGTTTTTTTACGGACAGGAGGGGAGCAAGTAAACAAGGAGAGTAAAAATACTAGCATTCACATTCAGCGCAATCGAAAGCCTGCCTTGCAAGTTAAAACAACTAGTTGAGATTCAAGTACGGACTGATGTAACGGAAAGTAGGAGAATGTTTCACATGGCAGGGAAAGAGAGAGACTTATATGAGTCCTGTAGTAACTAATTAATTACACAAGTAACGGGGAATATGCTATTGATTAAATAACTTCATTCTAAAACATGTTCCAGGCGTTAAAAGTGATTAAATTTATCTCTCGTATGAATATTTATACTGAAAAATAATTAAATTCGAAGAAATAAAAAGGAAATAAATTGTTTATCTTATGAAGCGAAATTACACAAACATTCTAATAGTTAGGAAGATACCAAACAGTTTAAAAGACTAATTTATTTATTCGTATTAAATTTGATCAGTATGATTTTGTCGCGATAACACTCGAACGAAAAAAGCGTCCTCGGTTCATGCAACGAGCGGATCGGTGCCGTGTAGGCTTACGAAATATCGGCGGCGAGCACGCCGACACGACGGAGCTTCCTCGAATTTCTGCTGCCTTGTCATTTAAGCCCTCTCAGTTATGAATTATGAGGAAATTGTAATAAAATATCAAAATGGCGACAACGCATATTCTAAACTACACAAGCAGACCGACCAACTACATCTACCACATACGTCTTTCCAGATTTTTTATTCATTAAATAAAACACATTAAACTAATTAATAATCATAGAGCAAAAAAGCTGCTTACTGCTTCAAAAAATTTAATTTCAAGTAAGTCAATGTTGATCGCTGTGTGGAAGTACGGCGGCAATCAACGCACACATCACGCCATAATTAAACCAGAACGCGCGACTGGTGGCAACGCGGCGCGGACCTGTCCGTTTTGTGCATCAAGTTATCAAATACGAGTTCGGTGTATCAGGCGCGCAGCAGTAGCGCATGGTAGACGCGCCACAACCGCGCGGCGCGTTTGTACGCAGCCAGCCGCTGTCGTTCATGTTCGCCTGGTAGCAAGACCGCCAATTTCGCGCCTAACCAGTCAACCACAGGGTCACATTGAGTTTGCGCACATTATACTAGTTTCGAAGCGCGGCGCATACGGTTCTATCGATCCACCATAATACCAAGACGTTACAATTTAAATATTTCAAATCAAAATGAAATTTAAATGTTTCTTGTAAATAATAATTAATAACAATTATTATTTATATTTTACAATTTATTCGCCTTTTTCTGTCAATCTTGACAGAAAATGATCTGTTTACGATCGAGATGTTTACGTGATAACGTCTTATTGGTGATATAAGTTTTTGGGAAGTAAGGAATTAATGAAGTTAACAATTTTTTCAAATTTTAAATTACATCTATCGTTTTATTTTGTAGACCAGGTAGGTTGTTCTTAGTGCACTGCTGCTTGATTCGATGAAGTACTGGGTTTAGCCCAGTCATATTAGGGCTTTCACCTCGGAATGAAAGATAATAAGCTGAAAATTGGTATGAACCTTTGTTTTGTCAATCTAAATGTTGTCTCAAAAGTCACAATCGTTATCGTGCCTGCGTCTCAAGATATTCAAGGTCAAAGGTAACAAAAATCGGTTTTTCGCGAATATCTGGCTTCCTATCGGTTAAATGAGATTTGCATTCATTATAAAAGTTGTAGGCTATAAAATTCCCTACAACTTTTGTTTAAACTTTTTTTTCATACGACCAACCGTTTTGAAGGTAGAGCGCGAAGAGTGCACATCGTACAGTCATATACGGCCTAATGCAAGGTCAAGCGTGAGTTATGGTTATCAGTACGTTATAAAGTCAATTATTTACTTGGAAATTATAATTATTAAACAATGCCCATTATTTATGTACTAACTATTAATTATTTATATTTAATTAAAGTAACACATATAACATATCAAATATATTTAAAAACCACAAAATAGCATACAAAACCAAACAAAAACTCATCAACAAACTACAAACACACACAACAAATAGTACAAACACATACAAAAATAGTGGAATATACAAACTCACATGCCACACTTGTCAAGAAATATACATAGGAAAAACAAATAGAAACATGCTAATAAGATATAACGAACACACCAATGCAATAAAAAATCCACACACATACCACTCACACTACGCAAAACACATCTTAAAACACAGCCACCAACACAACACAATAGAAAACATACTAACCATATTAAAAACCTCTAATGACAAATACCTAAACATAAAAGAAAATAATATTCAAATTTACAAGCACAAAATCAAACACACACTCTTAAACGAACAAATAAACTCAATACACGACACTATCTTCAAACCCCTCAAAAAACTCCACATACCTACAACCCACGATAACACTCATTAACACAACACAAAAACACTTGACACTAAGAACACCCTAAAACACCAAATTTCAAATCAGTTTCTGACGATGCCCACAGGGCGAAACATGTAAAACTCATACAAAATTGTAAAATCCATATAAATCACAAAACAATTTAATAAATACATCTTATAAACATGGACTACGTATTCAAATTAGAAAATAATATAACGTTAGTTATTCGTTAAGTTTGAAATTGTACCGTTGCAACTACGGACGTACGGTTTTAAGAGCTATGGCTGATTTGTGTTTTATATGTGATAAGTCACTTTCAGAAGGTGTTTCTGTGAATGTCGTACGTGGTTTACAAACTTTAAAAACTGCAAGTATTGAAAGAAATGATGGACATATAGACTATTTAAATACTTTAAGTTCTGTAAATGTGCATTCCGAGTGTCGAAAAGTGTACACGAGTAAAAATGTTATTATTGCATCGAAACGACGCACAGATGAGAGTGAACCTTCAACGTCAAGTGCAAAAAACGAAATGAAGTCTTTCTAATTAGCTTCCATTTCCAATTTCATTACAATTAAAATCAACAAAGATAATTTTGATATTTGAACTCACATTTTGATAAATGTATATTATGCCGTATTTAATAATAAATAAAAATATGTGTAAAATATATACTCTTACTATCATTTTAACTTAAAATAAAACTAAAATATATGATCTTACTTTAATTAAATATAAATAATTAATAGTTAGTACATAAATAATGGGCATTGTTTAATAATTATAATTTCCAAGTAAATAATTGACTTTATAACGTACTGATAACCATAACTCACGCTTGACCTTGCATTAGGCCGTATATGACTGTACGATGTGCACTCTTCGCGCTCTACCTTCAAAACGGTTGGTCGTATGAAAAAAAAGTTTAAACAAAAGTTGTAGGGAATTTTATAGCCTACAACTTTTATAATGAATGCAAATCTCATTTAACCGATAGGAAGCCAGATATTCGCGAAAAACCGATTTTTGTGACCTTTGACCTTGAATATCTTGAGACGCAGGCACGATAACGATTGTGACTTTTGAGACAACATTTAGAATGACAAAACAAAGGTTCATACCAATTTTCAGCTTATTATCTTTCATTCCGAGGTTGACCCCTTTTTTTACCTAGTATGACTGGGCTAGTTGTGCAGCACTCCTAAGTCGTTCGGATTGACGCTGTCGAGATGCACGTTTTCGCTGAGCGCTGGTTTGTACATTTTTAGTTGTCTCCACCGTGCCGCTGGCGAGAGCTAATAAAGCAGCTCTACGTAGATGGTACGATTTGCGTCGTCTTTCAGCGGCTTTTCTTGCAAACGCCGCGGCCTGTTCTGGGGTTCTAATAGCTGCTGCACGTTTTCTGTACTCACGATTTCGCAGGGCATTCATTTCGGCTTTGGTGAGTATTGCAGACGTTGACCGCAAAGCATCCTCGGTCTCCATCGGTGTACTGGATATTGAAGGAATGTGCGCACAGGGATCCATCATGTTGAGCGTGGTGATTTCTATGGAACACATAATATTTTAATTTCAAATGAAATGAAGTCATTTGAAAGTTTTGTAAAATACACATTTCCTGTACTCACGGTTTCGCAAGGTATTAGATTCGGCGGGATTGGCTGAGTGTTGCACAGTGAGAGGTATTGCAGACGTTGAGGGCAAAACATCCTCAGTCTCCATCGGTGTACTAGACGTTGAAACAACGTGCGCTTGGGGATCCATCGTATTGAACGTGGTGATTTCTGTTAAACGAATTGAATTTAATTTTCTAAAGAAATATTATCAACTAGCTTTCGCCCGCGGTTTCCGCCCGCGTAACGTTTATTCCTTCCCTCGGGAATAGTAATATTTCCCGGGATAAAAAGTACCCTATGTCCTTTTCTACACCCCAGACAACGTGTATGCAAACTTTCATGGTGATCCGTACAGTAGCTAAAGCGTGAAGGCGTAACAAACAAACAAACAAATAAACAAACAAACTCACTTTCGCATTTATAATATTAGTTAGGATTAAAATTTGTTTAAATAATTCTAATTCAATTAATTAGAAATAAAATTTAAATTGAAATCAATACTAATTTTGAATGTTTGAATTTGTAATACGCGCCTTTACCAACTTGGCACATGAGAATGATTTCATGCATTGTGATTGGTCGCTCAAATCGTAGGTGAGAATGCAGGGTTTTGACAAGTTTTTTTAATTATCTGTTTATTTATTCCTTGAATCAGATACAGAGAATGTAACTCGCACAAGAATTATTATGACTCTTAAATCTTAAAAAAAATTTGAATTGAAATCAATACTAATTTTAAATGTTTGAATTTGTATTAGGTACGCGCCTTAACCAACTTGACACATGAGAATGGTTTCTTGCATTGTGATTGGTCGCTCGAGTCGTAGGTTAGAATGCATTGTTTTGACAGGTGAGAGATTTTAATTCGATATTCTAATCATTCACACGACGCGACGCGCTCCTTTATCTATTTTTTCCGTATTATAATTATTTAGGGTATGAGTCCAACTATGTTTTTATTTCACACTACCACAATTCATTTTTATCATAACATAACCTCTAAATTTCGTTTGTTTACACGTGTCTTTTTTCCATCTTTCATTACTTTTACAAGTTTATTCAAGAATGTTAATTGTTAGTAAGTAGGCTATTTTATTCACCTTTTTTTGTTGCAATTGTTGTAACACTTCACTTGCACTTCACATTTTGTTTCACTTTAAACATTCAACGAAAACTTAACCGCACGAGAAAATCTCCATTCGTTTGTATGCCGCTAGAGTGAGAGAGACTGAAGATCGGTCCACTTACTCGAACGCTATGCATGCCTCCGCTCGTGAGGATTCCGCGTGACAAGTTTCACGGAATGACTGGCAGCGCTCGAGATGAGACGGAAGATCGGTCCGTCTCTCTCTCGTTATACCTGCGATCGCGCTCGTGAGGTTTTGGCGTGACACAAGTTTCTGAGAACATGTCAACCGACTAAAACGATTTTAAAGACGTTATCACGTCAATTAACTGTATTTATATTTATTTATATTTACAGTATAATCCGTTTATTATGACCAACCGGTTATTATGACGTAACTACACTACCAAGTTTGGTTTTCATATATAGGTAATTCTATATAAAAAAGTCGGATATAATGACTTCGCTTACAGTGACATGTCGCTTATTATGACCCATTTTTAATAGATTATATCCGGTTATAATGACCAACATGATTCTTTACACCTCCGGTAATGTTCGTTGATACCCGACGACGTTCGACACGTGGCGAACTTTTTATATTTATTGCTACATTTCTTTTATGATTGTCAAATTACTTTTATGTATTTACTATCGGAAAGACCAAATGCTTAAATAATAAATTTAAGCATTCGGCAGCAGCACCTTGACCACGACTTAATCCGTATTTTCCATTAATCCGAATTTGGCGTGGGTCATTCGACAATCTCAATGCTTTTTAAAAAACAAGAACCGTATTAAGCAATCGTTCAATTCAAATGTTTTGAAACCGATGAGGCTTCGAAAATCACAAGAAAATTAATTAAATGAAAAATCAAAAGCAGACAAAAATTACAGATTACTTGCAGTAAAAATACACTTGTAGGTGTTATAATGTGCTGATTACGTGCAATTTTGATTTTGATTTAATATGTATGTATATGTACATATTTACATAAAAAAGGGTTTTCATTTCACAAAACGCTTTGTATGACGTCCGCTTATTATGACGTGTTTGTCAATTCCCTTCGATGTCATTATAACCGGACTCTACTGTATATTTAATTGTTATATCACTTTTTCTCTTATCTCTATATCGCGGATATCTAACTTTATTTTGGAGTTTTATTTAATAAACCGCTCCTACAATTCTTCTTCATCTTAAAAAATTTCAGTAATAATCAAAATATTTCACACTATTTCAACAATAGTATATACACAACGAACTTTTCACTAAATCCATTCAATTACACTTATACGATATACACACCACTAATGTTTTACAATGCATCAGCTGTAATGCTACAGATAACCTGCTATAAACATGTCAGTGACGCGAACTCATGAGATTTTCCCCTACCCTACCAAAGTGACCAACGCGGCTAAACTTAAAAAAGAACGAAGTCATGACCCGTCATAATAAATATTTTAACACTAACCTGATTCCGCATCATTTTGATTTATTACTGTTAAACAGTTTGAGCATGTTGTTTGTGGCCTCTCTAACCAGTGACTGCAATCTTTATGTCTCCAAGTATGCATTTCATGGTCATAGATCAAACCTAGCACTTCATTACCAGGATTCTCCTTAACCATTGCAAATCCATTGCATATGTTAATTGATGAGATTGTGGCAATAACAGACCTGACATCAGCCTCCATCTTGATGGCACTTGGCACATAAACATTGTTGATATTGTTTAAGTGCACTTCATGTTTACCCACAAAATACTTTAGTGTTAAGTTCTCTTGCAGGATGATTTGTCTTAACATGATGGGTTGATGATTGTAAATAGTCAACTGTGATAACAAGATTGTTCTTTGGTCATTTTTGATGCAATTGTATGATGCCCATCCATCCGGAAGGCTTAGGTCAGGTTTCGTGAAGATTCTTGTGAACAAACTCGGTGGGTGTTTAAACTTCGGTTTTGTTTTATCCATCATGTATTATAATTCGTTAATAAATCATTCGCGTCATTTATTAATTATTTTCTGCCGTTATCTTGCAGATATTTGAGGTTACTGCGACTGTTTGGTTTTGTGGTAATGCGCGCACTACACGCACTCATAGAAGTATGAAATATAAACTAAAATGAGGAAGGGAGCGACATCTGTGACTATTACCAGAACTAATATTTTAAACACTGATGCGTTGCTACACGAAAGCAGCACAAGAATAATTTTTATTAAAGAATAACAATTTTGTATAGGGTTTTCTAACTATAAACATTAATACATGAACAATTTAATAGTTTTACAAATAGTGTTTACTTGTTCTTGTGAGCTAGCTTCATAATTTGTTCAATAAGTTGTCTACGCTCCTCAGATTCAGCAAGTGCGTCGTCCAACTCTTTGCTTCTATCTGAGAGTTCTTTCTCGGTGCTTTTTAAGGCCTGACACGTTTGCTCCAAACGCTACAAACACAACCCCAATATAATCTATTAATCTAAAATGAAAATTACTTACTTGTTTAACATTAGATATTTCACCCTCCATAGATTTTATAATATCGTCTTTGTGCAATGAAAGTTTTTCCATCTTTTTAAGGGATTCCTGTAACTGAGGAATAACTTTCTTCATGGCATGATCTCTTTCTGCTACAATTTCTTCTTGTTTATTTATCATCATCGCAATCTGATTATCTTTCTGAGTAATTATATCGTTAAGCTTCTGAACCTCTTCTTCCAAATGTATTCGTCTTCTCTTTTCGCCTTTTAATTCGCTTATATTCTCATTCAAAGTAGCAATATTTGTCTGGGAATCCTTCTGCATTTGCTCGGCGTGCAAAAACAGTTGTTTAATCCTAGACAATTCCGACTCCAACGAGGCGACTTGATGTTGCAAATGTGTGCAGTGAGTTGAAGCTGCTTCAACTGACGCCATCGCAGATCTTTCCGCATGCCCCATAGTTGCTATTTTATACTCATACAACTCCATAACATCACATGTGGCAATGTTAATACGTTGTCCAGCACGTGCTTCATTTAGAAGCTTAATCACCTCATCCAATTCAGGAGAATGTGAGCTAACAATCGTGTAGGACATTAAGTTAGTATTTGTGGCTTGATTGGATGAGGCGGAACTCGAAGGTGTAGTCTTACACATGTCAAACATAGACTCCGCAACAGCTTTAACCGGAAAGTTAGGATTTCCAGTAATTTCCAACGCTGCAGCACGTGTGTCTTTATTCCCCGTGTAGAGGCCTTCAGCGACAACAACATGAATCTGCTTGTGCTCAATGAGTTTGGTGAAATACTCCTGCCAGTCGCTGTAGTATTTAGCTAGTACGCTAATGAGGCAGAGCGCGTTTACATATAGTGCAAACGCTTCAGGCGTAAAGTTGCTTTCATCTTTAGCACGTTCCATTTCGTTCAAGTCACCCAACTCATCATTAGCGTATATTACCAGATTGAATAGTTTATCAAACTGTTCCTTGGCAAGTTGCGCAATAACTCTCTCACGAGTCTTATCACATCTAGCTAGAATCTGTAATAAGGACATGATGATGCTCAATCGCGTGCATTCGGCAATATTCATCTTTGTGTTCGCTTCAATATGATGTAAGTTCATTAGTAAGATTGGCATTGCACCAAGGACCATTTCCAAGATGGCTTCGTTGTAACTGGATGATGGTGGGGTTGACTCCAGAGATGTTTCCACAATAGCTTTAAGAAAACTTAAAGCATCCGAAGCTACGTTGTCAGTTTGGATCCAGTTGAGAGCCACTTTGGCCATAACAACATAATGCTCATTCAATCCAGACAGGTTGCAAACGATGATGGACTGTACAAATTTGAACACCAAACTCATGCAATCCGGATGGTGAGCAATACAATCACCTGAGGGAGTTTTCTTTTCGTGAGAGATCATATAAATGATCTCTTCTATGCGCTGAGCATACTCGTTGGCATTCTCAAGTATGAGATGACGAAGATCGTGTCCTTCAGTTTTAACATTGAGATAAAATTCGATATTCTGTCTGAGGAGAATTGGATCTTTAGCAAGGAAAGATTCTTTTACACTTTTAAAAGTTACGCGTAATAAAGTGACAAAAGTTTCCTGAGGTACAACACCGTGGATATAATCCATGATAATAAAGAGTTTGCAAGCAGCAGCTTCAATTTTCACACCCTTCAGCGTCAATACAAACTTAGAAAACTCTTTGATATCCACACATTTTGATAGCATGTAGGTTCCAGGAAGGTTTTTAAAACAGATATTGACTACAATCCCCAAAGATAACAATTTAACTTGTTCGCTCTCTTGGGGATTCCGTACCCATCGAAGCAATGTGGTCATGAGATGTTCCAAATTTGGAATGATCCATGATATCTTTACACCACATGATAACTCCTAAAACATTTATTGTAATAAATAGACTTTATAAAATTCTAGTGCATTTGCATTACCTGCAGTAATGTTAATAATTTAAGTTTCTTATCGCTTTGCATGTGGTCACTAAGAACGCGTGCCAACAAGGGAATAAATTGGTACGTGTGTATGAGTTTATGACGCGCTGCTTGGTTCTTGCACGCTGTTTGTAACACTCCCACACATCCCCAGATGATAGACGATCGTGGTTCTGCAAATGTGAGGAGATCGTGCATGCTGGCAAAGAATTCACACACCACACTCGTATTGGGATCAAAGATTGTTGTGTCAATAGCTACAGCTAACATCTGAAAAAATATTTTATCAATACCTGTATGAAATGTTGATGCAAGGATTACCTGTATATGACGGTTGATGATATTTGCTGATTCTTCGGTTCGAATCTTGCGGTATTCTCTTACTGATCGAATAAATTCCACCATGTTGTTTTGCTTGGACTTGTTCGTCCATGTTGAAGAGATGTTGCTCTCAGTGAGCGATGGTGTTAAGGTGGGTGTCATATTAATAGCAAAAAATTTGTAGAATTGTAATAATAAATAATTCCTTTAAGTTGTAGGTATTCCTATAAATTCGGGAGATAATAAATATAAAATGTCACTTGAACGTTTGCGCAAAATGGCAACTAGCCGTATTTGACAATTCTAAATCTAAATTGTTTTGTTTCTAAGGGCACATGATGCACCTGAAAACGATAAGTATTGATAGGGTATTATATTGAAGAAATAAATAATCCAAAATCATTTTTAAAATGGAGAGAGCTTTACTTGTGTAACATAGCTGACATGACACATAGTATCTATACATATATGGGGGCTGAGTATTATACACCAACAGACATATGAAATATATACAGATGTTCAGTACTGAGAGCGGGACACCATTCTACGGTGTGGCGACGGGACCAGAACATAATTAGTTTGTTGGGGGATGAAAGAGGTGGTGTGCGCGTGCGGTTTGGTGGTGGCGTGGTGCTGGTGTGTTGGCTAAGGGAAACAGTAGAGGGTTTGGTTTACGGGGGTAGTGTTTAGGGGTAGGGGTACACGAGATTCAGTCAAGCATTTGTTAACAAAAGGCCGCGCCAGCGCGGGGTGGCGATGCGGGGCGCCAGCGCCTTACTGCCGCACTCGCCACCACTGCTGCACCTTTTCGGTCAGCTTCCTACAGAGGCCCACCATCCTCCGTCACATCGGAGCCTCCTCGCCCTCCTCGACCGTGACCTGGAACCGGATGCCCGGTTTTTGTTGGTCTGGACCCTCCTCCGCGGGTGGACTGGGCGGAATCATGCTCTGATACCAGTCACGATTCTCTTCCAGTGTGTCGAGGATATCCTGAGCGTCTGGATGTACCAGATCTGCCCAGGTCTCCCAGAGTGGGTGGACGATGTAGTCAATGAAGCCGACCTGCGACTTCTCGATGGTCGCCGAATGGCGGTCACACATTGGGCTGATGTCCATCTTGGCTTCGCGCTCGCGATCGCCCTGCTGGAAGAATTCCTCCATGAGAAGTTCCACCCAGCGGCGGTAAAGTGACAACGGCTTGGTCGGATTGCTGAGGTCGGCGCAGTGCACAAGATTTTCGAGCACCTGAATGCGGTCGGTGTAGTTGTCCAGCAGCAGCACCCCGGAACCGGCGACTTTCTTAGTTTCGACCATGGTTTTAAGGTCGGCGAGCAATGACATATGCTTGGACATATCAGTGCTGAGTACCATATCGATGACCATCTTACGCAGCGTCTGGCGTTGCTTCTTGCTGAGATTGGCGAAGATGTCGCAGCCTTCGTTGGAGAGTAGCTTGAAAGCAACCGCTAAGTGATGGTTCTCCAACACGCTCTCGTCATTATACATAAGCGCTAACTCAGAACTAGAGTTAATAAGGAATTGATTGGTGAGGCCTGGATGATCAACGTCGTGGATGCACGCGGCAAATAGCGCGGCGGTAATCTCCAGGGGTGTGAAGACCGACTCGAGGGCGGGCGTGTTAAGCAGCACATGTGTGCTCTGCGCCACATCGGCGGCGTGCAATGAATTGTGGAACGGGTTGTCCTTGACGTAGTGGTCCTCCAACGTCATCATGAACGTGATGAACGTCTTGGGCGGGATGAGCATGTGCTTAAGGAGGTCTCGCGACGTAAACGTGGTGTAAGCGACGCACGTCAACGGCCGCCCATTACTCATGTCGCCGATACCAAAGATGTCAACACCCCAGCGTTCAATTTCAATGAGACGTTTGCCCAACTCCTCCTCATGAGGTGTTTCCACTCCGTGCAGAGGCAAGCGTTCGCCGGTAAACGAATTAGTATGGCATAGCGGTTTACGCACGCCGGAGATCTGCGACATGGTCGAATGACCGCTGCGTGGGCGCTCTTTGCGCGGCGCCGCCTTTGACACCGCCTCCGAATCTTCATCGATGCGAAGAGACGGTATGTCTAATTCTTGTTGCTTATCTATAATATAAAAAACAAATTAATAAAAAATCTCAGAATCAACAAAGGAATAAAATCAACTTACCCAAAAATGTGGAACAGATATATTCCGATATTTGATTGCCAGATTTACTGGATTCGGAGAAGTGAGACAACTCCTTGTTCAGCATACGCTTGAACTGTAACAAAACAAACGAAATTTAGTTTCAAACTTTCACCAAAGTAAATTACAACATGTTTGCTCGCAATTATTTAAACAACTTGACTTTGCATGACAAAAAAGCGATTAATTAGTCGTTACAAACAAAACATTACGTATGTATACGACGTACGAGCCTCTTTTTGTCTCATTGCGCCCACACACACATTTATTGCGCATTAGGTACACGTTTGCGGCGACAAATCGTATGCGCGAAAACATCAACATCACAACAATCGTAAAACGCCGCTTATTATTGCCGTCCCACGCGTGCGGCGTTGTTTCGTGAATCGGATTATGGAACAATAAAAGTGTGCAAAAACAAAACGATTTGCATATGCGAAAAGAGATGTAAGTTTTGCCACTTAGATAATTACGAAAATTGTGTCATTTATGCCCCAATTATTTGTCCTCAAAGGACACACGTTGCATTGCAACAAACGATTATTGGTTTGTTTTGCTACTACCTTTAGAGCAAATACAGTAGATATTAACCTTTGATTCATTGGATTTACTCGGAATCACTTCACTATACTCGTACACATCAAATCAAAAATCAATTTCACTTATTGCCATTTCGCGTTTCACAGAAATACAAAAAAATCTTTACAATGACTTAGCATTTATACGATTTGAAGACAAAACTAAATTGAACCAGTGTGAAAACGCAAATTGCGGAAACTTCCATCGCTAAAAACACAACAAATTGATCCCTTTGTGCATTAGCAGCGCGGATTAATCCGATTGACGCGTTAGCGCTCGTTTTTTTGGTGCTAAACGAAGAAATTGGATTAGCACCATCATCCGACAATGGTTTATCGGTTATATTTATACATTGTTCACGGCGCCATCGAAATTACAACACGTTTCAAAATAAAAACGTAAATGTACACAGGTCAAAACAAGTTACACTAACCGGAAGTTAACTAACTGTATCCGCACGTGTATAACTGTAGCTTATTACAATTACATTTAATAAGTACAGTTGAGATGACATGATTCAATCTAGTCTGTAATAATAATGGGAAGTAGTCAAGTTGCATTCGCAAATTGCACCTCATTGGTTGGCTCGAGTAGGAAAACAGGAAATTGCATATTATTACAGTACTACTCGTATTCTGACATTTCCCAACTCACAACCGCCATTAAGTCTACGGGTCAATCTTAAAAGTTGTTTAAAATGTTATGCTTTGTATGCGAAATTACAGTAGTACATATTCTTACTACACGTATTGATTTTCAACATTCTTTTCATGTCAAGTTCAGCAAAAGGGTCAAGTTTACATTATACACATCGTCGTCGCCGTGAATGACTCAGAGAAATGAATATGAGCATAAATATTCGATCGGTTTCTAGGCGGAAAGGTTGAAAAAGTGAGTGTTATTAACTGGCAACTCAGTAATTAATCGCGCAAAGTATGACGCGCATGTGAATTAGTTTAATTATACTTATTTATTCATTTCTAAAAGTAGAAAGTATTTCACGCTGATTGAATTATAGAAATCTGTTTGTAAAAATGTATAACATGTGCATGATGTGCCCTCGTGTAATTATTTGTGCAAACGTTCGCGTTTATTATTTTAAAACGTCGATATCGATTGAGATGAGCCAAAAAAGCCGGGCGCTCGGACGTCTGTTGCGCGTACAAAGCACGATAAGCATGATTTATAATTGTCTGCCGTTGAGCAAAGACGTCACTTATCACTCCGATAGTATTTATCCGTGTTTACATTACACATTTGTTAAACATAGGTTACATGATTTGATAAATTTCAATAATTTTTAAAATTGATTTTTTCAAAATTTAAAATCAATACCTTTATTTCGGCTAAAGCCGCAGTGATTGCAATATCAGTCATGATATTTAACCAGGGTAAACAATCGTAGAGTTTTTCCGACGAGGGTGGAATGCGGCTGGTAACTTCGTCAGAGCCAATGTCGCAGGAGACGGCCCGCTTCAGGGCGACCGTCTTCTCATCGGTAAACATCTTACACTTGGTCACTAGCGTCACTAATTGATCGAGGGTGGTCGTAATCCAACCCCACAAACGAGTTAATCCTATGGTTTTAGACGTGTGTCCACACGTAAACGATGAAATATAATTCACAGTGTTTTTTGACTTTCGGAGGGCTCAACGAGATATGTTTGCTTGTTAAAGGCCGACACCGAACTGAACTGTATCGCGGGGCACGCGTGAGCTTTAAATAGCCGGCGCGGCCGCGTGGAAATCATGTGTGATGTGGGGGCACGACACACATTCGTCGCGTCACGTACGCTACACATACACACTGTCATTGTTACAAGTTCATACAGCACACAAGCAACCGTTAACATTAACCAGCAGCGTAGACATAAGAGGATTCTGATAACAATGTTGCACGCTTGACGTTTTTATCTCATATTTTATATTTTATTGCGCCTGGAAGCATGAAGAGCTTTATTTGCGTCTTTTCACGTGAAAAATAGGCACTGTCTCATGTGGATTGCAAGATCTTACGAATGTCGCGTTCCCGTTAAAAGCAGGTTGAGTCACACGAGTGGTTCACACGATTTTCCTCTCAATGACTAGAGGACGATTATAGTTTTCGGTTTTTTTAAGCATCTGTCGACATCAATCTGAAGATTATTACATTTTTAGAATTTTAAGAAGTTTAAAAGTAACATTTCCACCAAAATTTATTTTTAGCCTAAAAATATTATGCAAATATTCTTATCTTTAACTAAATTTTCTATTGTTTTTCTGTTAAAAAACGCGATTACATAAGGAAATTTCCCAAATATTAGTTTGATAACCAGGATAAGCAGTCAGATCATCCGGTAATAATCCAAATGACAAATAAACAATCTCATAATAATAAATACAATGTATCAGATGATCAATTGATTAGTCAACAGATAATCTCGTAGTTATTAGACTTTTTTCCTAGAAAATCAGCTGGGATAAGTGGATGTTTACATTTTTTTGATTTTTTTTTTGGGACAAACCAACAACAGATTTATAAATAACAATAGTAATCATCTGCGTAGTACCGTTGTACGCATTAGACATAAATGTGTAAATCCGAATGATGAATGGTAAATTATCCGAATATTTATAGAAAATGAAGATGGTACCAAATGATAAATGAATAAATTCGTCATTATTGTTTACAATTTACACACTTTCACATTTATTCCCAACAGATATATTTGTGTACCAGCGAGAAAGTCACTAGCATCATATTCATCATATTTATGAGGATTTTAAAATGGTAAAAAATATTTTTTCAAAAACATTCAATAAATTCTATAAAATCGTTAAATGGGTAAATAAATTTCTATTCATATCACTTTCTAGCATTTGACAAACATATAAACTCTTCATGTCGTTAAATTAGATGATTAAAACTTTCATGAACATTTTTTGCACTATAGTCGCGACGCTGTAACATGGCGCAAGAATGTTGCATAGATTTTTATGGTTATTGATTCATTATAGATGAACCAATCTATTTATATTCATTATTTCTTTATAGCTATGATCAGTATTACATTCTATGAATATTTTGGTAAAAAATATCAAAACGAGTTTTTGATAGATATTAAATTACCAACCAAAAAGTGAATTGCATCAATTTTATTGAAATACAACTTTAAATATAAATAACTGTTAGTTCAATAATCCAATCAACAAAATTTAAATTCTGTTAGATGTGGAATTTCATTTACTGCAAACTAATAAAAAACTACTATTTTATTATAAATACTTTTTGAGTAATTAATAAAAATGTATCACAATTCATATATTTTTTTGCCAAGTGAAAAACCGCAACTATACGCATATTTATGTGAATTTAATTGTGCTAATTGATATTAGTTACTTTCAGATAGTCGGTCAGACAGACAGACACATGGCCATTGTGATATACGTTGATAAATGACAATTAATCAAGTTACAATACCCTAATGGATATATATTTATAAATTCATGCGTTTTTTTCTCTTTTTCTTTGCAAAAAAGTGCTACAAATACTCGTAATTCTATATATCTGCGACACAGCGACAGTCTCGATATGAAAACGCATTAATTCAACATTTTTATTAATTCCGTATGCTCTCATGCTCGCATTATGCATCCGTGCGTGCGTCGCGCACTTCGTATGCGTCTCACATACGCGCCTAATGATTAATAAGGCGCGCATTTTAATTGCGGGCAATAAATAACGTGCATTGCGGCGCAGCACAACGAAGAAAGACTAAAGCTGAATTCATAGCAAAATAATACAAAAGTTATCATCATAATTTACTGGTTAATTTTAAGGAATTTAAAAGAAAACAAAAATACAATCAAGTAATAAATAAAATTTTATAAATTCCGTAAAAAAACAATAAGAATAAAGACAATTGCGATTATAATCTGTAATATTTTCCTATAAATTCACCTTTATACTTGTGCGCAATATCGGCGCCGACACTTTTTTCCCTTTTCTTTTCTTGTGCTTGCAATTATGCACGATTTGCGTTAAAAATGCGCGAAACAAAAACATGCCAATTGCGTCAGTAAATATCCACGATTAAAACGTTAACGCGAGAATTTCATTCTCATACTTTAAGCCATATTAAGATATAAAGTCACTTATATAAACGTATTTTTGCATTACATTTTAGAAATGACCGTTAAAGAGTTCAGTTAACGATTATTTCCATTTTATAGCAAGTCGCACATAAAATATAAAATTTGTCACGCTGTGATTCATAGTTTGTGACTTTATGTGCAACCCGAAATCACCAAAAATCGAAAATTTTGTTTTGGTCCCACCTACACGCCAAAGTGTTTGTCCAAAATCATCCAAATTACGATTCAGGTGAAGACTAAAGATAGTAAAGACAAGTTTCCATATATGGTTGTAGCCAGACTCAAAAACAAACACATCATAATGCATCAAAACAGATACTTAGCTATCAACAACTTAAAATTAAACTTGTTATTCTACAACTA